ACTATAAGGCAGTTCATTAGTCGCAATACGCAATTTAAACATAAAAAAAACTGTTGTTTTTTTTCTGTAGATATTATATAGCTATAATGAATGTTTTTAAATGAATTTGGCCAGTCCTTACTATTTCAAAACCCATGAACAAAGAACAACTCATATACAGCCATATTAATAAATTATGTAAATACTTAACTGCCTATCACATTACTACTGAATACAATATTATTAAAGTAATTATATAACAATATAAAAAAACCGTATGTTTATCCAAATCTGGTATTATTTTGTTATGTGACATAAAAAGATAAATTAACAAATGAAAGTGTTTTAACGAATTACTTTTAAGATAGAGTATAAACCAATTCCTAAAATGTAACTGAAAAAAAATGTTTCTTAATTTTTATACAAAATAAATGTCGTTTGCTAATATATTTTTAATTTACTTTGACAGTTTATTTCAAATAGGTACCTTTTTTTTACACATTTACGAATAGACATAATAAATGTTACTTTTAAGGTGTTATAAAAAAAATTACAATTTCAAATAAGTACCTACTATATTTAGTCTAAACTTATAAGGAAATTATATTATTGGCATGAAAGAAGTGATTGTTAACAATTACTTGCATGCCAATGCAATTTAAAAATAATTAAAAAAAAAGTTACTTTTTAATTATTTTTCTTAATTTTTTTTATGATTCTTTATCTAACTAGGTCAGTATTATGTTATTCGAATCACAATAGCAAATAAACAACTTGCATACAGCTATAATGAGCTAAAATATTTTCAATTTGCTGTTTAAATAACAATGTATTAATGTAAATATTTTAACAAAAATCATTATTGACACCACGTCCATTTTTAACCCTTTTAAAAATGCATCATCATCGAGAACCGACGCGGTGACCTCACTCAAAGCCGTGACACGGCTAGTGATGACCAAAATCAGAATTTTTTGGTATTTGAGTATGTTTTTTTTTTGATGGGTGAAAATGGTGTGGTAACCCTGCCTGCGCTAATGGGATACGCTGGCGGAGCACCAGTGAAGGGTGATAGGTGAGAATGAAAACAGGCCAGTTAGCCCATCATGATGAATTCATCAGCAATTAACCATGATAGTTTCCAGGGGGAACCGCGAGGAGATCGACCTGGTTGGGTATATTGCTAGCAATGGGAATCTCAGTTTCCCTTTCCCCCCAATTTGAGTATGTTGGTACTAGTTAAAATAGAATCGAATTTTGAGTTGAACAGAAGGACTTTGATAAGTACTAGTGTACATATTCGACTCTGATTTCTAAAATAAATATAATAAATGTTCAATCATTCAATATTTAATGATTAACGATGTAACAGAAATCTAAAATCTTATTTTAAAAACGCAACTATTTCTGTACCGCGAGTACTTGAAACCTATATTCGACGGAACATTCGATCAAATAATCGATTTGGATTTATACTGCTTTTGGACATTAGCAGACTGCCTTATGGGCGAGTTGATTATTCATTTCTTTACATTTATTAAATAATCTATAATCGATATTCAAGTCATAACTTGAATCAGGGGGAAAGGGATTGTTAGTAATGGGGTCAAAATAGCCCTATTACTAGCAATATACCCTGTCAGGTCGACCTCCACGTGGTTCCCCCTGGAAACCATCGTGACAAATTCTAGTTTAATTCGTCAGGATGGGCTAACTGACCTACATTCATCTTCATCTGTCATCCCTCACTGGTGCCCCGCCAGTGTATACCGATAGCGCAGACGGGGTTACCATACCATTATCACCAATTAAAAAAAAAAGTACTCGAATCATCCTGCTCGGCACATCACTATACGCGGCGATACGGTAAGTTTATGTAAACGGCACGAAGGGTTAATTGTCTGCACAGCCGCTTGTTCACACGCGTCGTGTTATTAATCAACTCGTGCGTTTTGTGTAATTGTCGTCTAAATAATAGCGTACGTTATTTAGGCAAGGCCCCGGTGATTTGGCTAAACCACGGTACGCAGGTGGAATGGGTCGTCGTAATAATTATAGCAATATAACTAAATGATTTTGCCTACGAATTGAACGTGACTTTTTTTTCTTGGGCTGTTCTAAATATAAATATATATTTTTTTACGCATATATGGTACATAAAATGGCAATCAAGGTGCCTGCATGTATGTAACAGTACCCACTTTTACGTTTCTTTTTTGGGATCAATTAGCAGCCTTATACACATTCTAAATATAAGCCTGCCCCATAGACGGTCATAACGAACGGTCCCTAAGCTACCTGCATCCACTGATTTGCAATGCATTTGAGGTCGTCACTCCAACTAGTGTGGGTGGGGGGTCGTCCTACACTGCGTTTGCCCGTACGGGGTCGCCACTCAAGAACTTTTCCTCCCCATCGGTTGTCGGTTCTTTGAGCTATGTGACCAGCTCATTGCCCGACGACTTTGGTTCTTTAGTTTGGTGAGAATACACTGTAATGATAAGACGTCTCGATAGTTTGTAATTTCATTGTCATATCACCCTTCAAACCGAAATATAGTTATAGGAACAGAAACACAAATGGGACAAAGGTACCCAAGCAAACAACTTTTGCACAATTTCCTTGTGAGTCTGATATTTAATTTAAATTTAATTCGTAGATGTTTGCTTGACGATAGAGATTTAAATAAAGTTTTTAGAAGAGACCGTAATGTCGGTTGCGTAGGTATATATGTTTGATACCAAAATGTTTTCCGTTCCTTTGCAATATCTCGTCTCGTTTCTTGTTTGTTAATGGAACAATGGACAAAATTAGCCCGTTGCGTAAAATTATATAGATAAAATAAATTAATAAATCCGTATTAATATACAATCTAAGAACAAGGAATTACATAGAAGAAATGATAAAATAAAAACTGTAAATCATGTGGTTGCCTCTTTTGATCTTATGCTTATATACGTACCACAGAGCGGAGTATAATTTCCTCTCCGTAGAGTAGAACATAGAAACTGCACGTCTTATACTTAATCTGTACTGTAGAAAATGAATTTCATAGACTAAGGATAATCACCGGAGAATAAGAATAATAAGTATAATTCTTAATCTATGCCTTACAAAGGTCAAAGATAGGTTTGGCGGGAATTATTTTATTTTTTTCCTCCTTTTACTTGCACGGACATTTTTTTTTATTTTATTTTTTATTGTCATACTTCTATTTTATATTGTCATACATATTGAAAAAATAATATTATTAGTATTATTATTTTAATTGACTAGTATATAGATGACAGTGTTACTCATATTATGTACAAATATTTACCGGTGAATATCAGGGGAGGTCACTGATCGCCGTCACTTGGTTTAATTTGGTTTGTTTGTTGATTTAATATTAGAAGTATGACATATTAATTATACTAAGATTATAAAATAACAGTTTTATTAATGTATATATAAAATATGTATTTTGATATCTGATAAATACTACCTATAAAGATTTACATGCTATTTAATATGGCGAAACATACCAAAGGGAGACTTTGTACAAAAGTCGTTTGCTTGAACATATCTGTCCCATTCATGTTTCTACCGTGAAGCAGTTGTGTTTGTATGGCTGTGTTTCGGTTTAAAGGGTGGGCATATGGCAGTGTATTTACTGGGTACAGAGGAATAACACCTGAGTCCTCAGGAATGGCAACGCATGGGGAGTATCATGGACGAAACAGTGTCTCTTTTATGTCCATGATACTGCTCCTGTCTATAGGCGACGGTTACCACTTTCCGTAAAAAGTGGTGGGCCGTCAGCTTGTTTGCCATTCTAAATTGCATAAAAAAGTCTATTTCATCTAGTGACCCATTCACAGTCAGGGCGGATCACTAGTTAAATATAAAAATAAGTATTTTCTTTATAGTACAGTGGGCAAACGAGCATACGGCTCACCTGATGGTAAATGACTACCGTCGCCCATGATCAACTGCAACCTCGGAGGCATTACAGCAGGTGTACTCTTGAATCTGATACCAATATCAATCCAATCTATTGCCAATGACAATTCTGTACTACACTCGTGTAACAACAGTTAGGAATTAGCTTATAACTGGGATCGGTTTACAATAGTTTGCATCGACAAGTTGCACTAATATGCATGTATCGGGGGGAAAGGGATTGTTAGTAATGGAGACTGAGAATCCCATTGCTAGCAATATACTCAACCAGGTCGACCTCCTCGCGGTTCTCCCTGGAAAATATCATGGTTAATTCCTGATGAATTCATCATGATGGGCTAACTGGTCTGTTTTCATTCTCATCTATCACCCTTCACTGGTGCTCCGCCAGCGTATCCCGTTAGCGCAGGCGGGGCTACCATAACATTTTCACACATCAAAAAAAAATGCATCTATCAGAACAATATGGAGCCATTATGTCGCTAGTGTTGCAATTCGAGAGTGTGAAGTCACAATTTCAATATCGATCTATTGGGATTTGTTTTAAAAGTAACCCCACTGATGTACTGTCGGCTTTTTAAACGGGAACATGCTCTTTTCTTGAAGGTTACAATGTCGTATCGGTTCGGATATATTTAATTTATTTATTTATTCTTTATTGCACAATAAAACTTTGTACAAGTGGCGAGCTTTATGCCATATGGCATTCTCTACCAGCTAACCATTGGGTAAAAACAGAAAGTGTATGAAGGGCAGATGTGGTGAAAAATATGTGACAATTATAGTAACACAGTAAGGCAATACACAATATAAATATAATATACACATAAGTAATACACATATAATACATAAACATTACTTTTAATAATAATGGATAAACTAATACATATGAAATATATACATATATATACATACATACATACATATATATATATATATATATATATATATATATATATATATATATAGATACGATAAGCATTATGAGATATAATAACTATTGAGTGACCTGTAACTAGAGCTGGTTTTGTTAACTCAACAAATAATTAAAAAGTCTTCTTTTAAAAATATCTTTACTTGATGCTCTGCGTAGATATATCAACATGTTATATGTAAACTACGTAGATAGCATAGGACGCTGCGGCCAGTCCTACCATACAGGTTTAGAGAGCCAGACAACTGTGCGTTTAAGGAAAAACCAACAAGAATTCAACCGATTGTGTTGAAAATAAAGTAAGGTATTTATTTATTTATTTAAAAAACTTTAATGCACAGTGAAATTTTATGTACATTTGGCGGAATTAACACCGGACGATGTTCTCTACCAGTCGACCATTGGGCGAACAGAGAAAGTAAGTGGTAATCGTCGCCTATAGACATAAATAATTACGTGGATATCATAGCGTATACTGTGACGTCCTTTATACCTTTTACGCATTGTCAGATAATAATATTTGATTTCGTTCAATTCGTTTGATTTGATTATTGTTTTTTTTTTATCTTAACTCTGCTAAACTAGTAAAGAGAATAGATTTAATTGTTTGTCAAAGGATTTAAAAAAAAAAGGAGGTTATCCATTCGATTGTATTTTTCTGTTTGTTATCTTATAACTCCTTTAATTATAAGTCGATTTGGAAAATTCTTTTTTTATCTCAAAGAATAACTCACTATCTGTCTCTATTCTAGCTTCAAGTCTCTGTAAAGTCCTACTATCTCTCTCTGTGTGTATTCACTCTTCATCTTTCTCCTTTTCCTTCATTCTATCCTGTCGTGTGGGTGCTATTAAGTGTGTGTATGTTTTGGTATATTTGTTTATACTTACTGGTATCAATGTCAATAGGAGCAGCTAGTAACTATATGGGGACTAACCTACCCATTGATAACAATCCTTTCTCCCCCCCCCCCCCCCCCGGCCTAGACTCGTTTAATATTACTCTATTCCTTATCATTTTTAGATGTACAAGTTACTTACAATAGTTGTATTACTATCAGCTATTGATGGGAATCAGACCCATCCGACATCTGCTGATTTGGACACACCCAATATAGATGGGTCATCGAAATCAAGAACGCAAGTCACGCCTACAAATATTACGCCAAATTCGAGTATTACGCCAATTCCGAATAGTACCCCGAAATCATCGGCTGTGCATGGCGATCCGAAAGGTATTTCATCCGCCGAATTAGAAGCACTCATAACACATATATTTGACGAGTCGCCAAATGCAAGTGATGCGCCAAATTCGAGTATAACGCCCATTCCGAATAGTACCCCGAAACCATCGGCTGTCCACGGGGATCAGAAGCCTATTTCGTCCGCCGAATTGGAAGCAATTATAACACATATATTTGACGAGACATCAATTGCAAGTGATGCGCCAAATTCGAGTATTACGCCCATTCCGAATAGTACCCCGAAACCATCGGCTGTCCACGGGAATCCGAAGCCTATTTCGTCCGCCGAATTGGAAGCAATTATAACACATATATTTGACGAGACATCAATTGCAAGTGATGCGCCAAATTCGAGTATAACGCCCATTCCGAATAGTACCCCGAAACCATCGGCTGTCCACGGGGATCGGAAGCCTATTTCGTCCGCCGAAATGGAAGCTCTCCTAGCTCATATATTTGACGAATCGCCAAACTCGAGTGATGCGAGTACAAAAAGTACGCCAAGTACGTATAGAACACCGGAACCGACGCCACCTACGCCGAACTCGACGCCGAATTCGACGCCGAATGTAGAAGTCAAACCCTCGGAAGGTTAGTGATTTCTTTTAATTTTTTTTTTTGTCATGATCATGTCAGCTCTTAACTGTCTACTGCTGAACATAAGCCTCTGCGTATTGGCAGGGTTTTTTTTTATGGATGATAATAGAATGGCAACCCCACCCGCGCTATCGGTATACACCGGCGAGGCACCAGTGAAGGATGATAGGTGAGAGTGAAGTAGGTCAGTTAGCCCATCGTGACGAATTCAACAAGAATTGTTAACGATGGTTTCCAGGGGGAACCACGTGGAGGTTGACCTAACAAGGAATATTGCTAGCAATGGGGCTGTCAAACTCCATTGCTAACAATCCCTTTCCCCCCTATTGGCAGGGTTTGACACTAGTTGCAATGCTTGGTAGCCGAATTGGCAACCGCAGTTAGACTTTGGAGAAGTTTTAAAAGTTGCCAGCTATCCCGCGATTATTTAATTCCCTTAGGCGTCTCTTACGGTACCCATGGGAAAGGAAATAGTGGCCCATTCTATGCCTGGACCACACGGCATTCTTTTTACGTTTTTTTTTTATAGATGATAATGGAATAGTTACCCCGCCTGCGCTAACGGTATACACTGGCGGGGCACCAGTGAGGAATGATAGACGAGGATGAAGCAAGTCAGTTAGCCCACCGTAATGAATCTAACAATAAATTAATCACGATGGTTTCCAGGGGGAACCACGAGGAGGTCGACCTGACAGGGTATATTACTATCAATAGGCCTACTAATCCCCATTACGATAGTAAATTAAATCTCCCCCCTCTTTTTATGGGTTACGTCGGTATAGAAAGGACCTCTTTACCGTGGATGTTGTAAAAGCTGACTAAGAGAACTTAATGGTCGAAGAATAGGCAGCAGCGTCCCTCTTAAAACATCACCAAAGCCTAACTACAGTTGCCAATTCGCCTGTCAAACGTGGCAACTACTATCAGCAAGACTCCCCAACAAGGAGAGGCCTATGTTCAACAAGGAACAGTTAACAACCGAAATGCTGATGGTAACGCTAATTCATCTAAACGTCATACTAATTGGCAGAGGGGGAAGGGATTGTTAGTAATGCGGACCGTACATTGCTATCAATATACCCTGTCAGGTCGACCTTCACGTGGTTCCCCCTGAAAACCATCGTGCTGGATTCTGTATGTATTCATCATGATGGGCTAACTGACCTGCTTTTTAATCGCTTATCGCTCACTGGTGCCCCGCCAGCGTATAGCGCAGGCGGGGTTACCGTTCCATTATCATCCATTTAAAAACTAATTGGCAGGTAAAGTGTCGTGCACCATCAGAGGGCGTGACGGGACTTGCGTGCCTTATAACCTGTGCGATGCCAACGGTACGCTCCTGGAAGACTACGAATTAATCGATTCACAGTGAGATACAGTTAATTTTTTTTATAAAAATATCTTGTCGCGAATACTCAGGTTGTGGAATGGTCTTCCTGCTGAGGCTTTTCCTGGAGACTACAGCATGGGTTTTTTAAGGGCATATTAAGTTCCTGGTATTGCAGGCGTTTTGAGGCTACGGTAACCCCGTTTACCATCAGGTGGGCCGTATGCTCGTTTGATTTGACCTAAGTGATATAAAACTAAAATATATATTTTTTAATCGCCATCAAGTATCTCTCTGCACATCCTAAAGGTGGACTGGTTGGGGGGGAAAGGGATTGTTAGTAATGGAGACTTAAAATCCCATTGCTAGCAATATACCCAGCCATGTCGACCTCCTCGCTGTTCCCCCTGGAAACTATCATGGTTAATTCCTGATGAATTCATCATGATGGGCTAACTGACCTGTTTTCATTCTCATCTATCACCCTTCACTGGTGCTCCGCCAGCGTATCCCGTTAGCGCAGGCGGGGTTACCATACCATTTTTACCCGTCAAAAAAAAAAGGTGGACTGGTAAAGAATGCTTATTATGCATTAAGTCCGCCTTTTTTACCACATTTGATTGATCAATATTGTTTAGATTTTTTTTATACCACTTAGAATGGCAAACAATCTGACGGCCCACCTGATTGAAAGTGGTAACTGTCACCTATACACACGAGCAGTACCATGGACATAACAGAGTATACTGTTTCGCCCATGATACCCTCCATGCGTTGCCATTCCTGAGGACCCAGGTGTTATTCCTCTGTGCCCTGTAAATTCACTGCCATATGCCACCCTTCAAATCGAAACACAACTGCTTCATAGAAACATGAATGGGACAGAGGTACCCAAGCGAACGACTTTTGTACAGTCTAATCACTACATAGTATAAAACAAAGTCGCTTCCCGTCTGTCTGTCCCTATGTATGTTTAGATCTTTAAAACTACACAACAGATTTTGATGCGATTTTTTTTAATAGATAGAGTGATTCAAGAGGAAGGTTTATATGCATAATACATGCATAATATTGTAGAGAAACATTGATAACTTTAGAGGTTTCTAATGTGACGTGATGTAATGTGCACCCGTGCGAAGCCGGGGCGGGTCGCTAGTAAATAATATAATGAATGAATGAATGAATGAGTATACTTTATTTGCATTATACAATATAGGAAATAAGCAAGACAATTTACAAACACAACGATACCGTTGTATGAGTACAGTGAGGCGGTCTTATTGCTGAGAGCAATCTTTACAAGACAACCTTAGGGTAATGGACTAATTGTTGTACAAGTAGGTATATTAGTGCTTTATAATTAAAAAAGCATCTTTTGCAAATTAAAAATATATAAAAATTATATACATATATACACACACATATATACATACATATACACATACATATATATACATACACATACACACGCATACATATACATATATATACATATCACATACATATACATATCAATCAAACAAAATTATATAATCCCATGCATATATGTCAAATACTAGGATACATATTAATAATTAAATATACTTTAAAATATAGTTAATATTTTAAAGTATATTTATATAATGTATGTTCGCCATTATAAATGTCATACAAAAAATGTTTTTGCAGCGTTCCCGATGACTCGTGCGAGTCTTATCTCGACATTTGCTGTGAGCCTTCCTACATATTACCAGAGCCTGCCACTACAGCGCCCTCTAATAAGGAACAGTAACATTTTATACAATTTTTTTTCTTAATAGGTGATAATGGAATGGTAACCCCGCCTGCGCTATCGGTATACACTAGTGGAGCATCAGTGAGTGGTGATAGGTGAGGATGAAAAGGCAGGTCAATTAGCCCATTATGACGGATTCAACATTAATCACAATGGTTTCCAGAAGGAACCGCGTGGAGGTCGACCTGATAGGGTATATTGCTAGCATTGAAGCTGTTAGAACCCATTTCTAACAATCCATTTCTTCATCATCATCAGCAGCCGTTAACTGTCCAATGCTGAACTTAGATCTCCCCCATAAGGAAAGGTCTTGCTAGTAGCTACCACGCTTGACTGGCGATTTAGCAACCGCAGTTAGGCTTTGGTGATGTTTTAAGGGACGTTGCTGTCCATCACCTCGCCGTCCCTTAGTCGTCTCTTACGACACCCACGGGTAACCACGGACCAAATCCTTTTCCTTGCTGAGATGTATCTTTCGTAATTAAGTAAACAATGGGTCACGTACAGGGAAATCAAGTGGTCGAACTAACAGGTAAATATCTAATGAAGTAAGTCATTTACATAACAAGTTTTAATTTTATTGTGGTTTTCCGAATTTATTTTCCTTAAACGAATGTTTCTTCATAAAAATGGATGAAAATGACACTTATGTACTTACCAGAGGGAGACTTTGTACAAATGTCGTTAGCTTGGCCACCTCTGTCCCATTCGTGTTTCTACCGTGAAGCAGTTGTGTTTGCATGGCAGTGTTTCGGTTTGAGGGGTGGGATATGGCAGTGAATTTACTGGGTACAGAGGAATAACACCTGAGTCCTCAGGAATGGCAACGCATGGGGGGTATCATGGGCGAAACAGTATACTCTGTTATGTCCATGGTACTGCTCATGTCTATAGGCGACGGTTACCACTTTCCATCAGCAAAAAGCAGGACGTTCTCCATTCGATTGTTTTTTTTTTACAACACACACCCACAACACCAGCGGCATTGCAGGTGTGTTGCCGGCCTTTTAAAAAGGAATATACTCTTTTCTTAAAGGTTATGTTGTCGTATCGGTTCGGAAATACTGCTGCTGGAAGTTGATTCCAAAGAGTGGTTGTGCGTGGGAGAAAGTGCCTTGAAAAACGCACGGTGGAGGACCGCCACTCGTCCAGATGGTTGGGATGAAACTTTACTTTATGGCGGGTTGTACGGTGGTGGAAATGTTTTCTTTGTGTTTATTACCTCATAACTCTGTCTGTTGTGAACTGATTTGGGATTTGTTTTATTTGAAAGGTTAAACTTCCAGATTAGTGCCAAAAAAATTCTATCGAAATTGATTCAGCAGTTTGGTTTTCAACCGATTTCAAAAAGTTATTACAGTATTACAAATTATAAACGTAATTATGTTGATTTTTTCCCTCCGTAGGTCTCGCAGAAGGGATGCGGTTTCCGCAACAAAGATGGCGTCGGGTTCCTTATACGGAGTGCTGATGATAGGGAAACCAAATTTGGGGAGTTTCCATGGATGGTCGCCATATTGAAGTTTGTAAATGTTTTTATTAATTAAATAACATTAGTTTTTCCTTTTCATCATCATCATCATCATCACCATCATCATCATCGTATCAAACATTACCTGTCCACTGCTGAACATAGGCCTCCCCCGTAGACTGCCACAAGAAACGGTCCTGTGACACCTGCATTCATTAACGGCATTGCAGGGATGCAATGCATTTAAAGTCGTCACTTCATCTAGTGGAGGCGTCGTCTTACACTACGTTTGCTCGTACGGGGTCACCACTTAAGAACCTTTCTTCTCCATCGATTGTCGGTTTGGGAGCTATGTGACCAGCCCACTACCACTTCAGCTTGCTTATCCTTTGAGCTATGGTACCTTTATGATATCCTCGTTTCGGATTCTATCAGGCAAAGAGACTCCGAGCATAGCCCTCTCCATAGCTCGCTGAGTAATTTAAAGCTGTGCATACGGGCAATTGTGTAGGACCATGTTTCGGTTCCATATATATTTTTTTCATCAGAGAGTGATGATAGGTGAGGATGAAGTAGGTCAGTTAGCCCATCGTAACGAATTCACCAAGGATTGTTCACGATGGTTTCCAGGGGGAACCACGTGGAGGTTTTTTTTTCTACAACTTAGAATGGCAAAGAAGCTGACGGCCCACCTGATGGAAAGTGGTAACCGTCATCTATAGACATGAGCAGTACCATGGACATAATAGAGTATACTGTTTCGCCCATGATACCCCCCATGCGTTGCCATTCCTGAGGACTCAGGTGTTATTCCTCTGTACCCAGTAAATTCACGCCATATCCCACCCTTCAAACCGAAACACAGCCATGCAACACACAACTGCTTCACGGTTGAAATACGAATGGGACAGGGCATGTTGCTAGCAATGGGGCTGTCAAACTCCATTGCCAACAATCCCTTTCCCCCCGATATCGGATCGGTATCCATATTACTTATTCCTACATGATACGACCTCGGGAAAAGTCCAGTTAAATAGCTAGTGTTAGTGAGGTTAGTGTTCTTCTCAGGGTAGAACCAGTAGACCAAAAAGCTACGGAAGGTCAGAAGAAGGAGGTATACATAGCAGGCGGATCTCTCATCCATCCCCGAGTGGTGCTGACCGCAGCCAACTATGTCGCAACTGAAAAGACGCTCCGCATCAGAGCTGGTGAATGGGACACCCAGACCGAGAAAGAGATATACCCTCATCAAGACAGGGACGTGGAGAAGGTGGAAGTCCACAAGAATTACATTAAGAGTATGTGCTCCAGCTGATTTTATACTAGCGACCAGCCCCGGCTTCGCGCAGGTGTAATTTTAAACTGTTCAACATATTTTAGTAAGGCTGGTAATATTTTTTTTTAAATGGGTGATAATGGAATGGTAACCCCGCCTGCGCTATCGGTATACGCTGATGGGGCACCAGTGAGAAATGATAGATGAGAGTGAAGACAGGTCAATTAGCCCATCGTGATGAATTTCACTAGAATTAACCACGATAGTTTTCAGGGGGAACCGCGTGGAGGTCGACCTGATAGTGTCTATTCTAGCAATGGGTCGGTTAGACTCGATTACCAACAATCCCTTTCCACCCAGGCTAGTATTTTGACGTGTGTATGTTAGTTGCTAAAATTAGTAATTACTAACTTACTAATTTTATAATTCGACTACTAAATTAGTAATATACTAATTTTCGTATTAGAATGATCTTACTAATTAGTAATATCATCTAAACCACTAATAGTGAAAAACAAGTGATTTCCTTGTAACCACTACCTCGTGAATAATCGTGAATAGACGAACAAAAAAATACTTTGTTTTTTACTCAAAATTAGTAATAGTACAATCAATGACTAAAATCAAGTAATAAATTAAAAAATAAAAACTGTTAAAAAATTCATTAACTGATTAGTATTGAAAATTGCTAATTTTTACTAAATCGACTACATTGGCAACTCTACTGAATATCATCAAAAGGACATTCCAGCGATCGGCTCGACTCGACTATCTTCGTACCGACTCGTACATGAACAACTACTAACGAGTGATTTTAGCGATTAGTAAAAACATGGCGAATGATATTAGTAGTGGAATAATTTGAAAATCTATAAAACTATTCAGGCTGAACGTCCACATATTCCTTGGTTTTGTGGAATTAAAATCAATAAGTACAGTATTAAATTAGCTGTTTGTCTACGATCTGGTCATTATCCATCAAAAACATTTGCACATATGATGGGAAAGTCCTTGTCAGCCCATTGTCAAACTTGTGATACCATCGATGATGTGCATCATATTCTATTAGAGTGTCGTATTAACACGAAAGAAAGAGAAGAATTCATGCGCCACTTTAACTTAAACAAATTGAATGTTGGTCTTATTCAATCTATGTTAGCTGAACTTGAACCAGAAATTTTGAACATCTCTGTAAATTATTGGTGCCCATTAATTCTTCTCTTTCCATGTCTAGGAAAAGTAGATAAACTTTTGTTTGAGAAATCAGTTCAGGGTACGATACGGCTGATGTACTTGAAGAAAGCAAAAGCCTTTAAAATAATATTAAAAAAAAATTGAAAATCATTTAAATAATTCGAATGAATCGCTCAGTCGAATGATTTAGTAGTCGTATTAGTAAATTCGCGTATCGTTAGAAGAACTGGTTGTTGTTTTTATTGATATATTTAATTATCTTTGGCGTGAATTTATAGGGTACAGAGAAATAATACCTGAGTCCTCAGGAATGGCAACGCATGGGGGTATCATGGGCGAAACAGTATAATCTATTATGTGCATGGTACTGCTCATGTCTATAGGCGACGGTTGCCACTTTCCATCAGGTGGGCCGTCAGCTTCTTTGCCATTCTAAGTTGTATAAAAAAAAATCCTAAATCCTGATAACGTTGTCAATCTACTAATTTTAAAGATGTGATTGATAATTACAAATATTATTAAATAATTATAAAGAAATTATAATTAATTATTATTTTAATTATTTTTTAATGTGTTAATTACATTTCTATTTCTAGAAAACCTGTTCTACAACATCGCGGTTCTCTTCCTGTCAGCACCGATGGAACTGACTCCGAATGTTGGTGTGGTGTGCCTGCCACCGCAAAACTTACGCCCAGAAGCTGGTACCAGGTGCTTCGCATCCGGCTGGGGGAAAGATAATTTCGGCAAAGAGGGCCGGTACCAGGTTATATTGAAGAAGGTCAGTGGCTTATATACGTTGTAGCTTTTCCTTATGTCTAGGAATTCTTGGCAAGTGAATGCCTACGTCCGGCGTTGTCAGTCTGGGTATTTTCTTTTCAGAATTTTGGATAAAAATTTCTGTTCGCGTTCTTGGAGAAATGTTTTTAGAAAAGCGGAATGGTTGAAATGTCTTAGAGAAATTTGGGATTTTTTTTAACAGTTTTCGAATTTGTAATTATACAGCAGTACGGGCAATATGCATACACCTAAAAGAACAACAAAAAATACCAATAAAGGTAGCAAACCAGAGGGTAAAAGAGGCTAAGAATAGTACAGGCGTTTTTTTTAGTCGTTCACATATGGGTCTATCTTCGGACTGTGCGGGGAGAAATCGGAATCCATGGAACACTTGATGTGCAACTGTGATTCGTTAGCGAGCATGCGCATGAGTCTACTGGGAACGGCTTATCCAGAGCCAGGGGACTACAGATATCTTAAACCGCGGAATATCGTTAGGGTAACACATAGGATCTATGAAATGATGGTATAAGGCAGGGGGAAGCACAAAAGATCCGTATGGGTCGACGTGCATCGGTTGACCCCTATGCGATAATAAGATAAGAATAAGATAAGATAATAAGATAAGATAGTCGTTCACATTGTGGTCACAGGCAAAACGTTATAAATACGGAGACAAGATTGTGATTGGGTGAAAGTAAAGGAAATCGTATCGATTCAGGTAGAAATCAAGAATACACGAGTAGAAGTCATTTCTACTCACTCTTCCACAGGTTATGGTCCCAGTGGTGGACCACAACACGTGTCAAACGAAACTGCGCAGGACCAGACTGGGTTCCAATTTTATGCTGCACTCGTCGTTCATGTGCGCCGGCGGAGAACTCGGCAAGAACACGTGTAACCAAGATGGCGGCTCACCTCTCGCTTGCCCTATACAGGTACTGGTATATTTGCAAATTACAGTACATAAAATATCCTATCATCATCTTCCTACCGTTATCCCATTTATTATTTGTGGTCGGTGTAATATGATTTTATCCATATTACTAAAGGATTTAGCTTATAGTTTTATGACCGGCCGCCTGCCTGACGTCAACCCTCTTTGGGAATGCATTTGTTGGTGGTTTCCGTCACTTATAGTTTGGAGGAAAGGATTGAGGAAAAAAGGAAGAGAACGTTGGAAATGTGTATAGAAAATAAGTAAATGAGAAGAATAAGGGAATGTAAGAAAGGATGGGGGGAAGGTATTGTTAGTAATGCGGATTACTAGTCCCATTGCTAGCAATATACTCTGTCAGCTCGACCTTCAAGTGGTCCCCCTGCAAAACACCGTGCTGTATTTCAAGTGTATTCATCACGATGAGCTAACTGACCTGCCTTTTCATTCTTACCTATTATCTCTCACTGGTGCTAACCAGTGTATACCGTTAGCGCAAGCGGGGTTACCATTCCATTATCAACCTACCTGTCTACCAAATGTCGTTTAAACTCGTTTAGCAGTTTTTGTTATGTCCTTGGTACATGAATAGTATGTACCATGGACATAACAGAGTATACTGTTACGCCCATGATACTCCCCATACGGTGCCATTCTTGAGAACTCAGGTGTTATTCCTCTGTACCCTGTAAATTCACGCCATATCCCACCCTTCAAACCAAAACACAGCCATGCAAACACAATTACTTCACGGTAGAAATACGAACGGGACAGAGGTGACCAAGTGAATGACTTTTGTACAAAGTCTCCCTCTGGTAAAATGAAGTTTATTTACTTTATTTCTATCAATTGCTTTAACTGTGGAGGTGATGGTCCTTTCCAGTATGAAGAAGATCGCTACATACAGTCAGGTATTGTGTCTTGGGCCATCGGCTGTGGAGAAGATGGCACGCCGGGAGTTTACGTTGACGTTGCCAACCTTCGGAACTGGATCGACGATAAGGTTGCAGGTCGCGGTTTCGATCCCTCCACGTACACTTACTGATGTATTAATTAATGTAGCGATTCAAGGTTTAGTTTTAAGAGAATCGAAATGTCAGTTTTGTAAACAATGTATTTTTTATCATCAATCATATTGAACTCCATTATAAAGAATTAAAATAATTATTTTATGTTTTTGTCATTTTTATTCTTCTCCCTTGGGGGGGTTTGCCAGTAGTTGCTATGCTTGGTATGCGGATTGGCAACCGCAGTTATCTCTCGGTGATGTTTTAAGACGGACGCTGCTGCCCATCCTTCAGTCATTAAGTTGCTTTAGTCACTTCTTACGACACCCACGGAAAAGGAAGGGGTGGCCCATTCTATGCCAGAACCATACGGCGATTATTTCTATAGATTTCTTAGATAAATTTATCCAATCAATTTTTTTATCAGTTCGCCAAAATGTATCTTTTTATCTACAAAAACATTGAAATTATTAACATAGTCGAAAGATCATACAAAATAAGGACAATGGGGTCAATTCTGAGGCATTATTTCTCTAAACCGCTCTTAACTCAAGATTTGAATTTAGTTTTACAACAGAACAGTAAACTCTGTTTTAATTTAGTTTCACTAAATTGATAAACTAAATTTGTTTTGTATTTTATGCACGAAAATTATTAATTCACTCTTGCGCCACCTGCCCTTTTCTATCTGTTCTCCCTTAACTAAAGGTTGTCTGTAAGCGATTACCCTAGCGATAAGACCGCCTCTTGTACCTTTATGTGTATATGTTAATCTGTATTTATGTTACTGTATTTCATTTGAATTATTCACTTGTCATTGTATATTTTTATTTATGGTGCAATAAAGAGTTAAATAAATAAATAAATTTAAAATAATTTTTACTTAAATCTTGAAGACATTTTCTTCACATCGGTTCTCAAAATAAAGATTACACTGTAATATCAAATTGAAACTAATTTATTATTTATTTGTTTAAAACGTACAGCGAATGAAATTTGTAATCGAATGAAATTATAATCGAATGATTAGAAAATCATTCGAATAATCCGATCGAATTGCACTATCGAATAATTAGTAGTCGAATTAGTAAAATCGCGCATCTCTAGTTCAGCATCTTTCTAAGAACAAGGAATAGACATAGGAGCGCTAAAATTCATAGCAGGCCAGTGTATAGATAAAAGACATAGGAGCGCTAAAATTCATAGCAGGCCAGTGTATAGAAAATGTTATACGGCCGTATAACCCTACCAAATTCAGATACTACCTACTCGCATACTTTCTACATAAACTGTGTCGAATATATAATCTAGTAATGTAAAATTTGTCATTGATAAATAATTGACATATCAAACATTTTCTATACACTGGCCTGCTATGAATTGAGAAAAACAGCAACTGATGGTGTACCTTTCGTCCTCTTTTTACTAATTATATTTGCATAAGAAGAAAGGAGGCAACCGTATGATTTACAGTTTTTATTTTATCATTCCTTCTATGTAATTCCTTGTAATTCCTCACCAGAGGGAGACTGTACAAAAGTCAATTGCTGGGGTACCTCTGTCACATTCGTGTTTCAACCGTGAAGCAGCTGTATTTGCATGGCTGTGTTTCGGTTTGAAGGCTGGGATTTGGCGTAAATTTACAGGGTACAGAGGACACCTGAGTCCTCAGGAATGGAACCGCATGGGGGGTATCATGGGCGAAACAGTATACTCTGTTATGTCCGTGGTACTGCTCATGTCTATAGGCGACGGTTACCACTTTCCATCAGGTGGACCATCAGCTTGTTTGCCATTCAAGTTGAATAAAAAATCTTAGACTTCTTTGCCGTTCTCAGTCAAATAAAAAATAAATTGGTCATTACAGCAGGTGGTGTACAATACACGATTAACTGTAAAGAGACGATCGCACGTGGGGAGCGACGATTACGACCGCGGCTAATTTGTTAATAATTGCACGTACCAACTGAACCCCGAGGGGTGTACGCGACCTTTGAGCGGAGTTTGTCCTGTGTCGATTTGTTTTAACACACAAATAACCTTAGGGTCATTATTACACGTCTATTTAGAAAAAGGAACGGATGTGTAAATGAAATTGATTGCTAAAAATATGACACAATAAGGTTTAAAATGCTTTAGTCAATAATAAATTAATTTATTAATACTTTTGACTGAAACAACAGTTAAAAGTACCTAACCGCAAAGGGGAGTGATTTGCGGGGGGAAAGGGATTGTTAGTAATGGAGACTGCGAATCCCATTGCAGTTACAATATTATTATATGACTGTATATTGCAGTAAAACAATACATAAGGGGGGAAAGGGATTGTTAGCAATGAAGTTTGACAGCCCCATTGCTAGCAATATGCCCTATTAGGTCGACGTCCACGTGGTTCCCCCTGGAAACCATCGTGAACAATTCTTGTTGAATTCGTCACGATGGGCCAACTGACCTGCTTCATTCTCACCTATCATCCTTCACTGGTGCCCCACCGGTGTATACCGATAGGGCTACCAATCCATTATCACTCATTAAAAAAAACATACACATAAAGACAAATTCGAACAGAAAAAAAACGACATTTATTTAAAAAAAGCATTTACTCATATTGTATCGAGGACAAACATAAAGAAACAACAGCGCCCCCTGTCGGGCGGCGCGATCAGTATGTGTAAACAGTAGGTTCGATGCCGCGTCCCGCGACCTTGTCGTCGATCCAGTCTCGTAGGTTTCCCACGTCCACATACACCCCGGGGGTACGGTCTTCCCCGCAGCCGATGCCCCACGCCACTATGCCTGACTGCACGTAGCGACCTTTCTCGTACTGAAAACAAACAGATTTGAAGCTAGTTTTGCAGAAAACAGCCATCTCTTGTAAACATCCAAGGAGGTATAGGCAATATATATATATATATATATGCAATTTAGAATGGCAAACAAGCTGACGGCCCAATTGATGGAAAATAGTAACCGTCGCCTATAGACATGAGCAGTACCATGGACATAACAGAGTATACTGTTTCGCCCATGATACCACCCATGCGTTGCCATTCCTGAGGACTCGGGTGCTATTCCTCTGTACCCTGTAAATTCACGCCATATCCCACCCTCCAAACCGAAACACAGCCATGCAAACACAACTGCTTCACGGTAGAAACACGAATGGTACAGAGGTGGCCAAGCAAACGACTTTTGTACAAAGCCTCCCTCTATATGTAATGGTGCTTGTTTACATATAATTTCATATTAGAATGTTAATAATATTAAAATGACAATGTAACGGGTTCATTATATTTGATAAATACTACTTATAAACATTTGCACGATTTTAAATATGGCGAAACAAACTGTACATTCATTCTGACTCGTTCGTTCGAGCTCTCTCGCTCCCGCCACTCAGCACGTAGATATAACACGTCGTCACTTTATATATAGTTTTAAAATAATAAATAATCAATAATACCAAGTGCCTTTGGACTTTACATCCACTACAACCTATGTTTAGCTTTACATTTATTATTTTAACGCTCCACCTACCCATTCATTCTTTAAATCCCTCTATCCAAAAGTTGTCTGTAAAAGATTGCTTAGCAATAAGACCGCCTTTTGTACTACACTATACTGCTTATTGAAAATCCTTCAACAAGTCCTGTAATATTGGTGCAGTAAAGTGTTAAATAAAAAGAAATAACAAGAAGACAAATTAAAAATACCTGTATAGGACAAACGAGAGGTGATCCTCCATCTCCCCGGCAGGTGTCGCGGCCTGGCTCCCCTCCGGCGCACATGAACGACGAGTGCAGCATGAAGTGCCGGCCCAGCCTGGTCTTCCGGAGCTGGTCCTGGCATGTGTTGCGGTCCACTACTGGCACTTCCACCTGGATACAAAGGCATTATAAAGATTCTCGTGGGTGTTATGAGAGGCGACTAAGGGAGGGCGAGGGATGGCCAGCAGTGTCCCTCTTAGAACACCTCTGAAGCTGGATTGCGGTTACCAATCCGCCTACTACTAGAGGAACCCCTCAAGGGGGAAGCTTATGTTCAGCAGTGGACAGTTAAAGACAGATTTGATGAACAAACAAAAACTATGACACCAAATTGGATGTGGTATTCTAGAAGTCTAACTTAAAACTTGGCAATTTATAATTTTGATACGCCCATCTACAAGCGGGTACTTCATTATTGCTTCTCTTTGCATCTTCTACCGCCTGTACAACGGATTGTGTTCTGAAGAACTCTTCAATATGTTTTTTTTATACAACTTAGAATGGCAAACAAGCTGACGGCCCACCTGATGGAAAGTGGTAACCGTCGCTTATAGACATGAGCAGTACTATGGACATAACAGAGTATACTGTTTCGCCCATGATACCCCCCCATGCGTTGCCATTCCTGAGGACTCAGGTGTTATTCCTCTGTACCCAGTAAATTCACGACTACTATGACTCAATGACTACAGTCACCTTCCACGTCGTAACGCTGGCCATCGGCAGGGAATCCATCCTCATACCTTAGAACCAGAATGGTCTCGCAAAGTGCGGTTTTAAAAGAGCTTCCTTCAGCAAACACTCAGGTTGTGGAATTTCCTGCCGAGGCTTTCCCTAGAAACTACAGTGTGGGGTTCTTCAATAAGGGCGTATTAAGGTTTCTTAAAGGTCGATAACCCGTGACATCCCTGGTGTTGCAGATGTCGATGGGGTATCGATGGTAACACCATTTACCATCGGACGGGCTGTATGCTTATTTGCCATCATAGAAGTATAAAGAAAAAAGAAATGTAAAATGCGCGCGTACAAAGTAGCAGGCAAAAGCAAGTATATAATTAATAATACTTCAAGGGTCCTGATCCTCCGACCGACTGCGCCTCTGTCGGGGATTACTTTGCCATGTCTCCTCTTTAAAAGGGGATGTTATTGTTGTACCAGCCGTTAACTGCCATTGCTTAACATAACCTCCTCCATAAGTGAGGTTTTGCCAGAAGTTGCCACGCTTAGCAGGCGCATTGGCAACCGCAGTTTGGCTTCTGGTGATATTTTAAGAGGAACGCTGCTGCCCATACCTTCATCATAAACTTCTTTAGTCACCTCTTACGAGACACACGGGGAAGGAAGGGATGGCCTATTCTAATTCGGGACCTACACGGCTAGGGGATGTGAATTTTGTAAAATATAATAAATACAATTAAATGTACTGACCTTCTTCAGTATAACCTGGTAGCGGCCCTCCTTGCCGAACTTGTCCTTCCCCCAGCCGGACGCGAAGCACCTAGTGCCGGCCTCGGCACGCTCGTTGCGCGGCGGCAGGCACACCACACCCACATTCGGAGCCATCTCCATTGGCTGGGACAGGAACAGCAGCGCTATGTCGTAGAACAGGTTACCTGGAGAAATAATGCATGCATTTAAAGGATATTTTTTATGGAACTTAGAATGCCAAACAAGCAGACGGCCCAACTGATGGAAAATGATAACCGTTGCCTATTGACATAGATATTAGACCAGAGGGTGACTTTGTACAAAAATCTATTGCTTGGGTACCACTGTCTGTGTTTCAACCGTGAAGCAGTTGTGTTTGCATGGCTGTGTTTCGGTTTGAAGGGTGGGATATGGCGTGAATTTACAGGGTATAGAGGAATAACATCTGAGCCCTCAGGAATAGCAACGCATGGGGGGTATTAGGGCGAAACAGTATACTCTGTTATGTCCACGGTACTGCATACATGGTAAAAGATAGGTTTACAGAGAATTTCGTCTCAGGACGATCCCATCATCTTTTTTTCGAGCTGTTCTTGTCGTTGGCTTCAGATGGCCTTGACAGTTTCACCGGGCGCGTGTGCAAGGGCGAATGCGGATGGCATTCCAAGCCCGCGAGAGATAAGCGATAGAGCGTCGACTCTTACTGATGGACTGTGGCGAACGCCCAAGAGCGTCAGAGTGGCTTGTACCTCGACTTACGCCACCGCACTTCGACACCCGTCGAGGGACGAAGATTCAGTTTGTCGTACTAAGAAAGAGGAAAGAGTCGAAGAGATGTGCTCAGGCGTAAACCTGATCATGCCGCAAACAGTGTGTGGTCTTCGTCCCCGCCGATGGCGACCCCATCATCAGCTTCCGTAGGTATAAATATTGTAATATCTGATTAATATTTGTGCATTTTACTTTAAAATAATTATGATTTACATTATACATTTAGAGTATGGATTGTCTACGTTAACATGGTATGCCCGTCCATCTTTTTCCTTCAACGTGTGTGTCCATGTACAGACGCGGCGCTCTGTTCGTGTTTGTGAGGAGACGTCTACAGTAGCGGTCCGGACGGAGGAGTATTATATCCCTCGGTCGGAACCTTGGAAATATTACTCACACATTTTTAATTCTTTGGATTTTGGAGATGCGTGCCATGTCACAGACAGTCTATAACTCACTCATCCTTCAGTAACAGATGAAGTCAAAGAAAACCCTCGTACCTTGGGGGAAAGGCTTTATCAGTAATGGGAAGGTTAATTCCCATTACTATCAATATCAGGTCGACCTCCCACGCGGTTCGCCCTGGAAACCATCGTAACTAAATTATCGTTAATTCGTCACGTTGGGCTAACGGACCTGCCTTTTCATCTTCACCAATCATACCTCACTGGTGCCCCTCCAGTGTATACCGGTAGCGCTGGCAGAACTACCATTCCATTATCATCCAATAAAAAACCCCTCATACCTTTATTAAAGTCCTTATGTATCTCTTTGTGAGTCACATCTCTGTCCTGATAGGGATATATTTCTTTCGTGGTCTGCGTGTCCCACTCTCCAGCTCTGACGCGGAGTGTCTTGGCGGTGGCGACGTAGTGGGCCGCGGTCAGCACCACCTGAGGATGGATGAGCGATCCGCCACCCACGTACACGTTTAACTTCTGACCTTCTGGATCTTGGTCGTTTACCGGCTCGATTCTGAGGAGATTGTAATATTTAAGACTAGTTTTATTCGAGCTTTTTCATGCAACTTAAAATGGCAAACAATCTGACGGCCCACCTGATGAAAAGTGGTAACCGTCGCCTATAGTATACTGTTTCGTCCATGATACTCCCTATGCGTTGCCATTCCTGAGGACTTGGGTGTTATTTAAGTTGTATATGGTGCCATTGTAAATTGTATAATATATATATATATATATATATATATATATATATATATATATATATATATATATATATATATATATATATATCCATATATATCCAGTATAGGCTGTCAAGTACATTTGTTTTTTTTAATAAAATATAGTATAATACATGTTTTGTAGTCGACATGAGTGATAGCCATTTTGGCAATTTTCCATAATTTTACTTGAATTATGTCAACCTACCATGAAATATTTACCGACATTTCGGATATGAACAAAACACAAATTTGATGTTAAAATTACATAATACATTATCGATTAAAAATATCGAAATATGGTTCATTTGGACTTTTATAGTAGGATTTATGATGAATGAAATATTAAAGTCCATTTACTGGACCAATCTCGGTATAAACAAAAACACGAAATTGAGTCTAAAAATTTGGAATTCAATGTCATGGTAGACCCCTAGATTGTACCAGCAATTGTAGATACGCTTCCACATTCTACATTCAAATATTGTCAATGTACGTAACTATGAATAAGTCCATCTACGAGGAGAAAAGGATTGTTAGCAATGGAGTTTGACAGCCCCATTGCTAGCAATATGCCTTATTAGGTCGACCTCCACGTGGTTCCCCCTGGAAACCATCGTGAACAATTCTTGTTGAATTCATCACGATGGGCTAACTAACCTGCTTCATCCTCACCTATCATCCCTCACTGGTGCCCCGCCGGTGTACACCAATAGCGCGGGTGGGGTTACCATTCCGTTATCACCCATAAAAAAAAGTGCATCTACGATCTGCGAAACATCTCATCATCATCATTATTTTTTTTTTAATAATCTTCGTCTTTTTCGTCTTTTATACTGTACATGAAAATATATAAAAAAACAAATATGTTTCATTTACTTGAGTATAGCAACCATCCAGGGGAACTCTCCGAACTTCGCCTCGCCGTCTTTATCGCCGATAATACGGAACCCTACTCCGTTCTCGTTGCGCCAACCGCATCCTGCTCTCTGAAAAGTAATAATTTTTTAATTAAACTTCATTTATATGACAAGGCTGTATGCTATAACATTTCGGCTTTTAAATCAATAACAAAAAAGAAAAAACAAACAGGCGCTTTCAAGTACACGTCACTTTGAATAAAAAAAAGTTTATATAAATTTTATGCAACCAGTTCATTTAATTTGAAAATTGTATACTATAAAGCGGTTATAAGAAATGAATGAAAAAAAAAAAAAACACACGATATAAACCATTTTAAATATTACTGCAGATTTACAAATATTACATTTAATCCTTGACGGATATTTGGGGTCTTACAAAGCAAATCTGCTTTTTACGTGTCTAGCATAACATCATAACTATAACAAAAACATATACGCATAAAACTTCTGAGAACACTTCTAGGTCAAGCTTCAAGGTTTCCAATTCACTTTATAGTTTTTGTTCAGGTAACAATATACTTAGTTTCCTTTATTTCTTGAAATAGCATCAAATTATAACTATCACTAATATTAAAACCCTTATCGTCTTATTTTAATGTCGCATCTCGTTTTCTGTTTGTTAGTGACATAATAGATAACATCAGCTCTTTGACATTTATAAAAAAAAGTATTAATCTTAATCTATGACATACAAAGGTCAAAGATAATTTTGGCGGGAATATTTTCCTCTTTTATTTGCACGGATTTTTTTTTTGTTTAAATGGGTTAAAAAAATCTAAGCTATTGTTCACTGTTTGTATTATGCCTTCTTGATGGAACCTCGTTATTTTGATTAGGCATATATAACGATACTAGCCATTCCCTGCAGTTTAACACAACCTGGCCAAAGTTAGCCAAATTATATCAAGCTCACTCGTAGTCAAATTTAATTGAATTACATTAAACTGATTAACTTAATTTACCACTGTATGAAGGGTAAAAAAAATCCTTTTCTCAAACATGCTTGGAAATGTGAGCATTATTTTGATAATTTTCTTCGAGATAAATCAAAATTGCCGTACTGGCCAGATACATGCGGGCAGCGGCCGGCAAAAGTTGTATGAAAATCCATATCTGTCGTGTTTTGCGGCCAGATAAATTACTATGTAAACTCATATCTGTCCTGTAATTTAAAAATGAAATGAGCTCTTACTTCGAAACATGGCTACCATACAGCATACCAAGCAGGTAACTAATAAAAGGTTTTATTTAAATTTCGAACTGGCTCGCAAATAGAAAGCTGTTTATTGAAAAAAAAAACAAAGGGATATTATGGCGCGTGAAAAATTATTATTGTTCGTTGTTCGTCATTTAACTTAAAAAGAGTTTTTGATTTCCGCGCATTGTTTGAGAAAAGTACTATACAAGCCTTGGCCAGAACAAGGCATTAATGGACTCACGTATGTGTGCTACTCGGCTACCCCTCGGCCCACATTTGCACGTTCGTCCATAAATGCCTCAGTTGCTGGCCGCTGCAGTAATGTACTATAATCTATTGTTTATTCACAATATAAAAAGCAAAGAAACTAAATCATACAGCCTTATCTTCTAATAATATACATACATAAACTGCTTTTACTTTTTTTTATAACCTAATAAAGCTTAAAATCAATATCTATTTGAATTGTTACAAATACATACTTAAAATTTTGTTACCAAGGAGAATGCACATACAAGACCTGTATTATGCCAGGGTAATGACCCCTGAAGGTGAATTAATTTATGAAACAAGTAAATTTAATGTTAGCAGAATTTTGTGGGTACGACTCAGAGATATTAATATTTTTTTTTATTATATCAGCCGTTAACTGTCCACTGTTGGACATAAGGTTGGTCCTCCATAAGGGGAATTACCAATAGTTGCCACGCTTGGCAGACGAGTTGGTAACCGCAGTTAATCTTTGGTGATATTTTAAGAAGGTCGCTGCTGCCAATACCTCTATCATTGAATTCCTTTAATCGCCTCTCACGACACCCATGGGACAAAAACGGGTGGTCTCTTTTAAACGGGTGGTCTCTTTTATACCGGAGCTACACATTAATATTTAATACAATTTTATTGTGTAGTAATTTATACATACATGGTCAATTCCATAATATATATATAGCATTGCCTTGCGTACTCAAAAAATAAAAAAAGAATACCTACGCACAGATTAAGAATAATCTGTGCAATAAGTAGATAGATTTAATTCTAAGATTAGGCACTTACTTATTCTAAGAGAAACAATTCTCTTTTTTATTATATTTAAAGTAATTTTTCTCACAAAAAGACCAATTTTTATTGTGGCAAAATCAGTTATTTGAAAAATAAAAATAACCTACTAGACCAATTTTGATCAAATTTCTGTGCAACCAACATGTAAGTATGTATTTTCCAATAAAAAAAGAATTTTCCAAATCGGCTTACAACTGACGGAGTTATGAGCTAACAAACATAATAAAAAAAAATACAACCGAATCGAGAACCTATTTCTTTTTAAAGTCGGTTGAAAATATAATATAACTTTATTTATTATATAATTAAGATTTTATAGTATACGAAAAATAAAAACCGAACGACGCGGCGCCTCTCATGAAAGATATTATCGGCTTCACAGAGTCATAAATTGAAAACTGGTTTTGCAACAATACATGAACCCTGGCGTAAACTGGTTACACGACTTGATTGCACCGAGCCTTGACATAGCTGAATCGTAGCACAGAATATTTATTAGTCATAGATTATATAGATAGTGTCTCGTCTCGTATAGATAGATATATGTATGTAAATACTTCGAAAAAAAAAAATATGTCAACGTATTTTATACTAATAACAAGGAATTACATAGAAGGAATGATAAAATAAGAACTGTAAATCATACGGTTGCCTCCTTTCTTCTTATGCAAATATAATTAGTGAAAAGAGAACGAAAGATACACCATCAGTTGCTATTTTTCTCAATTCATAGCAGGCTAGTGTATAAAAAATGTGTAAGTAAAATTTTTGTTCATTTACATTACTAGATTATATATTCCGCACAATTTATGTAGAAAGTATGCAAGCAGGTTGTATCTGAATTTGGTAGGGTTATACGGCCGTATAACATTTTCTATACACTGGCCTGCTATGAATTGACTAAAACAGTAACTGATGGTGTACCTTTCGTCCTCTTTTCACTAATTATATTTGTATAAGAAGAAAGGAGGCAACCATATGATTTACAGTTTTTATTTTATCATTCCTTCTATGTAATTCCTTGTTCTTAGATCTCCGTTTCTTATAGTCTGTAATCTAGTAAAAATATAACTAGGATTGTCTATGATTCGATTTCTCTTTCGTTCGGCATCTAAAGAAGAAAGCGAAACTTAATGAAGATCTTCTCGATAAGCTGGACCGTCTCCTCAACCAAGCCATACGCTTTATCTTCAACCTCCGGAAGTTCGATCACATTTCTTTATATCGGTCTCGGCTTAAGTGGTTTTCCATTCGTCAACGGAGAAACGTTAGGACTGTTTGTACCCTCTACACTCTTCTTCGAAACCCCCAGTCTCCTAACTACTTAAGCAGTAAATTCCAGTATCTTTTTGAACCTCACGAACGTAACCTTCGTTCCAGTAATACTCTCCAATTATCTTTCCCCTCTCACCGTACTGGTTACGCTTCAAACTCTTTTCTCCTACATTCTTCACGACTCTGGAACGCGCTTCCTGATGCCATTAAGAGACTACCGACTAAACCGTCTTTAAAAAAAAAACGTTCACGCTCGCTTTTTTACTTTATCCGAGCAGTGAGTGCTTTATATTATTCTCAATTTCGTGTATAATATAGTATATATCATATATGTGTAAATATATTTGTTATTTATATATATTTATTCATTTATACATCTAATTTTAGTATGTATGTATATAAATAATTAGTAGTACCGCATTCAAGTATTCTGACACTTGCCTATGGTCGACTGGGAGAGAATGCTTTCAGCATTAAGTCCGCCATGTACACATATTTGTACTAATGAATAAATAAACAAATAAATATGTCCCGACGATGGCGGGCCGTATGCTTGTTCGCCAAATCAGTTGTTTAAAAAACGAATTTGGAAAATTCAAATTTAAATGTTTTAACTGAAAGAATGTACGTAATAGATGCTCTATGTGTTTAATGTAGCAAAGCCTATGTTACCTGTTCCTCCTTGGTGGGTGGGGGCGGCGTGATGGGGTCCTCGGGGGGCCTCCTGTCGGGTGACAGGCAACACGTGTCCATGTACGAGGGGCACGGGCCATCCTTGAGACTGAAACAAACGAATATTCATATTTAAACTCTAGCTGTTTCTTTATGGGGTAAAAATGGAATGGTAACCCCGTCTCACTAATGGTATATGCTGACGAGGCACCGGTGACTGACAGAGTGATGATGATGACGACAGGCCATCGCGATCATCAAGAATTAATACAGCTAACCTGCGGGGGGAAAGGGATTGTTAGTAATGGGGTCTAACTGACCCATTGACCTGATTGACCCATTGCTAGCAATCCAGGGTGTATTGCTAGCAATGGGTCAATAAGGTCGACCTCCACGCGGCTCCCCCTGAAAACCGGTGGAAGGGGATTATTAGTAATGGAGTCTAATAGTCCCATTGCTAGCACTATACACACGCGGTTCCCCTTGGAAGCCATCATGTTTAATTCTTGTCGAATTCATCATGGTGAGCCAACTGACCTGCATTCATTCTCACCTATCATCCCTCACTGATGCCCCGCCGGCGTATACCATTAGCGCAGACGGGGTTTTTTTTTTTAATGGATGATAATGGAATGGTAACCCCGCCTGCGCTATCGGTATACACCGGCGGGGCACCACCGAGGGATGATCGGTGAGAATGAAAAGGCAGATCAATTAGCCCATCGTGTTGAATAGACCTGGAATTCAGCACGATCGTTTCCAGGGGGGGCCACGTGGAGGTCGACCTGACAGAGTGTATTAGTAGCAAATGGAACTGGTAGTCCTCATTACTAGCAATCCCTTGCAACGCTCGCAGGCGGGGTTAAAATACCATTGTCAACTGTTAAAAAAAAAAAAGTTGATGTCGGTGACTCACCGTATATCGATGATGCCGACGCCGTCGGTGATGATGGTATTGTTGTTGACGTCACACAGGTAGTACCTCACGCACTCGCCCTCCTCGCCCTTGTCCGTGGTGCACGACGTGTCGCCTGCCACAACAAAACGTTCACGCTGTAGCGGTTACGAGCGGCGACCACGCACTTACCGGAGGCAGACTTTGTACAAAAGTCGATTGCTTGGGTACCTCTGTCTCATTCGTGTTTCAACCGTGAAGCAGTTGTGTTTGCATGGCTGTGTTTCGGTTTGAAGGGTGGGTGGGATATGGCGTGAATTTACTGGGTACAGACGAATAACACCTAAGTCCTCAGGAACGGCAACGCATGGGGGGTATCATGGGCGAAACAGTATACTCTGTTATGTCCATGGTACTGCTCATGTCTATAGGCGATGGTTACCACTTACCATCAAGTGGGCCGTCAGCTTGTTTGCCATTCTATGTTGTATGAAAAAAAAGTTGGCTAAACAAAAACAGTACAGAGATATGTATATTAAAGTGCCCGTAACCGGCGAGTGTGTACGAAAAGATTGATGAATGTGGAGGAAGCGAAAGAGGTTTGTACGAATCGAAGCATTTGGCGTTCCATTGTTTCTGCCTACCCTAATGGGAGACAGGCGTGACAGATATGTGTGTATGTATGTATGTATGTATATTATTGCATCATTGCATAAACTGTCAGACAAAGAATTTAACAATCCAAAAATAACTATTAAAAAAAAATAAGATAAGAATTTTAATTGGCAACAAAACAAAGGGAAACACGCGGGTTTTAACAATCATTTACTGATCATTGCAACGTCATTCCACAATCAATGTCAATTGAGATGACATTGATTGATCACGACATGATTTCGTGTTACAAATGTTGAATTCATATGTAATTTTGTGTTAGAACACAAAGCAAAATTTTACTAACAATCTATACGCACTTATATTATTAGTCGTTTGCTTGGGTACCTCTGTCCCATTCGTGTTTCAACCGTAAGGCAGTTGTGAATTTTTTTTAATGGGTAATAATGGAATGGTAACCCCATCCGCGCTATCGGTATACACCGGCCGGGCACCAGTGAAGGATGATAGGTGAGGATGAAGCAGGTCAGTTAGCCCATCGTGACGAATTCAACAAGAATTGTTCATGATGGTTTCCAGGGGGAACCACGTGGAGGTCGACCTAATAGGGTATATTGCTAACAATAGGGGTGTCAATCTCCATTCCTAACAATCCCTTTCCCCCCTTGGCAGTTGTGTTTGCATGGCTGTGTTTCGGTCTGAAGGGTGGGATATGGCGTGAATTTACTAGGTACAGAGGAATAGCACCTGAGTCCTCAGGAGTGGCAACTTATAGGGGGTATCATGGGCGAAACAGTATACTCTGTTATGTCCATGGTACTGCTCATGTCTATAAGCGACGGTTACCACTTTCTATCAGGTGGGCCGTCAGCTTGTTTGCTATTCAAACAGACAGATTGGGACAGAGGTACCATTTTGTACAAACGACTTTTGTACAAACTCTCCCTCTGATATTAAAAAATTATAATAAAAAAAATCCTTCTAATAAAAATTCCTTATAATAAAAAAAAAAACTTACTATCGTCATTTCCAGAAACTACCCCAGGCACCAGTGTCGATGACTCCCCCTTCTTGTCGCCGAGAGATGGCGTCGGGGACGGCCTGGGTACAGGCGCCACGGTGCCGACCTGGCCAGCATTGTCTCCTGGCTTGCCGAAGATCTGCTGGAGGACTGACTCGAGGTCACCGCCTCCTGTATCTTGACCATAGACAGCGGATAACAGTACTAGTATTGCTAGTGATTTGTACATCTGAAAAAAAAAGAAATAAATATATAAATATATGTAAATGACATTTGTAAGCTATTGTAATTAGATATCAGACGGCCTACCATGAAATGTTTTCCGAAATTTCGGGGCCAAACGAAACACAAATTTGATGTTAAAACTACATAATACATGCCGTTTGGAAATATTAAAAATGTTAAAATATTGTTCCTTTGGACTTTTATGATAGGATATATGACGAACGAAATGTTAAACTCCATTTATTGATCCGATTTTGGTATAAACAAAAACACGAAATAGAGTCCGAAATTTCGGGATTTCATTTCATGGTAGACCCGCTGTTTTGCCAATGGTTGACAGCGGTAGCATTTAATATAAGGAAATAATAACATCTTATAGTGAAATACTATAAAATGGGGGGAAAGGGATTGTTAGTAATGGGGTCTAACTGACCCATTGCCAGCAATACAACTTATCAAGTCGACCTCCGCACGGTTCCCCCTGGAAACCATCACGGTTAATTCTAGCAGAATTCGTCACGACGGGCTAACTGACCTGCTTGCATCATCACCTGTCATCCCTCACTGGTGTCCCGCCAGCGTGTACCGATAACGCAGGCGGGGTTATCATTCCATTATCACCCATTAAAAAAAATACTATAAAATATAAAAAAAAAACAGCAATTTAATATATGTATTAAAAATATTACTGCAACGTGCGGAATTAGCTGTGTAAGGTCAACGACTCAAGCGTACGAAAACTACCTACGAAGAAGTGCTAAGCCCGCCTTTTGTGCTATGTGTGATGAGTTCAGTAAAAAAAAAAATATATTGTTATTATTATTTAACTCTTTATTGCACCATAAATAAAAATATACAATGACAAGTGAATAATTCAAGTGAAATACAGTAACATACATACAGATTAACATATACACATAAAGGTACAAAAGGCGGTCTTATCGCTAGGGCAATCGCTTACAGACAACCTTTGGTTAAAGGAGAACAGATAGAAAGGGGCAGGTGGCGCAAGAGTGAATTAATAATTTTTCGTGCATAAAATAAAATAAAATAATTTAAAATTAATTAATAATGAAATAAATAAACATATCGCACAGCGCCATCTCGATCGCTCGCCTTTTACATTTCTGATTTTCGTTTTTATACAATATATTATTTTATACATATTCCTTTGTTAATGCCTTCTGTATATAATATATGTGAATAAACAAAGTTAGTTATAATACTTATTTCCTCCGAACAACAACATATATATGTATACGAAATGAGCGACGACCTTTTTCCCGCCATAAATTTCCAGAGTAACCCAATATACAGATATCAGACGGTCATGATTTTTTTTTCTTAATGAACGTTAATGAATAGTTAACCCAGCTGGCGCGAAGTTGGGGGAAAAGGGATTGTTAGTAATGGACACTGAGAATACTATTGCTAGCAATATACCCAACCAGGTCGACCTCCTCGCGGTTCTCCCTGGAAACTATCATGTTTAATTCCTGATGAATTCATCATGATGGGCTAACTGGCCTGTTTTCATTCTCACCTATCACCCTTCACTGGTGCTCCGCCAGCATATCCCGTTAGCGCAGGCGGGGTTACCATACCATTTTCACCCATCAAAAAAAAACCCAGCTGGCGCTAACGGTGTACGTGGATCACGTGGAGGTAGATCTGACATATTACTAGCAATGGGACTGGTAATCCGCATTATTAACATTTTTTTTAATGAGAAAAAATAAACATAACCCAGTAAACACAGATGATGTCGCGGGTTAAAATTAATAGAAACGTAAAAACCATAGACTAGAAAAAAAAAGGTAAATTATTGGCGCGAAATTACGTGTCAACGTATTCGCAGTGAGCTACGTAATCAACTAATTTGTTATGGGCCAGGGAAATAACCGGAACCGGTAGATTTTATTCTAATAACCGGTTTCAGATAGCTCTAATTGTGTTTAATGTTATTTGTGATGTCAAACCGCTTCAGAAAAGGACGTACTGAATACGGTTGTTTTTTTTTTCTATATTTATAACCTCAACTCCGTCAGTTGTAAACCGATTTGGAATATTCTTTTTTTTATCTAATAATAGTAATAAAATAAAAATAATAATAAACTTTATTAACAAATACAGGGTTGCACAGTTACATGTATTTTGCCCTAGCTTACAAATTAAGGTAAACTGTGCCTTGTAAGCCAGTTACTTCCAACACACAAAAACTAATACTTTGTATTTGTACATGCAGAATTAACAATATTAAGCTACAGATATAATAAACAGGATATATAAGGAAAAAAAAAAATAAATTATTGTTTAACTAGAAGATTACAGATAATAAAATTTTTAAATCTGTAACGTTTCGAGTGTGGTGTGAGAGAAGGTGAACAGTGCGAGTGTGTGTATGTTTAAAGTGAAGAGTGATATTAATGTGTATTCTATTTTTGTTTGTTTTTATGCTTCTTACATATAAATCCAGTACTCTATTAGTCTTATCTGTATTGAATCTATACAATTACGGTTATGTACTTGTTGTGTGAAAGCATATACTTACTTATTGGTCCCATGGACATGTAGTTTAGTTTTTTAATCTAATCATGCGAGTAGTATTATCACAATGGATGTCACTGTGTTTCTTTTTTAATGGATGATAATGGAATGGTAACCCCGCCTGCGCTAACGGTATACGCTGACGGGGCACCAGTGAGGGATGATAGGTGAGGATGAAAGTAGCTCAGTTGGCCAAACGTGAAGAATTGCATGAGAAGTAACCACGATGGTTTCCACGGGGAACCGCTTGGAGATCGACCTGTATAATAACATTGCTAGCAATGGGGGCTGTTTTTTTTATGGGTGAAAATGGTATGGTAACGGTAACTCCGCCTGCGCTAACGGGCTACGTTGGCGGAGCACCAGTGAAGGGTGATAGATGAGAATGAAAACAGGCCAGTTAGCCCATCATGATGAATTCATCAGGAATTAAACATGATAGTTTCCAGGGGGAACAGCGAGGAGGTCGACCTGGTTGGGTATATTGCTAGCAATGGGGTTCTCAGTCTCCATTACTAACAATCCCTTTCCCCCCGCAATGGGGCCGTTAGACCGCATAGCTAACAACCCCTGTCCCCTAAGGATGTCACTGTGTTTGGTTGACTGGAAGAAATGAATGAATGAGTATACTTTATTTGCATTATACAATATAGGAAATAAGCAAGACAATTTACAAACATAACGATACAGTTGTATAAGTACAGTGAGGCGGTCTTATTGCTGAGAGCAATCTTTTCAAGACAACCTTAGGGTAATGGACTAATTGTTGTACAAGTAGGTATTGTATAATTAAGAAAATTAACAGAATAAAATATCTTTTTTTTTATATACCACTTAGAATGGCAAACAAACTGACGGCTCACCTGATGGAAAGTAGTAACCACCGCCTATAGGCATGAGCAGTACCATGCACATAACAGAGTATACTGTTTCGTCCATGATACCCTCCATGCGTTGCCATTCCTGAGGACTCAGGTGTTGTTCCTCTGTACCCTGTAAATTCACGCCATATCCCACCCTTCAAACCGAAACGCAACTGCTTTACGGTTGAAACACGAATGGGATAGAGGTACCCAAGCAAACGACTTTTGTACAGTCTTCCTCTGGTAAAATCTGGTACATCTCTTTTAGAGATAAGTTAGCCTTTGTTAACTTTGTTATTAATTTTTTTTTTTACAACACAGGGCGCAAACGGGCATGCGGCTCAGCTGATGGTAAGTGACTACCGCCGCCCATGGTCACCCACAACACCAGCGGCATTGCAGGTTTGCTGCCGGCCTTTTAAAAAGGAATATGCTCTTTTCTTGAAGGTTATGTTGTCGTATCGGTTCGGAAATACTGTCGCTGGAAGTTGATTCCAAAGAGTGGTTGTGCGTGGGAGAAAGTGCCTTGAAAAACGCACGGTGAAGGACCGCCACTCGTCCAGATGGTTGGGATGAAATTTTAGTTTATGGCGGATTGTTGTTGTGTTGTGTTGTGTGTTGTGTTATATATATATATATATATATATATATATATATATATATATATATATATATATATATATATATATATATATATATATAATCAAAGTAGGTTTTTCTTTGTGGAACAATTGTAAATGTACATGATAACCTAATGACCACGAGGTCGCTATAAAAACAGCATTATCGGACTGTCTGGACAAACCCATATGCAGTTGTGTTAAGAAATAAACAAGCTATATACCTAAATACTTTACATTATTATATATATATAATATACCTAAGTCCTCAGGAATGGCAACGCATGGGGGGTATTATGGGCGAAACAGTATACTCTGTTATGTCCATGGTACTGCTCATGTGTATAGGCGACGGTTACCACTTTCCATCAGGTGGGCCGTCAGCTTGTTTGCCATTCTAAGTTGTATAAAAAAAATTACATTTTTATAATAATACTACAGATGCAGCCCGGCTTCGCGCGGGTACTTAGATAGAATTTTCGAAAATAATATATGTACGTATATCTCGAAATAGGTTATGACCCGTGATATTTAATATCTCCTATAGATAATGGTATGGTAACCCCGCCTGCGCTATCGATATACGCTGGCGGGGCACCAGTGAAGGGTAATAGGTGAGATTGAAGTAAATTAGTTGAGCCATCATGACGAATTCATCAATAAATTGACCCCGATGGTTGGGAGGAAGGCATTGTTAGTAATGCGTACTATCATTCCCATTACTAGCAATAAACACTGTCAGGTCGACCTCCCTATGGTCCCCCCTGTTAACCATCGTGCTGAATTCCAGGTGTATTCATCATGGTGGGGTAACTGAGACGCTTTCATCTGCACCTCTCACCATATACTGGTGTTCCCCCGGCGTATACCGACAGGGCAGGTTTACCTTTCAATTATTATTATTTAAGCCATTAACTGTCCACTGCTGGACATATGTCTTTCCCATAAGGAGAGTTTTGCCAATAGTTGCCACGCTTGGCAGGCGGGTTGGCAACCGCGGTTTTTTTTAATGTGTGATAATGGTATGGTAACCTCGCCTGCGCTATCGGTATACAATGGCGGGCCACCAGTGATAGATGGCTGATGAGGATGAAAGCAGGTTAGTTAGCCCATCCTGACGAATTCAACTAGAATTAGCCACGATGGTTTCCAGAGGGAACCGCGTGGAGGTCGACCTGACAGGGTATATTGCTAATAATGGGGCTATTTGACCCCATTACTTACAATCCCTTTCCCCCGAATATGGCAACCGCAGTTATGCTTTTACAGATGTTTTCAGAGGAACGACCTTTCAATTGTTACCCACAAAATTTACTCTTAGATAAGTACTGTTCGTAATACATACAGCGCATATCTGTATTTAAAGAAAAGGGTCCCGGGTGGGTTATGCCCACCCCTAAACTGTTTCGTGCCCACCAAAGATGCAATCGGAAATTTTAGCTATGCGCAAAGACATATGTCTTTTTAATGGGCCAAGCCTCCCCTAAATAAAAATCTTAATAGCTCTATTGTTTATCTCTTGAAAGTCAATCATCAATCCCTTATCAGTCATGTTTATAAATAAAAAGGTTATGGAATGAGCTCCCTGCCGAGGTTTTCCCAAGAGACTACAGCATGGGGTTCTTCAAAAGGGGGGTAAAGAGGTTTCCTCAGGGTCGGCAACGCGCGCGTAATACCTCTGGTATTGCAGGCGTTCATAGGCTACGGTAACCGTTTACCATCAGGTGGGCCGTATGCTTGTTTGCCACCTCAGTGGTATAAAAAAAAAACTAACTTTTGTCCGCGACTCCGTCCGCTTAACCGGGATTTTTTTTGATGGGTGAAAATGGTATGGCAACCCCGCCTGCGCTAACGGGATACACTGGCGGAGCACCAGTGAAAGGTGATAGATGAGAATGAAAACAGGCCAGTTAGCCCATCATGATGAATTCATCAGGAATTAACCATGATAGTTTCCAGGCGGTACCGCGAGGAGGTCGACCTGGTTGGGTATATTGCTAGCAATGGGATTCTCAGTCTCCATAACTAACAATCCCTTCCCCCCATACACGCTCGACCGGGATATGTTCAATGAACGGGATAAAAAAAAGCCTATACTCTTCTCCATCTCATATATTACGTGTATAGCAAATTACATAGTGATTGGTGAAGCGATTAAGCCGCTATATGGTAACAAACAAACACACTTTTACATTTATAATATGAAATAATGAGAATACCCACAATTATTTATAAACTTCTTTGACCAAAAAGCATTGGCATGTCTGCAAAATAAATGAGATAAGAAATAAAAAGTAGCTAAATAAATTTTTAAACTAAGAACACTAAAAACAAGTTTTATTCGGTCATTAAATTAATTGACACTATAATTAAATACTCCTAAATAATTAGTATTTATTTTGACTTCAAACAATCATTGATTTACAGTTTTTTTTTTACAAATGTTTCAAAGTAAACATCTAAGACACATCTAACACATCTAAGATTTAAATACTTACTTTAAATTGACCTAAATACTTTTCAATTTAACACAAGCATTAAATCCGAAACACAATAAAAAAAAAACACTACATATAACACTATGGCAAACGAAGTTAATCACTTTATTATATTATCTAGGTATATTAAATATTTAAAACAAAAAATCCTACACTATGATGTCATCACAGATTAAAAAAAGCGCGAAACGCATCGAGTTCACTTTTTTTTTTATTATTATTATAATTTTTTTAAGGTTTTTTCCTGTTACGCGCAAGGTTGTGCGTTCCGTGAGACCGAGTCAGTCACACTGGCGGTTGGTACATCGCGAGACTGGTCATTTGCCGCTAATATAATACGTAATTATGATTTCGTAAGTATTATAATAAAACTGTGTTTTCTGTATGTTTGTACATGGTAAATAATCAATCAATTAATACATATAATAAAAACGTAACTGGTCGCTGTCTGTACATGGAAGTTATATAAGAAATACTATTATAGGGGGGATTTTTTTTTATGTGTGAAAATGGTATGGTAGCCCCCGCCCGCGCTAACGGGATACGCTGGCGGAGCACCAGTGAAGGGTGATAGATGAGAATGAAAACAGGCCAGTTAGCCCATCATGATGAATTCATCAGGAATTAACCATGATAGTTTCCAGGGAGAACCGCGAGGAGGTCGACCTGGTTGGGTATATTGCTAGCAATAGGATTCTCAGTCTCCATTACTAACAATCTCTTTCCCCCCTGTGATTATAATTTTAGTATTTAATACAATATAAGACCGGATTCATGAAGTGTTCCAATGGGAATAATATACGGGAACTACATAGTTAGAAGCGGGCAACGCCGCGGAAAAGGGCTAGTAGAAAATAAATATAGACTGTCCACGTTAACATGGCACGCGCCTCCATCTTTTTCCTTCAACATGTGTCCATGTACAGACGCGGCACTCTGTTTGTGTTTGTGAGGGGACGTCTTCAGTTTAGAGGTCAAAGAGGTAAGAGGTCAATTCTGTACCACCCGCCATACATCAGGTACGTGCTGTGCATTTCCATTCCTAAGCTCCTTCGTAATCTATACTTATAATAAATCTGTAGAGAGGCAATTCTGTACATGAAATATATTTCCAAAATAACTATCAGGCGGTGATTAGTGATCGATACTGATGCCAAAAATGCAATCAGTAAAATTTTTGTCTGTCTGTCTGTATGTTCGTTATAGAAACAAAAACTACTCGACGGATTTTAACGAAACTTGGTACAATTATTCTTCATACTCCTGGGCAGGTTATAGTATACTTTTCATCACGCTACGATCAATAGGAGCAGAGCAGTGATGGAAAATGATAAAAATGTCCACCCGTTTATAATATGACTCATATCAATCGATCACTAATCCACCCGCTGATAGTTATTTTGGAAATATATTTCATGTACAGAATTGACCTCTCTACAGATTTATTATATGTATAGATTACGAAGGAGATTAGGAATGGAAATGCACAGCACGTACCTGATGTATGGCGGGTGGCAGGAGGCTGGTAAAGCGGTCGGCGATAATGGCTGCTGACTCCAATAGATGGACACTAGTTTTTTCTTTTTTTTATGTGTGAAAATGGTACGGTAACCCCGCCTGCGCTAACGGGATACGCTGGCGGAGCACCTGTGAAGGGTGATAGGTGAGAATGAAAACAGGCCAGTTAGCCCATCATGATGAATTCATTAGGAATTAACCATGATAGTTTCCAGGGGGTACCGTGAGGAATTCGACCTGGTTGGGTATATTGCTAGCAATGGGATTGTTAAGATTCTCAGTCCTTAAGATATAAATAGTGTTTGTGCGTGTCTGTGTTTCTATATCTCATGAAAATACTATATAAGTGCCCATCGGGGGGAAAGGGATTGTTAGCAATGGAGTTTGACAGCCCCATTGCTAGCAATATGCCCTATTAAGTCGACCTTCACGTGGTTCCCCCTGGAAACCATCGTGATTGAATTCGTCACGATGGGCTAACTGGCCTGCTTCATCCTCACCTATCATCCTTCACTGGTGCTCCGCCGGTGTATACTAATAGCGCGGATGGGGTAACCATTCCATTATCATCCATTAAAAAAAATTTACTTGGGGCCTTTCATTTTAAGATAGAACATTGGGCCTTTTAATGTAGGGTATATAGGGTATGCCCCTCAATCCCCCTCCCCCCCCCCCCCCAAGCTACGGCCATGCTGTCTCAACAATAGCATTACTTATAGTTGTTAATCTTTCATGAAACTTAAATTTATATTTACATAAAATAGCAAAGAAATCGTTAACTTCTCTCTGCGAACATTCCAGATGCACTACATCGCCATGGCAAGTTGGCTGTATCGATCTTAATCTTGACGAATGGATTTAAATATTTAAATACCAAAGATAAATAGATATAATAGATAAATAGTATTTTTTATTCACTCTCCTATTAATCACAATTGATGTACTTATATTTTTTACTGTAATAAAAAAATTAACAAAAAGTATTTATGCCGGTAACAAATTTTGTTGGAGTTTCCAACAGGCCAGTTGCACTTGTCCCTACCAACGTTTCCCCATTAGGAAGTAATAGTGGAATTTTATTCCACCTATTCCCACTGGATATTAACCCTACCGAGCGTTGAGGGAGACTTTGTACAAAAGTCGATTGCTTGGGTACATCTGTCCCATTAGAAATATGAAAGCGTAGCGGTTTTTGTATTAATTGCCGCATGCATTCTTATGTAAAATGTGAATACTATAACTATCAGATGGCAATTGTGAGTAGCTTTGACGTGGTCTAGTGTTTTGAGTAGTCATGCTCACTAAAATGTCCAGACTTGTGGCGGCGTGGTGGGCCGTGTCATTGGGCTCCCTAAAATATGGTCGAGCGCAGTGATGGCTGGCTCATCCGTCATACTCGTGAACGGGTGCTGCTTGTAGGGACTGGTCTGCTCTAATCACTATGACTGATTTCCTCTTATTAATTGTTTAACCAGTTGGTTATGTATTCAATATTTTTTCTTTTTGAGTATTTAATTGAATTAGTGCTAATTGGTGGTTTGTATTCACACACTTAAACTTAAAAATGTAAAGTAATAATAAAATTATTTAAAAGAGCAACACGCAAGTTTCTTGCTCGTTCTTGTGATGAGACAGCTTTCCGAACGAGCGGTAGATTAAAAAAAATGTAATGACTATTCAAAAGTGCTTCAATGTAAGTTTATTTGAATAAATGATTTTCTATTTTCTATTCTATTCTATTCGTGTTTCAACCGTGAAGCAGCTGTGGTTGCATGGCTGTGTTTCGGTTTGAAGGGTGGGATATGGCGTGAATTTACAGGGTACAGAGGAATAACACCCGAGTCCTCAGGAATGGCAACGCATGGGGGGTATCATGGGCGAAACAGTATACTCTGTTATGTCCATGGTACTGCTTATGTCTATAGGCGACGGTTACCACTTTCCATCAGGTGGATCGTCAGCTTGTTTGCCATTCTAAGTTGTATAAAAAAAAAGTTGAGCATCGCTAGGAATGCGTTATTGTATTGCAAACAAATTTCTTTGCATTATAAGCTCTTTTGTACAACTAAATCATAATTGGTTTGTGTAAAAAAACAATAAATAATAGACTAGCTTAGAACAGTGGCTATATCGTCTAGACAGCATATTAAATTCGAACAGTGGCTAAATCGTCTAGCCAGCATATTGGATTCGAACAGTGGCTAAATAGTCTAGCCAGCATATTAGATTCGAACAGTGGCTAAATCATCTAGCCAGCATGTTAGATTCGAACAGTGGCTATATCGTCTAGCCAGCATATTAGATTCAAATAGCGGCTAAATCGTCTAGCCAGCATATTAGATTCGAACAGTGGCTAAATAGTCTAGCCAGCATGTTAGATTCGAACAGTGGCTATATCGTCCAGCCAGCATATTAGATTCGAACAGTGGCTATATCGTCCAGCCAGCATATTAGATTCGAACAGTGGCTATATCGTCTAGCCAGCATATTAGATTCGAACAGTGGCTATATATATCGTCTAGCCAGCATATTGGATTCGAACAGTGGCTATATAAATCGTCTAGCCAGCACATTAGATTCGAACAGTGACTAAATAGTCTAGCCAGCATATTAGATTCGAACAGTGGCTAAATAAAAGTGTCTAGACAAGTCAACAATTAATACAAAACGATATTGAACTATACGTATATAACTTTCTCTTGAGTCACTCCTATCTACTGATGAAAACCGTTGGGTAGTTTAAAAGATCTAAGCGTACAGACGACGGGAAGCGACTTTGTTTTATACTGTGTAGACAGATTATATAGATAAAGTGTCTTCATACAAATGCTACGAGAAACACGGATCAACTTTTTCATACAATTTTATGTGATAAACAGTTATGAGTGTTTCCTTTATAACTTAATAAAAAAAAATATATATTTTTTAATTGAATTCACTTATAATCGTATTTTCTGATATTGCTCACAACTTAGGTTACATGTTTATTTCTATAACTAATAACGCAACTTTTAAAATATTTGTAGTCTAGTGTTGTTTAATTCATTATAATTGTTACTTAATTTTCTCGCACTGTATAACTATGTTAAAGCAAATGCTGTGAATACCTATAATAGGCGTGTGCATTAATATTGTATTATATTTAATGTTTGTATTATTATTATTTTTTAAAAAAAAAAGCAATATGCTGTTAGTGTTCCTTAAATAAATAAATAAATAAATAACTACTATATTTATTTTGTCTTATAATTTTGGTATCTTTTTAATGCGTAAAAACTAATTTTATTTATTAAATAATTAAATATAGATACGTCAAGATGCATTGTGTGCGTAAGTATGTAGCATACTTATAAAATTATATATTTTATTTATTTTTTAAAACACGCAGACAAGCGTAAATATTTTATATATATATGTAATACGGTCGGTCGCGCACGCAGCTTGTTTGATGTACCTATGCGCGCGCAGGACGCGCAGGCGCTAGGCGACTACGGGTTGCGCGCGCAGGCCGCGCATGCGTATATGTAAAAGAATTTTGTTGTTGGCGCCACGGCACACATATCGTCTTAATATTATACCTTTTTTATATTTTCTATTGTTCTCCTTCTTTACTATTATATTACTATTATTACTGTATTAATAAACGTTTACATTATACATTCTAATAATATCATTCTCTCTTAATACCATCCGCTTTAAGTATATAGAACACTGATAAGAGACCTAGTCAGCTAATTTGACAATTAGCTGACAAAAAGTTGATCCGTTTTTGAGACTCGATGATCTGATCTGATGAGATCTATATTATTATAATTTAAAGTGGAGATATTTAGAAGGTAAAGCCACGTTATACCACAGTGCATAGACTTGAGGAAAACTATTAGATAAATACATTATTTGTACACCGGCAGAATCTCTTATGAACCGCTAGGATATTAAACAAATGCAAATCGAATGTGAGGAATAAATAAATAAAATGCTTATGAATATTTGCTAGAGACAAACGCAGTGAAGGACGACCCCCTATTAAGTAGAACGACGACCTTATTACAACATGTTTACATGACATAATGTAGTTTACGTAATGATAACTTCATTACATTACCTAGTTTATACAGGGTGGGAGGACAGCATTGTTAGTATCGAAGTTTAACAGCCGTTTTGCTTGCAATACGCTCCATCAGGTCGACCTTCACGCGGTATCCGCTGGAAACCATCATGGTTAAAAAACAAAAGAGAAAAAAGTACATTGAATATAGTCTATGGTGTTGATATTGTGTTCGTTTATGTGGCGTACGATGTATTCGTCACGATGGGCTAACTGACCTGCCTTTTTATTCTCACCTATCATCCCTCACTGGTGCCCCGTCAGCGTGCACCGTTAGCGCGGACAGGATAGCCACTCCATTATCATCCATTGAAAAAATAAATGATAGAAAATTCACCGGGTCATCTTTACTCTTAAATGTTTATTTTTATTTTATCTTTATTTGGTCTCCTAGCAATTGTTACACTGACATGATTTAATATTAAAATTACTGTCTATTAATAATAATAAAAATCTTGAAGTATTTGACATAGGTATAGTTTTTTTTTATACTTCTCCATTATTTATGCCAGTAGTCCGATCAATTTAGACATTCATTATTTAATTATTCAACTTCTGTCATCATGATATCAGCCGTTAACATAAGCCTCCCCTGGGGGAGCTTTGCCAGTAGTTGCCACGCTTGGCACGCAGATTGGCAGCCGCAGTTAGGGTTTAGAGATGTTTTAAGAGGGACGCTACTGCCCATCCCTTGCCCTCGCTTAGTGGTCTCTTACGACACTCACGAGAAAGGAAGGGGTGGCCTATTCTATGCCGGGACCATACAATTTGTTTGTGTACATATTGTTGAATTTTATAATCTGTATCATTCTTTAAAGGGAACAATAGTTTTCGTTTTTTCGTTCATTTACCAGAAGGAGACTTTGTACAAACGTAGATTGCTTGAGTACCTCTGTCTCATTCGTGTTTCTACCGTGAAGCAGTTGTTTACATGGCTGTGTTTCGGTTTGAAGGGTGGGATATGGCGTGAACTTACTGGGTACAGAGGAATAAAATCTGAATCCTCAGGAACGGCAACGCATGGGGGGTATCATGGGCGAAACAATATACTTTGTTATGTCCATGGTACTGCTCATGTCTATAGGCGACGGTTACCACTTTCCATCAGGTGGGCCGTCAGCTTGTTTGCCATTCTAAGTTGTATAAAAAAAATTAATAAAGTTACTGATGCAGAAATAAAAAAATATATTTATTTTATGTTTAACAATATATTTCTTGCATATTATGTAAGGTACTACGACTAATAAATTATACAGTTTCCAATTATTATTATTTTTTTTATTATTATTTTATAAAAACGCAGTCATATTCGGAAGCAATTTACAGCTTTGCACTTTTGACAATAGGTAAATACGTACCTACTCAATACGTACTTTTTAATTATATTGAAAATTAAATTATGTACTAAATGTAGTACAGATTGGTAATATCTGATATCTATAAATTGAATTCACCTTGATATTGATGGCCACCCATTGCGATGTCGCGCATACCAGTCGATTATCTATGTTTATTTCTAGCGGCTCTTTCTTTTTAATATTATATATTGAATAACCGACATTTAATATGACTGTTATTGTGCCAATATATGTGTAGATATTGTAACTACGATATATAGATATTGCTATATATTACCCTGGTACTTCACCTATATTATATCAAAGTACACCGCAACCTCAATAGGTTGTGAAAAATATATTTATATACTAATATATACATTCAAAATAATATTAAAAGCTTAATCATGAACATTTAACGTAACATGCGATTCAGTCACCGGTTTGGATATCCGAAAGAAACCCAAGAACCCATATTCAAATTTATAAAAAAAAATTAGGCTTTATAATTTTATGCCTTTGCCTTTATCATTGTGAAAAGTATAACAACAATATACATAGGAGAATATCGCAATACCTCAATGACTGTGGACTTCTTCGAAACATTACAATACGGAACTACAACTAAACTATAATCAAATACATTTTGGCGGGATAAAATCTACTACCACATTTATAACCAAAAACTATAAATTTGAAAAATATAACATGACCAAAGACAATAGAATGTAGTAAAATAGCAAAAATAGATAAAAAAAATATTATATTAATTAATCCCCACATTCTTAAGTGCTATTCTGTATCTAAGAAAAAAACATACGTGACGATAAAAAGAAATACATAAAAAAGACATTAAATTAGTAATTTATGTTTATTGTGGCCTGGTTCTAGTTAATTGAACCAACAAGATATCGTTGGACAAATAAATAGACAAAACATCACTGAAATTTCACATAAATTACGGAAATTTCCATGTATTGCCCGATATAAAAGGTCACAAGCCGGACAATGGCCGAAGCGGCAGAAACTTGTTCACTGCAGTTAGCAGGGCCATTCATTGGGAAAAGCGGAGGCAAATATTATTTATATATTGAAACATTTTTTGCCTCGAAGGGCAAATATTTTTGCCTGGAGTGGCAAATATATTTTGCCTGGAGCGGCAAATATTTTTTGCCTGATGTGACAAAACAGAATAGGCGAGTTTAGAAGCGTAACCATACTAACCAAGCATGGGCAATCAGTAGGAAGGCCGAAAATATTTGTCATTTTTCGTCTCCTTGTTTTTTTGGGGCGGAAAATTGAATTTTACTTGTACATTGAAATAAAAACAAATGTTAATTCAATAGTTTATATTATCACAGAGCTTACTGTTTGAAACAAGCCAGATTCTAACATAACAAAATGGACAAAACTATTTCAAGTGGTCAAAAATGCAATATCTAACGCGAACTGGCTGGAAAAATAGGTGAACACATAATATAGTTTATTTCAAATTAAAATCTATAACACACTAATACACGAGCAAAGCCGCGGTATTTATTTAGTTTATTTTCATATGTATTCACCTATTTGTCGTTCTCTCATATATTTGGTTTCACACATTTAAGATATTATTATATACATAATCATTTTTACGAAATGCGTGTTTTAAACTACATTCTTAAATTTAAATTTGGAACAGAACATTATGACAGTGACATCTCGATTATGACAGCGTCGATTCCCGCCTTTTTTTAAATCTCAGATACGGTAGTTGCTATAGGAGATCACTAAATGCAAGCAAATTCAACACCATATCATGTTATTTTCCAATTTATAATATATTAAATCGACACAAAAAAATATATATTACAAATATAACCTCGAATGTTTGGTGAAAAAAAAACTACAAGATTTGGTGTTACCTGAAATAAAATTTCTAAAATGTATTTATACACGTACGTTTGTTTGTTAGTTTGTCTGTGCTAAAATATGAGATGAGTAACATAATTGCAATGTAGCAATAACCCTCTTAATTTGCATTTATTATTCCTTTTTGGTCATAATGTGACTGTTTAAAATAAAAGAACATTTTAAATTGCTGTATATATATATATATATATATATATATATATCCCTTTCAGACCCAAGATTTTTTTCCTTTCAGATGAAATGTATTTTCGTGTTTTGGAGCGAAGCCATCTTGCCGGCACGCACGAGACTACTGCACCACCTAACCGCTAAAACGATTTCTTATTGGCTGGTTTAGAATCTCCCTATCATGTTATTTCAGCTTCGTGAGTAAAAATGAATTACGCGCGGTTTTAGAATTTTTTAAAATTACAACTCACGCCCGTATCGTTCAGGTCTGAAAGGGGTATATATATAGTATATATATATATATATATATATATATATATATAGTATATATATATATATATATATATACTATATATATACCCCTTCGTCCGGTAATACAATCATACGGATATCCGGTCTTTTACGGTAGAACGGATAAAAAAATCACTCGGTTAAACAAGGTTTCTTAGGCGGATCATTGATGGCCTATTAAACTTCCTATTTAGATTATCCGTATATCCGGATGTACGGAAGAAGACATAAATAACGGTCAAACTTTACGCGACACTCGAGATCATCGTGATTAAACTCTTCACCATAGACCAACTGTGCTGCTTTCATCATCACCTTTCATCCCTTACTGGTGCTCTGCCAGATAGCGAAGGCGGAGTTACTATTTACATGCATCAAAAAACTACATTATATCCGCCTATTACATCCGAGTTATAATATACCAATCGCCCAGCCGGTAATCCGATAAATCAATCCAAAATAAATAACCATACACGTGAGCATTCATATCCGCCTTTAACATCCGGATTATACAGCACACCTAGCCTATCCGGATATCCGGGTAATCGAGTCAAAATAACAGTAAATGGGGGTAATCTTATATCCGCCTGTTGGACATCCTGATCTTAGTATCCCATCCTTCGAGCCGGATCAGCCGACCCGGTTAAACGAGCCTCTACTGTAACTAAAACTACAATTAAAAGATGGCTATATATTAAATCATATCGCCAATCGCGTATTCAATAAAACTAGTCAACGTTCACGAACGGAAATATCTAATTATGTGCCTAATTCAAAAACAGATTTTGGTTTAGTTCTTGTCTTCCTTCTTCTCTTCTTGGCCTTCTGTTTGCGTCTGCTGCTGGCCACCTTCTCGTTCTGCCGCCATCTGTAACAAAGTTGAGGAGTGAGCATTATTTCCCTTTAAATTTGTCTGAATTCTCTTTTGTTAAAATAGAATAGATAATATTTTTTGTTAAAAAAAAAAACATATATATATATGTATATATAACAGAAAATACAGGGGGGGGGGATTATTAGTAATGAGACCATTCACCAGCCCAATTACTAGCAATACACCCTAACAGGTCGACTTCCACGCATTTCTCTCTAGAAACCATAGTGGTTAATTCTTGTTCAATTTTTTTTTTATACAACTTAGAATGGCAAAGAAGCTGACGGCCCACCTGATGGAAAGAAAATGTAATCGTCGCCTATAGACATGAGCAGTATCATGGACATAACAGAGTATACTGTTTCGCTCATGATACCCCCTCCATGCGTTGCCATTCCTGAGGACTCAGGTGTTATTCCTCTGTACCCAGTAAATTCACGCCATATCCCACCCTTCAAACCGAAACACAGCCATGCAGACACAACTGCTTCACGGTAGAAACACGAATGGGACAGAGGTACCCAAGCAATCGACTTTTGTACAAAGTCTCCCTCTGGTAAAAATTGGTCACTATGGGCCAACTGACCTATCTTCATCCTCACCTGTCACCCTTCACTGGTGCCCCGTATAGCATATACCGATAGCGTAGGCAGGGTTACCATTCCATCTTCACCAATTAGAAAAAAAAGAACAGAAAATACAGTAATATTATATATGTGTCGCATATAAGGCACAAGGAGCTGGCTCAGCTGATGCTGTGAGTGTCCCAGGACAATGTGTACAGTTCTGCACAGCGCTGGTTCTCAGCCAGTCCCTCTCTTAACAAAGTACAAGACAAATCTTTTTATGACTGTATTACGCGAGCAGCTTCCATAGACAAGGTACAAACGAATCTATGGATAGAATAGCTTACGTCAATACTCGTTTTAGAAAGAACAAGACAGTGTATATCTCCGTCTCGTCCTATCTCATAGTATCGCTAGCGCCAGTAATTCTATCAATCGATTCTTTTGTACTCTAGTGGCAACTGACATCAGACGTTGCTGTCTCGTTCTACATCACGCATATAGCAGCGATAATGTATCTATCGATTGAAATGACGTTTTAAAAGAGCTTGTATATAGATAATTTGAATTTGATAGATTCCTGATCCCTGAACTTGTCTGTGAAGACTGCTTTCTCTCTCTTCTTTATTCTCTTGGACATATTGAAACATGTATACAAGGTGGACTTAACGGCTAACGGGCATTATGTACCAGTTTTAAATATTTAGACTATTTTATTTAAAAAAAAAAAAACATTGTTGAAGCCACAAATCGTCCGGTAGTCTAAAACTAGACATCAGATGACAACTGGACTCCATTCTGTTTAGCACATTCGCTTGACCGTCGCACAGAAGTTGCGAGTGTGACGGCTCAAAAATGTGCATATTTTGTCTTTACATACCCTGAGTGGCCAGGTTTTTTTATACAACTTAGAATGGCAAACAAGCTGACAGCCCACCTGATGGAAAGTGGTAACCGTCGCCTATAGACATGAGCAGTAACATGGACATAACAGAGTATACTGTTTCGCCCATGATACTCTCCATGCGTTGCCATTCCTGAGGACTCTGGTGTTATTCCTGTGTACTGTTGTTGTTGTTAATATTTGCACGCCATTTAACATAATGGACATCATGGAAACTTGATAAATGCAACATCTTATATACATGTTTAGGGCAAATAAATTTCATATAATTTCATTTACCTTTTTGTACGCCTGTTCGAACAGCTTGAGGCTGGCCTGCTGCAGCTGGCTGGTGGCTGTGCGGATAGCTTCCGGGTCCGCTGTGTCCTTCTGAGCGAGCAGCTCTCTTAATTTGGCGATCTCACCACGTAGCTTGTCGCACTGTGGGAGAAAAAAAATAGAATTAAAATTCATCATACCAGCCTTTAACTGTCCACTGCTGGACATAAGCCAGCCCCTTGGGGGGTTTTGCCAGTAGTTGCCACGCTTGGCAGGTGAGTTGGCAACCGCAATTAGGCTTTAGAGATGTTTTACGAGGGATACTGCTGTTTGTCCCTCACCTTCCCTTAATCGATTCTCACGACACCCACAGGAAAGGAAGGGGTGGCATATTCAATTCAAATCATCAAAACAGGTGAGAAACTGATGCTTTACGTCCTTTTTTTTTAAATTTTTTTTTATGATACTGTCATTGTGAGGTGCTATAATTTATTCAGAGTTTGTTCTTTTTAGTTTTGGTTGTAATGTTTTATGTATTTGTTGTAATGTTTTGTGTATTTGTTAAGCGTGTTGATTTTCCCATCCGGGAAATAGGTATTGGCGACCCGCACGCATGCTAAAGGTAAAGGAGTTAAGGGGCCGCCTGTAAATCAGCGATATATAGGTACATCTCGCTGGAGCTGTACATATATAGCAACAGCTGAGGCGGCTCCAGCAACCAGCAACATTGTTTTTTTTTTTTGTAGTTTTAATTTTTTATTTTCTTAATACTGGTAATAAAGGTTATCTATCTATCTATAACCTTACCGATATCAATAATTACTAGTACCGCATTCAAGTATTCTGACACTTGCCTATGGTCGACTGGGAGAGAATGCTTTTAGCATTAAGTCCGCCATGTACACACACATGTACTAATAAATAAATAAATAAATAAATAAATAAATAAGTAAATGGACTACCACAATTACTACAGGATATACACTAGTTTTTATTCGGGTCAGTGAATAAACCTGGCCAATTTCACGCTATAAACAACTAGTCAATACATAGTAGAACTAAATTTGGTATACACATATGAAATGTAAAAAAATATATGCTACGTTTTCTCCTGATCAGTAAACATAACCCAGACAATGTCGCAGGTAAAAGCTAGTCAATACATATAGGTTAGGGCCTTTAGCTCTGTCCTCTTTGCCTACCATGCAAGGTAGACACCAGGTATTATGCTAAGTCGTAAAAATAGATAGATAGATAATTTATTTGCATCACTTACAGCACACAAACAGCAAATAAAACAAAAGCAAAGTGAAAAAAGATAAAAAACGATACATGTACAAAAGATAAAAAAAAAATCAAAAACAAAATCAGAATACATAAAAAATTTGTAAATTTTTTTGTTTTCTTCATGCGCGTGCCACAGTAATACAAAATGGCCACAAGTCAGCTTTTTGCTTTGCCTTAAAAAGAGCAAAACACTGATATTCTATTGTAGCCAAAAGTGAGCCGCGAAATACCACAAAAAAAAAATAATTAAAAAAGTAAGAAATATAGATCAAAAACATAGTGTGCGTTCGTTATATTCGCTATTTAGAAGAAGGGTAATAGTTTGTAGATGACCATGGATCGTCCCATCCATTAATAACAATGGTGGGTGATAACTCGGCCCCGGTTATCTCGCACCGCGCTTTACCAACCGCGTATCACACGCGAACGGCTTAATCTGGGTGCTAGCAAGAAGGGAATAGATAATATATTGCAATACCTATATATTTTAGTACAATACCTATATATTTTAGATGCAATATCTATATATTTTTGATGCAATAATTATATATTTTATATGCTATATCTATATATTTCAGAAACAATATCTATGTATTTTATATGCAATATCTATATATTTCCGATGCAATATCAATATACTTTATATGCTATATCTATATATTTCAGAAACAATATCTATGTATTTTATATGCTATATCTATATATTCCAGAAACAATATCTATGTATTTTATATGCAATATCTATATATTTCCGATGCAATATCAATACACTTTATATGCTATATCTATATATTTCAGAAACAATATCTATGTATTTTATATGCTATATCTATATATTCCAGAAACAATATCTATATATTTTATATGCAATAACAATATATTTTATATGCAATATCTATATATTCTAGATACAATAACCATATATTTTCGGAACAATATCTATATACAATAACGAATGTGTAAAAACTAATAATTGATAACAAACTTTTAACATATTCGAAAATAGATATCCGACCGATAGGGGCAATGAAAAAACTTTTTTCCGCCATCAATGTCCAGTGGGACCCAATATATACATACCGTATCAGTATCCATATTGCCCGTGACTACCACCATCAATACAAATATGGTCTATATTTGTATTGATGGTGGTAGTCACGGGCGTGTCTATGTTAACATGGCATGCCCTTCAACTTTTTACTAAAACCAAAACAATACACAAATAGGTCCACATCGGGGGGGAAGGGATTGTTAGTAGTGGAGACTGAGAATCCTATTGCTAGAAATATATCCAACCAGGTCGACTTCCTCGCGGTTCCCCTTGGAAACTATCATAATTAATTCCTGATGAATTCATCATGATGGGCTAACTGGCCTGTTTTCATTCTCATCTATCACCCTTCACTGGTGCTCCGCCAGCGTATCCCGTTAGCGCGGGCGGGGTTACCATTCCATTTTCATCCAATAACAAAAAAAAATATGTCTACATCTGTAGATAGTCACACACGTTGAAGTAAAAAGTTGGACAGGGGTGTCATATAAACATGGACAATCTATACTACTATGGGGGGAAGGGGGGATTGTTAGTAAGAAGGGCTGAGAGAGGCATTTTTATGCAATAAATATAAATTTTTTTAATTTTTTTTTTATACAACTTTGAATGGCAAACAAGCTGATAGCCCACCTGATGGAAAGTAGTAACCGTCGCCTATAGACATGAGCAGTACCGTGGACATAACAGAGTATACTGTTTCGCCCACGATACCCGCATGGGCGTTGCCATTCCTGAGGACTCAGGTGTTATTACTCTGTACCCAGTAAATTCACGCCATATCCCACCCTTCAAACCGAAACACAGCCATGCAAACACAACTGCTTCACGGTAGAAACACGGATGGAACAGTGGTATCCGAGCAATCGACTTTTGTACAAAGTCTCTGGTAAAGATTGGTATAAATTTGCACTATTGGTGTACTACGATGTGCGAACACTCAAGCTGTGGAATGATCTTCCTGCCAAGACTTTCCCTAGAGACTACAGCATGGGGTTCTTCAAAAAGGACATATTAAGGTTTCTTAAGGATCAGCAACGCACGCGTGACATCCCTAATGCTACAGGCGTCCATAGGCTACCGTAATCCCGTTCACCATCAGACAGGCTGTATGCTTGTTTACCACAATAGCAGTATAAAAAACTATTACGGCTATTATCCGTGCGTAGCCAGGGCGGGCTGATGACTAGGTGCCATGACCATACCTCGTCCTGTGGCAGCTGGCTCTTGTATTCGTCCATCTTGGTCTCGGTGTCGTGGAGGACGCCCTCGGCCTGGTTGGCGACCTCGACGCGGTCACGGCGCTGCTTGTCGGCCGCCGCAAACTGCTCAGCCGCCTTCACCATGTTCTCGATCTCGTCCTTCGAGAGGCCGCCGGACGACTGGATCACGACTATCGAGGGGACAGTGAATGAATGAATAAGTTAATGAATGAATAATTTAACGAATGAATAAGTTAATGAAAGAATAAGTACATTTGCATTATACAATATAGGTAATAAGCAAAACAATAAACGTCCATGCCTTCAAAGCACAAACAAAAAGATTTTACAATACAATTGACAGTTGAGTTACTTTTTTTTTTATACAACTTCAAATGGCAAACAAGCTGACGGCCCGCCTGATGGAAAGTGGTAACCGTCGCCTATAGACACGAGCAGTACCATGGACGTAACAGAGTATACTGTTTCGCTCATGATACCCCCTCCATGCGTTGCCATTCCTGAGAACTCAGGTGTTATTCCTCTGTATCCAGTAAATTCAGTTGAGTTACTTGCGGGCTCTTCTCAACAGATAGCAACCATCAGAACCTTGCAGTAGATTTTAAAAAAATTAGGATTTAAAAGTTCTTGTAAACAAGTCTATTTAAATAAAGATGATTTGAATTTAAAAAATAAAAAAAAAACTAAACAGATTCGAATAAATGGGCAGGTTATATCTTAACATAGCAGGTAGAGTGGGGGGGGGGGGGGGGAGGGGAGGGTATTAGTAATGGAAACTAAGGGCTCTATTGCTAGCAATATAGCCAACCAGGTCGACCTCCCTGTGATCCCCCAGGAAACCATCGTGCTGAATTCCAATTGTATTCATCGCAATGGGCTAACTGATGTTTTTTTCATCCTCACCTATCATCTCTCACTGGTGCCCCGTCAGCGTATACCGTTAGCGCAGGTGGGGTTACCATTCCATTAAGAAAAAAAATATCATATCCTGATATACGCAGGCAAAGCCACGGGATGCAGTCAGTATATAACAGGACTGGTTACTCACTCTGCTGCTCCTTGCCGGTACCCTTGTCCCTGGCGGACACGTGTACGATGCCGTTGGCGTCGATGTCGAAGGTGACCTCTATCTGCGGTACGCCGCGCGGCGCCGGCGGTATGCCCACCAGCGAGAACTGCCCCAGGAGTTTGTTGTCGACAGCCATCTCTCGTTCGCCTTGGTGCACCTTGATCTCCACTTGGGTCTGGCCGTCGGCGGCTGTAACAATTTTTTTTAGTTTAAAACACACACTAGCATAGAACAATTTCTCAATTTGAATTTGTGAATTTGAGGGATTTATTATTTTGCCTCAAGATCGATAAATTAAAACAATTTCAAATTTTCTTTTATGCAATTTAGAATGGAAAATTGGCTGACGGCCCATCTGATGGAAAGTGGTAACCGTCGCATATAGACATGAGCAGTACCATGGACATAACAGAGTATACTGTTTCGCCCATAACACCCCCGATGCGTTGCCATTCCTGAGGACACAGATGTTATTCCTCTGTACCGTGTAAATTCACTACCATATCTCACCCTTCAAACCGAAACAGTCATGCAAACACAACTGCTTCACGGTAGAAACACGAATGGGACAGAAGCGGACAGAAGTGCCAAGCAAAGACTTTTGTGCACACTAGTGTACCCACCTGTGGAGAAGACTTGACTCTTCTTGGTGGGTATGGTGGTATTCCTGGTGATGAGCTTGGTGAAGACGCCGCCTAGCGTCTCGATGCCGAGCGACAGCGGCGTCACGTCGAGCAGCAGGATGTCGGTCACGTCGCCGGCCAGCACGCCGCCCTGCACGGCCGCGCCCACCGCCACCGCCTCGTCCGGGTTCACCGACCGCGACGGCGCCCGCCCGAAGATCTCTTGCACTGTCGACTGAACCTGTTCACAAGTAGTACATTGAATTAACACGGTACATAGGAATAACACCTGAGTCCGGGGGGAAAGGGATTGTTAGTAATGGAAACTGACATTCCCACTGCTAGCATTATACCCAACCAGGTTGACCTCCTCGCGGTTCCCCCTGGAACCTATCGTGGTTAATTCCTGATGAATTCATCATGATGGGCTAACTGGCCTGTTTCCATTCGGACGGATACCACTTTCCATCAGGTGGGCCGTCAGCTTGTTTGCAATTTTAAGTTACATAAAAAGAAAGTACAAACATTTTTATTTTGCACTAGCGTTCCGTCCCGGGTTTTCACGGGTACATGGTATAAATGGTTAAAAAATAAACATAAGTTTTAGTAATAGCATATATGCAGATGTTTGCGAGATTATAACCCGGAAGTGTACGAACGCGACCGGGGAATATGTCTCCAGGTTACTCTGGCACCTCCGGCGGACCGCCCGGCCAGCGACAGCTATGGCAGCTGACGATGGCTCGTACTGGTGCTGGTAAGGAATACCTACCGAGCGTAATCTGGCTTTATGGCCCTCACTTTACATCACTCCCCTATGCTGTCACCACTTATTGGTCCCAATGTTCCACACCTCTCCAGCTACCCATTATCGTTGGGGGGAAAGGGATTTTTAGTAATGTCCTCATTGCTAGCAATATACCCCTATCAGATCGACCTCCACGCGGGTGCCTCTGAAAACCATTGTGATGTGATTGTGTCTTGCTGATTTCGTCACAATGGGCTAACTGACCTGCTTTCATCGTCACCTATCATCCCTCACTGGTGCCCCGCAAGCGTATACCAATAGCGCAGGCGGGGTTACCATTCCATTTTCACCCATCAAAAATAGGGACTCCTGGAAACAGTAGAGGTAGCTTGGTAGGACACATACCTTGGGCATACGCGTCATGCCGCCGACGAGCAGCACCTCGCCGATGTCGGAGCGCTGCACCTCCGCGTCCTGCAGCGCGCGCTGGCACGGCGCCACGGTCCGCTTGATCAGATCGCCCACCAGCGACTCCAGTTTGGAACGGCTCATCTGTTCAACAAGACAACATTTTTACATTATTTATTTTATGCACGATTGAACATGTCATGTGGTCCAGGCTGGCCATAGGCCACCCACCCCTTCTTTTCCCGTAGATGTTGTAAGAAGCGATTAAAGAAACTTATTGTTAGCAATGGAGTTTGAGAGCCCCATTGCTAGCAATATGCCTTATTAAGTCGACCTCCACATGGTTCCCTCTGAAAACCATCGTGAACAATTCTTGTTGAATTCGTCACAATGGGCTAACTGGCCTGCTTCATCCTCACCTATCATCTCTCACTGGTGCCCCACCGGTGTATACCAATAGCGTGGGTGGAGTGGGGTTATCATTCCATTGTCATCTATTAAAAAAAAACCATTCCATTATCATCAATTAAAAAAAATCCCTATTACCAACAATCCCTTCTCGCCCCAACACCAATGGGTCAGAGCAGACAACTTCTGTAAAGTCGCCATGTAATATCACGGTAAATATTAGTTCACTCACTTTAAGGTTCATGTGTTTGGGCCCAGACGCGTCCATGGTCAGGTACGGCAGGTTGATGTCGGTTTGCAGCGACCCGGACAGTTCGATCTTCGCCTTCTCGGCCGCTTCCTTCAGCCGCTGCATTGCCATCGCGTCTTTGCGGAGGTCGATACCTTGCTGTGAAAAGAGATGCCACTATAAATACTTGTTTTTAAAATGACTTCGTACACGTAGCTGTTGGAACACTAACTGGGCTAACTGGTCTGTTTTCATTCTCATCTATCACCCTTCACTGGTGCTCCGCCAGCGTATCCCGTTAGCGCAGGTGGGGTTACTATACCATTTTTACCCATAAAAAAAGTCTTCTTTTGGTATATTGATAATGAACTACTAGTTCCCCTTACTAAAAATTCTATATCCTTTATTTTGTTTATAAAAAAAAAAGTCAATCATTTTATTTTTTTCATGTTTTACATTAACAATTATTATTGTAGAATGCTTGGCAATAGTAAACTGATTGTAAATTAATCATTAACTTCACTGGTGCTCCGCCAGCGTATCCCGTTAGCGCAGGCGGGGTTACCATACCATTTCCACCCATCAAAAAAAAAACCACAACACAAAGACATTGCAGGTGTGCTGTAGGCCTTTTAAAAAAGAATTTGGAGAGGACAAACAGAAGTAGAATTACGAAAAAGATGTATCGAGCACGAATGAATGGAGATGTCGGTGGGGAGCCGCCCTAGACGGACGTATGTCGACCAAATAGGCGACGTGCTGAAGAAGGGCCAAATTAAAAGTACCCGTAACCGGCGAGCGTGTATGAACAGATTGATGAATGTGGAGGAAGCGAAAGAGGTTTGTTTGAATCGAAGCATTTGGCGTTCCATTGTTTCTGCCTACCCTAATGGAAGCCAGGGGTGATACATACGTACGTATTTTAATTAAATTTTATATAATTAAATATAATGAAAAAAATACCACTTTATATTTATTTATTTATTTACACTTTATTGCACCAAGTAACAAGAGAAATAACAAATACAGTAAATACTAATGAGAAGTGATACAAAAGGCGGCCTTATCGCGCTAAGCAATCTCTTCCAGACAACCTTTGGGTAGAGGACATTGAGAAAAAGGCAAAGGGCAGGTGGCGCACTATTATATAAATATTATCTTATACAAACATACATACATATATACACATACATATATAATATATACACAATTAAATATATACATGACATACATACATACATACATACACATACATATATAATATATACACAATTAAATGTATACATAACATACACATACTAAACAGCACACAACAACAGAGAAAAAAAAATGACGAAGGAAAACGAAGAGAGAACACAGGAAAATAGTACTAAAGTGAGAGGTAGTAGGATTTATACGAATAGATTAAAAATTTTATATATACTAATAATAAATAATAGTAGCCGTGTCGGTCCCAACATAGCATGAGCCACCCCTTCCTTTTCGGGGGGAAAGGGATTGTTAGTAATGGAGACTGAGAATCCCATTGCTAGCAATATACCCAACCAGGTCGACTTCCTTGCGGTTCCCCTGGAAACTATCATGACTAATGCCTGATGAATTCATCATGACGGGCTAACTGGCCTGTTTTCATCCTCATCGATCATCCTTCACTGGTGCCACTCCATTTTCAGTCAATAAAAAAAAATAAAACCCCTTCCTTTTCCGTGGGTATCGTAAGAAACAAGCAAGGGAACTTAATGGTCAAAGAATGAGTAGTAAATCTTTTCCGTATCTGTCCTAAGATCTCGGTAAGACTCTAAAGGGCAAGTACCCAGAGCCGTAAAATCTATTAATAAAAAATGTGTAGCGCGATGTCTAGGACGGGCGGCGACAGACGGTCAGCCGCCCAGCTGGTGTCGCGCTCTATAGTCTAGCGCTGCTGCAAACGTGAGCCGAGCACTGGCCCGGACACTGATCGACGGCGCAGAATTGGGGGGAAGGGTACCCGATGGTGACGGCTACCTGATGACCATAAAACCACACTAATCCCGTGTGATCCCGTGATAAATCCCGTGGATATCGTAAGTGGAGACTAAGGGAACTTTATGATCGAAAGATGAGTAGTAGCGTCCCTGTTAAAACATCACTAAAACCCTATCCACGATTGCCAGCCTGCCTGCTAAACGTGGCAACTACTAGCAAAACTCCCCTTATGGGCGAGACCTATGTTCAGCAGTGGACATTAACTGTCCACTGCTGATGGTCGCCTAGTCCTCAAGTTAGGAGACCTTGTGTTATGAGGAACCAAGGACCCAACCGAACAACTTATAGGTGAACAACCCAGAACACCTGGACCCAGGCCAATACAGAAAAGTCCATTTCCTAAATTGAACCAACCGGGAATCGAACCCGGAATTCAGAGGTCATAAATAAAACTCCACTCACGTCTCGTTTGAACTCGTCCACGAGGAAGTTGACGATAACGTTGTCGAAGTCCTCTCCCCCGAGGAGCGTGTCCCCGTTGGTGGACTTCACCTCGAAGACTCCCTTCTGGATCTCCAGCACAGATATATCGAATGTGCCGCCGCCGAGGTCGTACACTGCGATACTGCGGACAATTGGTATATTAAAGGGTGGTGAAGGGATTGTATGTCATAAAGAGGTCAGTACCCGTTGCTAATATTAGCAAATATATTGCTGACGTACTGGCAGCCTGAATAGCTATATATATATTTTTTTTTATACAACTTAGAATGGCAAACAAGCTGACGGCCCACCTGATGGAAAGTAGTAACCGTCGCCTATAGACATGAGTAGTACCATGAACATAACAGAGTATACTGTTTCGCCCATGATATCCCTCATGCGTTGCCATTCCTGAGGACTCAGGTGTTATTCCTCCGTACCCAGTAAATTCACGCCATATCCCACCCTTCAAACCGAAACACAGCCATGCAAACATAACCGCTTCACGATTGAAACACGAGTGGGACAGAGGTACCCAAGCAATCGACTTTTGTACAACTTATAACTCGATCGACACTAACAAGATAACGTTCTATAAGACGAAGTATCCGAAGCCGTAAAGTGTATTATTAAAAAAACTGTAGCGCGATATCTAGGACGGGCGGTGACAGTCGGTCAGCCGCCCAGCTGGTGTCGCGCCCTCTAGTCTAGCGCCGCTGCAAACGTGAGCCGAGCACTGGCCCGGACACTGATCGACGGCGCAAACATTTATATACAAAAACTAGTTGACTCGGCAAACGTTGTTTTACCATATACATTATTTCTAGAACTATACATGAAAATATATCGTACTACAATTATTATATTCGATTGCCATCTTGCAACCTTACTGCGGCATATGAAAATTGCAATAAAACAACAGGGGTTGATCGTAAAAGGGTGAAAATTTAAAGTTGTGTGTATTTTTCAATGCTAAATTATAGTAAAATAAAATAAAAAAAAAATTGTCAAAAAATAAAAAAAAATATTTAGGTGTGGGTCACCCTTATCATTGAGGGGTATGAAAAATAGATGTTGGCCGATTCTCAGACCTACCCGATATGCACACAAAATTTCATAAAAATCGGTAAAGCCGTTTCGGAGGAGTTTGGTAACAAACATCGAGACACGAGAATTTTATATATTAGATTATAAAAAGAAATCTCTTTATTCCTTCTCTGAAAAACCCCATATTACAGTCTCTTGGAAAAGCCTTAATAAATACAATGAAATCTGATTAAGTGAGACATTATGGAACCTGTAAATTTCTCATTTACAGAGGTACTCCACTTACCCAGTGTCTCAGATATCCAGGTATAAAAAAATATCTGCCTCATTTACAGAGAGCTCCTTTTAAGGGGGTTATTTTTTAAATAAACATCTGTATAATGGTAAAGCAAAACTTAAACCGAAGGTTATTGTAGCTCTAAATTAGTTTTTTTAGAATTTGCAGGTAGAATAAAGGGAGGGAGGGTTACCAGAGGGAGACTGTATAAAAGTCGATTGCTTGGGTACCTCTCTCCCATTCGTGTTTCGACGGTGAAGCAGTTGTGTTTGCATGGCTGTGTTTCGGTTTGAAGGGTGGGATATGGCATGAATTTTCAGGGTACAGAGGAATAACACATGAGTCCTCAGGAATGGCAAGGCATGAGAGGCATCATGGGCGAAACAGTATACTCTGTTATATGCATGGTACTGCTCATGTCTATAGGCGACGGTTACCACTTTCCATCAGATGGGCGTCAGCTTGTTTGCCATTCTATGTTGCATAAAACGATACGATAACGATAAATTAGTCATTATGGTTTCCAGGGGGAACCGCGTGGAGGTCGACCTGATAAGGTATATTGATAGCAATGTGAACTAACCTCCCCATTATTAACAACCCCGTCCCCCCGTAAACAGAGGTTTGCTTCGTCCCACTAACAGAGGCAATTCAGTGCCAATGTGTTAGGACCTGAGCATGAGTTCCAGTTACGGAGGTTTCTCACTTATCCAACTTCCACTTAGCCAAGTGAGGTAATAAAGGTAATGAGAGGGCCGATGAGTTGGCGAGAAAGGGATCAGAATCAAAAATGATAGGTCCTGAACCATATGTTGCACTTGCATCAAGTGTTGTTAACTCTGCCCTTGAGAAGTATGTGAGGAAAAAACAGCAAAAGAATTGGAGGACTTTGCAGGGTCTTAAACATTCTAAAAAGTTCTTAAATGACAATGTTGAAGGATGGGATAAACTTATCTACAGCGGTGGCAGACAACAGGCAAGACTCATTACGGGTGCCCTAACTGGACATATGCCAATAAGGCATATACTACACAAGATGGGTCTATCTTCGGACACACTGTGCAGACTGTGCGGGGAGAAATCGGAATCCATGAAACACTTGATGTGCAACTGTAATTCGTTAGCGAGCATGCGCATGAGTCTACTGGGAACGGCTTATCCAGAGCCAGGGGACTACAGATATCTTAAACCGCGGGATACCGTTAGGGTAACACAAAGGATCTATGAAATGATGGTATAAGGCAGGGGGAAGCACAAAAGATCCCGATGGGTCGACGTGCAACAGCTTAGCTCACCCCATACGCGAATATAAGATAACCAAGTGTCACTGTAAATACAAACAAGAATACACACTCACATCTTGTCATCAGTCTTGTCCATTCCGTAGGCGAGAGCGGCGGCGGTCGGCTCGTTGATGACACGGAGCACGTTCAGTCCAGCTATTTGACCTGATTTTTAAAACAATAATAAAAAAAATTAGAAAAAAAAAATAAGGCTGCCTGGAAGAGTTCGCTATTCAGCGATAACGCTGCCCATTGTTGCCTCTTTTCTTTTATACAACTTAGAATGTCAAACAAGCTGACAGCCCACCTGATGGAAAGTGGTAACCGTCGCCTATAGACATGAGCAGTACCATGGACATAACAGAGTATATTGTTTCGCCCGTGATAGCCCCCATGCGTTGCCATTCCTGAGGACTCGGGTGTTATTCCTCTGTACCCAGTAAATTCACGCCATATCCCACCCTTCAAACCGAAACACAGCCATGCAAATACAACTGCTTCACGGTTGAAACAGAAATGGGACAGAGGTACCCAAGCAATCGACTTTTGTACAAAATCTCCCTCTGGGAGACTCTCCTCCTCTATATACAAATATTGTAGTGGTACCGATATTTGATAGAGCTATTTATGTCTTTAGACATCTCACCGGCATCCTTGGTGGCCTGCCGCTGCGAGTCGTTGAAGTACGCCGGCACGGTGACGACTGCGTTCTTCACCGACGTGTTCAGGTACGCCTCGGCGGTCTCCTTCATCTTCATCAGCACGAACGCGCCGACTTGACTCGGGGAGTACACTTTGCCGTCGCTGCCTGCAAATCAATGTACATTGTGATTTTATACTGGCTTCAAAAAAAGAGATCTTTTTTAATTCAATCGTTTTTTTTTTATGTTTCTTATCTCATAAATCCTTCATTTATAAATTAATTTGGGAAATTCTTTGTCTATAAAAATATAACAGATTGATTGTACAGAAATATTATCAGAATTAGTTAAGCAATTTAGTTTTTAAGACAGCTTGGTCTCAATAAAGAATAGGCCAGCCCTTCCTTTCCCGTGGGTGTCGTAAGAGGCGACTAAGGTAGCTTAACAGTGGAGGGAAGGGCAGCAGCGTCCATCTTAACACATCATTGGATGTATTTGCCTCCAACTTGCTGGAGTTTTGTCGAGTGACCACAGAGTATTTCTGTACTCATGTTTTCCTGGGTGAGCGTATTGGAAGACTGTAAGGCACACCCAGTGGATGTAATAAATAAATAAATCATTAAAGGCTGAGCTTCCAACCAGCCTGTCAAGCGTGGCAACTACTGGAAAACTCGCCCTTTATGGGAGAGGAGTATGTTCAGCAGTGGACAATGAACGGATAATATAATGAAACTTTTTAAATCAAAATTACTGTGTTTGCCACAAATAAAGTTGATATATATATATATATATATATATATATATATATATATATATATATATATATATATATATATAGTAAAGTAGATAGTAAGTTATTATTACTTTAATTTTATATTATACACTCCGATATGGTAGAATATGGAATAATGGACATGTAATTATTATTTTCATCTAATGTATGTACCCATATTCGTGCAATAAATAAAAAATATCAAAATATGAAAAGAAGCTAACAGTCTTGATATAAAGTGGTAACCTTTGCCTCCATACACTTAGATCTTTAAAACTACGCAACGGATTTTGATGCGGTTTTTTTTAATGGATTGAGTGATTCAAGAGGAAGGTTTATATGTATAATACATGTATAATATTGTAGAGAAACACTGATAATTTTTTAAGGTTTCTAATGTTATGTCGTAATGCAATGGGGGGGCCAGGGACGCTATTTAGTATCAACATTGTACACGGGCGAAGCCGGGGCAAGTCGCTAGTAAATCTTGATGTAATCTAAAAATTCAATGTATTTATTTCGAAGGTTACAAACAAGTTACAAAACTGACCTTGCACCCAAGCATCACCGTTGGATGCCCTAACAACTTTGTAGGAGAGGTTCTTCATGTCTTTCTGGACCTCTGGATCCTCGAATCTTCGGCCGATGAGACGCTTGGTAGCGTAGAACGTGTTCCCGCTGTTTGTGACCGCTTGTCGCTTCGCCGGCATGCCGACGAGACGTTCGCCCTCCTTCGTGAACGCCACGTGTGAAGGTGTGGTTCTGGAACCTTCACTGTTCTCCACCACCTGGTGAATATGCGGGCATTATTTTATTTAAAATGTGGATTAGTTTTTAAATGAAAATAACTAGTTTTTGTCATAATTGAGGTTGGATTTTTGTGGGATCTTTCATAAACACCAAGGTTGTCTGTAAGCGATTGCCCTAGCGATAAGACCGCCTTTTACCTTTATGACTAGCGGCTCGTCTCGGCTTCGCACGGGTGGACATTTTACAACATTTTAAAAAGTGATTATTGTGACATAACGATAATAGTTGGACATATAGTATCGCGAAGTTTTTTATAGTTATTGATATTTTCTTCAATAGTTTCCGCAGCGCACGCGACTAAAGATATTTTATAGCATTTTTTTACACCTTGAGTTACGTTACTAAAGTTTTAGTAAGGACCCCTAATCTTCTCTAGCAATCAATATAGCCTATGTTACTCAGAGTGAATGTAGCTTTCTAATGGTGAAATAATTTTTGAAATCGGCAAAGTAGTTTTTGGGTTTATTCATTACAAACATACACACAAAAATACAAATCTTACCTCTTTATAATATTAGTGTAGATAAACTTTTATTTTTTTACGACTCACTGGCATTAGGACCAAACTGAGGAGTAAATCAAGAGGTCCCACATCTAGTAGGATGTTAGAACGTACCTTGGGCGTCTTCCCCTCCATGACGGCGACGCACGAGTTGGTGGTGCCCAAGTCGATGCCAATGACGGCGCCTCGGACGCCATCCGATCTGTTGGAGAAACGCTCTTATTAACATCGAGTCCTTGTTTAGTTGCGACATTTTGGAAAAAAAAATTCACTGTGCGTAGTGTAGGTCCTAGAAGGAGAGTGAAGGGAGGACTCTGGTCGAACAACTCCCTGGATGCGAGATCCAAGGAACAAGCCGAAAGTAGACATGGTACAACTCAACGGTTTTTCTGTATTGCTTATTTCATCATCTTCATCATAACCTTTAACTGTCCACTGCAGAACATAAACCTTCCAAGGGGAAGGTTTTCGCCAGTAGTTGCCGCACTTGGCAGGCAGATTGGCAACCGCAAATAGGTTTTAGAGATGTTTTAAGAGGTTAACTACTGCTGATCCCTTACCACCCTGTAGTCGTCTCTTACGACACCCACAGGAAAGGAAGGAGCGGCCTATTCTATACTGGGACCACATCAGATCCTCATATACATCTGTACATCTTTTATCCATATTACCAATGTGTCACCGTTCATCTATTTAAACTTTAATGCACAGTAAAATGCTATGTACATATGGCGGACTTAACACCGGACGGTGTTCTCTACTAGTCAACCATTGGGCAAATGGAGAAATTACTCTATTTCTATTAAAAATAAGGTTACATCTTCACTGTAATGCCAGTTACAGTTCGTTTTCGATTCAATCTCGATCTAGTAAGTAAAAACAGTTTTTTTTTAATGGGTGATAATGGTATGGTAACCCCGCCTGCGCTATAGGTATACACTGGTGTGACTCCAGTGAGAGATGACAGATAAGGATGAAAGCAGGTCAGTTAGCCCATCCTGATGAATTAAACTAGAATTAGCCACAATGGTTTCCGGGGGAACCACATGGAGGTCGACCTGACAGAGTATATTTCTAGTAATGGGACTATTTGACCCTATCACTAACAATCCCTTCCCTCCAGTAAAAACAGTTTGATTTCTGACTGGAATGGAATGGTGGTACTGGGCTATAGTATGAATATACTATCTTGGGGGGAAAGGGATTATTAGTAATGGAGACTGGGAATCCCATTGCTAGCAATATACCCAACCAGGTAGACATCCTCGCGGTTCCCCCGTGGAAACTATCATGGTTAATTTCTGATGAATTCATCATGATGGGCTAACTGGCCTGTTTTCATTCTCGCCTATCACCCTTCACTGGTGCTCCGCCAGCATATCCCGTTAGCGCAGGCGGGGTTACCGTACCATTTTCACCCATCAAAAAAAAATATATTATCTTAAATAACATGAATTATGACCAGCAGTATATTTATGAATTTGGATTTGAAAATGTAGTGCGATGTCTAGGACGGGCGGTGACAGACGGTCTGCCGCCCAGCTGGTGTCGCGCCCTCTAGTCTAGCGCCGCTGCAAACGTGAACCGAGCACTGGCCCGGACACTGATCGACGGCGCAGAATTGGGGGGAAGGGTAATAATAATAATAATATAATATAAGCCTTTATTCAGACATTTTTTTTTTTAAAAACAACTTATTAACAACTTATTATTTAATTGCTGTTGTCTGTTTGCTTATTAGCAAAGGCCTCCTCCAACTGTCTCCAATGGTCTCTATTGCTAGGGGGGAAGGGTACCCAAAGGTAAATAGTATAGGTTTTTTTTAATGGATGATAATAAAATGTTCACCTCGCCAGCGCTAACGGTATACAGTGGCGGGGCACCAGTGAGAAATGATAGGTGAGAATGAAAAGGCAGATCAGTTAGCCCCTCATGATGAATACACCTGAAATTCAGCACAATGGTTTCCAGGGGAGATCACATGGAGGACAATGCGACAGGGTATTTTGCTAGCAATGGGACTGTTAGTCCACAATATTAACAAGCCCTTCCCCCCTCCCATAGTATAGGTATGGTAATGTATCAACATTGGGGTAGAGGGATTGTTAATAATAGGAATGATAATTCCCATTGCTAGCAATATATCCTGGCAGGTCAACCAAAATGTGGTTGCCCTTGAAGCCCATTCACCTATCATCCCTCACTGGTGCCCCACCGGCGTATACCGATAGCGCAAACAGGGTTACCATTCCATTATCACCCATTTAAATGGTGATACATTATAAAAAAATCCATGTTATTTGAAAAATTATGTTAATTTTTCACATTTACGTAAATAGATACCTTTAGGGTTCCATATGAACACAAAATATATTTAATTAAACTAAATAACCTTTGTACCTATTTAAAACATATACAATTATTAAAAATAAATATTAACATATTTAATGAAATTATGGAAAAAAATTAAATCTGATATACAACCTTACAATTCTACACCTTTAATTAAGTAAAGCACTGGTATGTATATAAGAAACTCTGATGCAATTAATTATAACCTCAAATTATTTAATATGATCTAAACAAGCATGAATAATGCTAGAAAACTCTATTAGAAACGAAAAATCGTAAAATTATTACAAAATAATCTATTTCCGGTTCATTTAAAATGCATTCCAATAGCCGTCAATGGTAAAATAGATTTTATAACACAAAAATGAGAAAAGAGGTTATGATGTAATAGTCGTGGAAATTGGTGAAATTAATAAAACTTACTTGAATCTGCGTTGTATTTCATGTCGTACACAGCAATTTGTTCTGGGCGCTGCGAGCTGTAATGGTAAAAAACAGAAACGTTCTCAACAAATGGAGATTTTCAATGAATTTTTAGAATACATGTGGAGAGAGATGTCATGCAAGGAAATGTATGTACCGCTTCGTATTATATTATATTATACGGGAATTAAATAATTATAATATTTAGATTTTAATACACAAAATGAATACTTACGTTTTTGAGAACTGAATAAAAACTTCTTTGCGTTAACTCTGAGCTCACAGCGGAACATTCCACCACCTTCCGTAAAGCAGATCGCGTGGGGATCAACATTTTTGCACTTTATTATATTTTATTTCCAAAATACACTTTATTTAAACCGCTGCTCAGATTTATGACGTTATTTGAAGGAACGATTTTCACTTTTTTTTGGAAATAACACAACCTTCAATGGTCAGTCGCAATTTATAAAGACAAGAGACAGCAAAAGAGACGTACTTCTTCAATTTTTATTCTTTTTTTTCGACGGTTTACTTCACCTCAGACATACATCACTTTGTGCAAAAAACTGTCTTTATAAAATCTGTGTAACCGGATTATTAAATTTATAAACTTTGTATCATATAGCAGCTAGGTCGTTTATGATACTTATTGGTATCGGAATGTTTAAAAAAATCTATAAGAATTTTTTTATATTAATATTATAAAAAGGTAGGATTTGATTGTTTGTTTGTAACTTATAATCTCGGTTGAAGTTTTAATAAATTTTTTCACCTATCGCAAGCTACATTATCAACAAGTAACGTAAGCTATACATGATTTTTCAATATTCTATTTAACTGTGCAAAGCGGGACTGGATTGCTAATTATAAATAATTAAACAAAATAATCTCCATTTATTTTGTAATGTTAATTCTTCTAGGTTGCATAAATATATTCTAGTTTCGTTAATATTACAACAGTGCCAACTCCTATATAAAATAGTGATTACTTAATCTATGGTTTATAATACAGGTTAACAAAAAAATTTTAGACTAGGTTATCCGTAAATGATGAATAACGTATATATTTTTTTTTATTATTTCTCTATTTAATTTGCAGTTTAGATAATAGAGACAGAATATAAGAACATTTTAATAAATCTATGGAATATATTAATCTTCATCACACAAATATTAAAAAAAGTATAAGTTAATCATTATCGATCTTTCACGTACTATTTTTTATCTATTAATATCCATATCAATAATTCAACATTTTGAAACTACGTGCGACTATTTAGAGTTGCTAATTATAAAAAAATAAAGGTTACTAAATAAAGGTGTAGTAGATGCACAAATTAAGGTGGATATTACGTAGCAAAAATGTTTTTCTTTTATACCCTATATGGGTTAGATGAACCTTTAAAGATTAAGGATACCACATCCATTTATATTGTTATTACTACTTTAATAAGAATAAGTAACGGGTTAACCTAAGAATAAGGAATTAAATCTTTGGGATTAACAATCTTTGCAATTCTCTGATAAGTAGCACCTCTGACAATTAAGTAGCAATAATTAGAACTGGGTAGAAAGGAATTCTTAATAATGGAGAGGTTAGTCTCCGTTGCTATTTTTTAATGGGTGATAATGGACTTTTTTTTTTGATGAATGGAAATGGTATGATAACCCCGCCTGCGCTAACGGGATACGCTGGCGGAGCACCAGTGAAGGGTGATAGATGAGAATGAAAACAGGCCAGTTAGCCCATCATGACGATTTCATCAGGAATTAACCATGATAGATGGTTGGGTATATTGCTAGCAATGCTCTATGTCACTATTAGGAACTAATCGCGCTACCATCATTTCTATATTTAGTAATCGCAGATTATATTATAGGTAACAAGCTTACTTGGGACAGGTATCGTTAGTAGATCAAACAGGGCCATTACTGGCAATATACTATATATATATATATATCAGGTTGATCTCCCTGCGATTCCCCTTAGAAATCATCGTGGCTAATTCTTGTCAAATTCTTCAAGTTGGATTGACTGACCTCCTTCATCCTCACCTATCATCCCTCACTGATGCCCCGCCAGCGTATACCGATGGTACAGGCGGTGTTACCATTCCAATATCATCCATCAAAGAAAAAAACAACTTATAAAGAAATTAGGTAGAATTGTAATAAGGTAATATAGAAATAAAACATTACTCTGCTTTGTACAAATCACATTTTATTTATGTATTTATTTACAAGGTGCCCGCGCGCTCACTGACCTAGGAAAATCATATTCATATACCTCACATCTACCATAATATATCGCTATAGGAAAAAAAAACTCATTACAGATGAAGAAGCCGTAAGTTGTCACATCCAATTTTAAAATCTGATTTTGGCGCTCCATTTTAATAGAATAGAATAGAATAGAACAGAATAGAATAGAATAAAAAAGAATAGAATAGAACAGAATAGAATTTTATTGCTGTGTACATACATATAGCAGTAATCATTGCTTTGAATTTATACCCTATCAGACATGCAACAATTTAAGAACAGCAATTATATTAACATCGTAACATTCAAATACTATTACCATTACTTGATTACAAATAAATATGAAATATTTGACAATACAATTAACAAGACAAAGAATAATCATAACCAAATTAAAATACTAAAATATATAAATATATAAAAAAATATCCAAAAATAATTAGAATGATCTGACGAATCCAATCAAACACTAAAATAGTACTTTCTTAATCTATGCTTATCATAGATTAAGAATAGTACCTACGAGTTTCGGCTGTATACCTATCTGCTTTTCTGTTCGATTAAGAAAAGTCGACAACGATTTCCCGCCAAAGAGCAATTCAACATAAGAAAGCACAGCCAAAATATAGAACTGCTAATGGCGTACAATCGTGTCTCTGTCGTTTTAAAGGAAATGGAAAGAGAACGCGATAAATAGGATTAAACGCGAAACGATGTGAAAACTTACGGCCACTTCATGAATGGAACACAAAATTCATTATGACCAGTGTACCACTACAAAACCATGTACAATCACGTGGAATAATATGTGATATTCTAAAGAGAATATTTCCAAAATACTAAAGTAATTAATTCATATTTATAAATTGTCCACGTTAACATGGCACGCCCCTCTGTCTTCCTTCAACGTGCGTGTCCATGTACAGACGCGCCGCTCTTTTCGTGTTTGTGAGGAAACGTCTTAAGTAGCGGTCCGGACGGAGGAGTATTATATCCCTCGGTCGGAACCTTGGAAATATTACTCACACATTTTTAATTCTTTGGATTTTGGAGAGGCATCCATATTATATTATATAGCTCAAAATTTGAAGAGAAAAGTGGAAAATAGTGCAATATTTTAATACTTAAAGCAACTGACTGTTTTGAATTAAGTTTTACGACAAAAAATCTTCAATTATACGTGAAGGATATTACTTATTTCGATAAAAAAAAGGAATCATCAAAATCCACAAAGACATAATGACAATCACAAAACATACCTACCTACTACAGAAAAAAATATTTTTTATTAAAAATCTTTAATTTTGTTAATAATTCATTTTAATTAAGGTTGTTAATTAAAAAAAAAAGACAATTGAATTCACATATTATTACACGCATTTGTAAGCCTCTAGATACATTATATAAGTACCAAATAGTAAGAGAAATTAGACTTGAATTTACTTTGCAAGGAGCATGGAAATAACTTTTTATTTTTAACATATTTAGAATGGCAAACATCCATGATCACCCACACCACCAAAGGCATTGCAGGTTTTTTTTTATACAATTTAGAATGGCAAACAAGCTGAGGGCCCACCTAATGAAAAGTGGTAACCGTCACCTATAGACACGAACAGTACCATGGATATAACAGAGTGTACTGTTTCGCCCATGATTCCTTTCCATGCGTTGCCATTCTTGAGGACTATTCATGCCTCCATACCCTGTAATTTCATAGCTATATCTCACCCTTCAAACCGGAACACATGGAGACACGGAATGGGACAGAGGTACCTGTGCAGACTGTCTGGGTTTATGTTTGTTCAGATTGTCTAGGTACCCTGATATGGTTAATTCGGCTGTAATAGTTTTTTTTCTTAGATTATATTAGAGCGAAACATGTATTTCCTTAATATAGTTAATTTGGCCCTGTATTTGTGACTTTAAAACCCAAGTTAAACTGTGAAATCTACGGTTACATTATTGTAGCTATAACAACATATCGTCACAGTCGTAGAATACTGACGGATCTGACAAAGATTACGTATAAAGATCCGTCAGTATTCTACGACTATGGTGATATCTCCCATACAATTTCTCAATACTATTTGATACAGGAACCTATTGATTCATAACATTCACAATTTCACTTTACACAATATTATTTGCATGTCAATTGCCCGTCTCATACATTTTCCATACAAATCCATACAGACTCGCGTCAATTTACATCATGTGGAATGTCACTCGGTCAGACATCACATAGTTCAACATTTTATGGGTATATGTAGACAAAAAAATAGGATAACTTAAAATATTATCAAGACTCAACAGATGGCCGTCGTCATACCCGGGAACGCTGAAAGTTTGGTCCTAAAATGAAATCATACTCGAGAACGCCCGCTTTGTTTAGAATTATATATTTTTTTAAATGATTTATTAATACTTATTATTACTAGTTCATCATATTGATTTACGTCATCAACCGCTAGAATATTAGATAGTTCTAATTTTATTCCATTTTCAAATTCAAACGTAGTCACAGACATCTGTAAATATAGCAATAACAAAAAAAAACCTATAAATTCGCGTAAAATTATTTTAACAGATTAAAAAACATATCTCATTCCATATTCAAAACATTCGTCCGTTACGATCGAAAATGCATACTCACATTTCAAATTTAAACAATTCCCGATGCGTATACGATTTGCACATCATACTCGGGAACGCCTACGCCTAGTGGATGTGACAGTGGTGTGTCGAGTTTACCTACAAAACAACTTCACATAACGAACACATCGTCATACTCGGGAACGTCCTCCGTGCCGCGGCCGGGGTGTTACGACGTCATCATGTCGTTGACAGAGCCGCCCATGTTGACTGAGGCGCCTCTGATGAGATCGGTGATGTCCCGTCTGAACATCGATAGGTTTTGTGTGAATCTGTGAAAAACAAAAAATACAAAATTTCCACGTTTGTTGGAAATTATGTCTCCCCTAGTGTTGCGGGCGTCCATAGGCTACAGTGGTCGTTTACCATCGGACGAGTTATATGCTTATTTGCCACCTTCTTGGTATTTTTTTTTTATACAACTTAAAATGGCAAATAGCTGACGGCCCACCTGATGGAAAGTGGTAACCGTCGCCTATAGACATGAGCAGTACCATGGACATAACAGAGTATACTGTTTCGCCCATGATACCCCCCATGCGTCGCCATTCCCGAGGACTCAGGTGTTATTCCTCTGTACCCTTATTCTTCTGTATAAAAAAAATAAATCCAAAAATGTGCTAAAAATGTCCAAAAATGTGCTATTCTAAGATGACAGACATAAAAAAAATTAAAAATCGTGTCCCACAAAAACAGATTTCAATTGTGAAAAAACCAGTTATTTTGATTTAAAAACTAAACTGCTGAACCGATTTTGATAAAATTTCTACAGAACCAATCCGTATGTATATCCTTTAAAACAAAACAAAAATTATTCAAATCGGTTCACAACCGACGGAGTTATGAGATAACATACATAAAAAAAATAAACATAAAATATTTGGCTATAATTTTTTTTTTTACTTTTTGGTCTGTATATTGAGTCTCCCATCTGATAAATGAGTATTGGCGACCCGCACGAAGGCTAAAGTTGCAGCACAATGGTGCACAAGTGCAGTAAGAGAGGCAACAGACAGCTTTCAAGGACACGACCTTCAGCAATGAAGCAGACGAAGAGAGAGAAAGAGATAAGTGCATCTCGCTGGAGGTGTGCATAGACAGCAACAGCTGAGGCGGCTCCAGCAACCAGCAACCATCTTGCTGGTTGCTTTTTATTTTTATTATAGTTTAATTTTACCTTTAATGATTGTTATTGGTATTATTATTGGTCGCCGTGTGGTCCCGGCATAGAATAGGTCACCCCTTGTTTTCCCATGGGTGTCGTAAGAGGCGACTAAGGGAAGGCGAGGGATGGCCTGCAGCGTCCGTCTTAAAACATATCTAAACCCTAACTGCGGTTGCCAATCCCGCTGCCAAGCGTGGCAACTACTGGCAAGACCCCCCAATGGCAAAGGCTTATGTTCAGCAGTGGACAGTTAAAGGCTCATGATATGATGAGGATTGTTATTGGTAATAAAACATCTCTCTGAGAACCTCCTACTTTTCGAAGAGACAGACCTGTCCCTATTCTTGGTGAGTAGGTTGGGCTCGATGCCGGCCATTAGCCCGTTGAACCACTGCGCGAGCTGCGGCTGCTTGTCGCGCGGCTGCTGCGCGATCATCTCGCCGCGAATCCTCGCGAACTGCTCCTCGTTAAGGAGGATAAGGCCGAGCAGCGGCCGCGACATCGACCACTGGTTGCAGCAGTCCTCGAACATAATCACGTTCAATACCTGCAATACATATTTGGCTTATTTAAGCTTGCCTTCCAGAGTAGAAGAGGGAGGGGGGAGTTTATAAAGGATAATATATTTTTTATACCACTGATGTGGCAAAAAAAGTATTCGGGCCACCTGATGGTAAGCGGTTACCGTAGCCTATGAACGCCTGCAATACCAGGGTCAACTTCTTTTTTAGACACAATATTAGATGTTTTAATTAATAATCGTTTAGCTAGTAGTTGCCACGTTTTGGGATTGGCAACCGCAGTTAGGCTTTGGTGATGTATTAAGAGAGACGCTACTGTCCATCTCTCGCCCTCCCTTAGTCGTCTCTTACGACACCCACGGGAATGGGAGTGGTGGCCCATTCTATGCCGGGACTACACGGCAATAATTACTAAATATTAATCACAATTTTTTTTACAACAAAAGGGGTAAACGAGCATGCGGCTCACCTGATGGTAAGTAACTACCGCCGTCCATAATCACCCACACCACCAAAGGCATTGCAGGTTTTTTTTTTATACAATTTAGAATGGCAAACAAGCTGACGGCCCACCAGATGGAAAGTGGTAACCGTCGCTTATACACATGAGCAGTACCATGGACATAACAGAGTATACTGTTTCGCCCACGATACCCCCATGCGTTGCCATTCCTGAGGACTCAGGTGTTATTCCTCTGTACCCTGTAAATTCACGCCATATCCCACCCTTCAAAACCGAAACACAGCCATGCAAGCACAACTGCTTTACGGTAGAAACACGAATGGGACAGAGGTACCCAAGCAATCGACTTTTGTACAAAGTCTCCCTCTGGTAGGTGCGCTGCCGGCCTTTATTAAATATTAAATAGTCAAAATCGGAATTATTTATAATTATACATTTGTCATTGTGCAGGTTGCGATGGCTCGACTGAACTGGAAGTATACCCTACCGTGGCGAGCAGCTGCTGCATGATCTCGGGCCGCCGCTGCAGCACCTCTATGAACATGTTGCTTGTCTGCGGCGGCGGCTGTCGCGGGTTCGTAACTTTGTTGCTAGCTGCACACATACAGTAAAAGCATTCACTTATTTATTTATTTACTTTATTGTACCACTTATAAAAACAATAAATATACAACCAAACCAATAAAAAAAGTGTTGTTAAGCGTGTTGATTTTCCTATCCGAGAAATAGGTATTGGCGACCTGCACGCATGCTAAAGGTAAAGGAGTTAAGGGGCCGCCTGTAAATCAGCGCTATATAGGTACATCTCGCTGGAGCTGTACATATATAGCAACAGCTGAGGCGGCTCCAGCAACCAGCAACATTAATTGTTTTTTTTTTCTTTTTATTGTTGATTTTTTTTTATTTTTATTACTGGTAATAAAGATTATCTATCTATCTATAAAAAACCGAGATAGGGTTAAGAGTTGCCATACTAAAAAAAAAATTTTACCTGCCAGTGTCGAAAAAATATAATTATCTTCCTACCCTTATCCCAATTATTATTTGGGGTCAGCGTAATGTTTTTATTTATAATACAAAAAGATTTGGCTTTTAGTTTTACGACCGGCCGCCTGCCTGACATCAACCCTCTTTGAAAAAAAAAAAAAAAATATTTGAGTATTTTCAATTAAGATAGTTATTAAATATTGTTCTTTGATCATTAAACAGTGCATTGATAGGCAACTGTAATCCTCACCAAAGGCATATATTTTATAATAAACAACAATATACTCACTCTTTCTTACTAACTGTTTAAATAGATATGTCACTATGTGGTCCAGGGTGGCACAGCATCCCGTGCACACGCTCGTGTCTGGAAACGAACGGACATATTTACAAATAAATCTTATATATAAAATTCTCGTGTCGCGGTGTTTGTTACCAAACTCCTCCGAAATGGCTTTAGCGATTTTTATGAAATTTTGTGTGCATATCGGGTAGGTCTGAGAATCGGCCAACATCTATTTTTCATACCCCTCAATGATAACGGTGACCCACACCAAAAAAAAATTTTTTTTTTAATTTTTATCAAAAATTTCCATTTTTATTTTATTATGATTTAGCATTGAAAAATACACAAAACTTTAAATTTTCATCGTTTTACGATCAACCCCTGTATTTTAATCGCGATTTTTATATTTCGTAATAAGTGGTAAAACAACGTTTACGGGGTCAGCTAGTATATATATATATATATATATATATATATATATATATATATATATATGAATAACAAATATACTTACACATACATATATGATGTATACTATATTATATGTATACGAATTTGGGAATAATATAAAGCACTTACTGCTCGGATAAAGATAAAAATATCAAATTGTTATAATAAAAATAACCATATGAGTATATAAATTATTCCTTAAATATCTTCCATGTACAGATTCTTACATGATATGCATGTATAATTTTAAAACCGCATCCAATTTGGTGCAGCAGTTTCTGCGTGACGCCGGAAACATACAGATAGTAATGAGCAAAAAGATAGAAAAAAATATTTTAAAATAAACTCTCCTAATGTATAGACAGACTCACCGAGCGCCGTGAGCCCCTCCGAGATGGAGGACAGTATATACAGGGTCGCGTCGGGCTGCAGCGACGCCAGGAACGGCATGTGGTCCTGGGCAAGCCTCTCTAGAAGAACGTAGTATGTTTGTGACAGTTTCGGGTAGTCCTGAAAAAAAAAACAGTCAAGACATTTTACAATAAAGATTTTACTCCGCTAAACCAGTCTTACCAGAGGGAGACTTTGTACAAAAGCCGTTTGCTTGGGTACCTCTGTCCCATTCGTGTTTCAACCGTGAAGCAGTTGTTTGCAAGGCTGTGTTTCGGTTTGAAGTGTGAAATATGGCATTGAATTTACAGGGTCAACACCCGAGTCCTCAGGAATGGCACCGCATGGAGGTATCATGGGCGAAACAGTATACTCTGGTATGTCCATGGCACTGCTCAACCACTTTCCATCAGAACATTTCAGAATTCAGAACATGAAATAATATCTATGATTACTAAGTATATATGTAAATACTATAAGTATTTTTTTTTATAATTAGTTGTCTTTTATAAACACTTCAAATTACTCAGCAATATTATACATACATATATACATACATACATACATACATACATACACACGCACGCACGCACTCACGCACGCACGCACACACACACACACACACACGTACACTCACGCACGCACGCACACACACACACGTACACACACGCACGCACGCACACGCACACACACACAAATATATACCGTAATAAAAATATCGTATGCTACTCAGCACCACGTTGGCAATAACAAAAGTAGTTTTTTTTTTCTATTGATAATTTATGTAACTTTTTTTTGTTGTTGGCAATAAATGTTTTCTTTCTTTCTTCTTTCGTACTTTATATTAAAGTCGTGTAAACTCTATATAATAACTCACTCACCAGTAAATCACTGTGTGGTATACTTAAAAGCAGCTTCACAAACATATTCAACGCATTGTCTAACGCCTCGTCGCCGTATAACCTGGAAACAGAAATATATTTTTTTATTTTTATCTTTATTTGGTCTCCCAGCAATTGTTACACTGATGAGATTTAATAGTAAAGTTACTGTCTGTTTATACTTAGTGTACAAACATTTTAAAGGAAACACAGCGTGCTCATTAACAAATAAACAATAATATGGCATAACAATCTCTTGAGGTATTTGACATAGGTATAGTTTTTTAGATTCAATAAATGATTGCTTCACATCAGTTTTAACTATTCAAATTAACTGCAAAGCTCTCCTATAGAAATCCAATTATATATAATACTTATTCTTTATATATATTTAGTCATACATACATATCTGTCACGCCTGTCTCCCATTAGGGTAGGCAGAAACAATGGAACGCCAAATGCTTCGATACAAACAAACCTCTTTCGCTTCCTCCACATTCATTAATTATTATTATTATTCTAATAATAACAAAGTATTCAACACAGTGGCCAAACGAGTCCCACCTGATGGAAAGTGGTAACCGTCGCCTATACACATGAGCAGTATCATGGACGTTACAGAGTATACTGTTTCGCCCATGATACCCCCCATGCGTTGCCATTCCTGAGGACTCAGGTGTTATTCCCTGTACCCAGTAAATTCACTGCCATATCCCACCCTTCAAACCGAAACACAGCCATGCAAATACAACTGCTTCACGGTTGAAACACGAATGGGATAGAGTTACCCAAGCGATGACTGTGATGTCTAGAATAGAGAGGAATGGAAGAGTAAGACATATTACGCCGACTGCAGGTAATAATTGCCATAAAGGTAGGATTATAAATAGGATTTTTCTATTTTCTCAAACATGCTTGGAAATGTGAGCATTATTTTGACAATCTTCTTCGAGATAAATCAAAATTGCCGTACTGACCAGATACATGCGGGCAGCGGCCGGCAAAGATGTATGAAAATTTATATCTGTCGTGTTTTGCGGCCAGATAAATTATTATGTAAACTCATATCTGTCCTGTAATTTAAAAATGGAATGACCTTTTACTTCGAAACATGGCTACCAAGGAGGTAACTAATAAAAGGTTTTATTTCAATTTCGAACTGGCTTGCAAATAGAAAGCTGTTTATTGAAAAAAAAAATAAAGGAACATTATGGCGCGTGAAAAATTATTATTGTTCGTTATTCGTCATTGAACTTAAAAAGTAAAATTGTGTTTTTGATTTCCGCGCATTGTTTGAGAAAAGTACTATACAAGCCTTGGCCACAACTAGGCATTGATGGACTCACGTATGTATGCCTCGGCTACGCTTCGGCCCACATTTGCACGTTCGTCCATCAATGCCTCAGTTGCTGGCCGCTGCAGTAATGTACTATTACTCACCGGAACACACCGAAGTTGGCGTAGTTGCCGCACAGCGCTGCCTTCAGTATGGAGAAACAGAGCGAAATCCCTTTCAATTTCATTGCGTACATTTGTTTTTTGCCAACGTCTATTGTTAATATTCGACTACCTGCAAATAATATAGCAATTAAAAACGTATTAAACCTTCGTTGCATAATGGTGGAAATTTCCATCATAACATCGAATGCCCAAAAATTATATAAAAGAACAAGTTCACTTTAAGTTGATCGTGTCTGGATACCTTTTTAATGTCCATTGCAGAAAAAAAAACATAGCTGTCAAATTTATATTTTTAACCATTTTTCCTTTAATTTTGAACATGAATTATATCACCTTGATTTATTTCAGCAATAAAAGAAAATCACGCAAAGAAGAGTTAATCATCATCACCATCATCATCATCATCATAACAGTTCTCTGCTGAACATAAGCCTCCTCTATAAAGCGAGATTTTGCCAGTAATTGCTACATTTGGCAGGTGGGTTGGCAACTGCAGTTAGAATTTGGTGATGTTTTAAGAGGGATGTTGCTACCTATTCCTCTAACATAAAGTTCCCTTAGTTGCCTCTTACAACACCCAAAGGATGGGGGAAAGGGATTGTTAGTAATGGGGTCTAATAGCCCCATTGCTAGCAATATACTCTCTCAGGTCGACCTCCAAGCGGTTCCCCTGGAAACCATCATGTTTAGTTCTTGTCGAATACATCATGGTGGGCCAACTGATCTGCATTCGTTCTCACCTATCGTCTTCCACTGGTGTTTCGTCGGTGTATAACAATAGCGCAGGCGGGGTTACCATAGCATTACCACTCATTAAAAAAAACACCCAAAGAATAGGAAGGGGTGGTACATTCTATGCCGGGACCACACGCAATTGCTATATAGTCATATAATAATGAACTAATAGAACTACAGTCCAAATAATCGCCAATTCGTATAACCAAAGTCCGGATAGTTGCGAATTCGTATAACTAAAGTCCGGATTGTTGCGCATTCATATATAATAAATAAAGTCAGGACAATCACGAACTTATATAACTAAAGTCCGGATAGTTGCGAATTCGTATAACTAAAGTCCGGATTGTTGCGCATTCATATATAATAAATAAAGTCAGGACAATCACGAACTTATATAACTAAAGTCCGGATAGTTGCGAATTCGTATAACTAAAGTCCGGATTGTTGCGCATTCATATATAATAAATAAAGTCAGGACAATCACAAACTTATATAACTAAAGTCCGGATAGTTGCGAATTCGTATAACTAAAGTCCGGATTGTTGCGCATTCATATATAATAAATAAAGTCAGGACAATCACGAACTTCTATAACTAAAGTCCGGATAGTTGCGAATTCGTATAACTAAACTCCGGATTGTTGCGCATTCATATATAATAAATAAAGTCAGGACAATCACAAATTTATATAATTAAAGTCCGGATACTCGTGAATTCGTATAACTAAAGTCCGGATAGTTGCGAATTCATATAAATAAAGTCAGGACAATCACGAACTTATATAACTAAAGTCCGGATACTCGAAAACTTGTATAAACGAAGTGTGGATAATCTAGTCTCTAATGTAATACAAATATTTGATCTGCCACTGACCGTAAGCGCATATAATGTTGGATAGTTCTCTGAACAGCAGAATGCCATTGGGCGAGCTGATGTCGAAGTGCAGCCGCTGGTTTCTGTTCTGCGCGAGCTCAGCCGTCAGCTTCAGCACGGGCGTCGTGAGCGCCGGCTCCGCGAACCAAACCTCGATGCCTCGCAGTAGCACCTTCATGTATACTGGATAGCTGAGAAGATCAGAACATAACTCTTTATTGTGCATAACTTAGTCATATATGTATGTATACCATTCGTGTTTCAACCGTGAAGCAGTTGTGTTTGCATGGCTGTGTTTCAGTTTGAAGGGTGGGATATGGCGTGAATTTACTGGGTACAGAGGAATAACACCTAAATCCTCAGAAATGGCAACGCATGGGGGGTATCATGGGCGAAACAGTATATTCTGTTATGTCCGTGGTACTGCTCATGTCTATAGGCGACGGTTACCACTTTCCATCAGGAGACCGTCAGGTTGTTTGCCATTCTAAGTTGTATAAAAAAAAAATAGTCAGGTCAGGTCAGGTCAGGTCGACTTCCACCCGATTCTCCCTGGAAACCATCATGGTACATTTTTAGAATAACTGGAATTCGTCACGATGGGCTAACTGACCTGTTTTCATCGGGGAAAAGGGATTGTTAGTAATGGGAACGTTAGCCCCTATTGGTATCAATATACATTATCAGGTCGACCTCCACGTAGTTCCCTCTGGAAACCATTTTGTCTAATTTATCGTTGAATTCGTCGCGATGTGCTACAAATAGCCTTCCTTTTTATCTTCATCAATCATCCCTCACTGGTGCCCTACCAGCGTATACCGATAGCACAGGCGGGACTTGGGTTTCTTTTATCATTCACAATAGAAGCCCAACTCGCCTATCAATTGTGACAATTACTGGCAAAACCTTCCAAGATAGAACCCACATTCAGCAAAGGATGGTTAACAGGTGATTTTTTTATGGGTGAAAATGGGCTGGTAACTCCGCCTGCGTTATCGGTATACACTGGCACGGTACCAGCGAGAGGTGACAGGTGAGGATGAAAAGGCAGATCAGTTAGACGATTGTGACGAATTCAATGATAAATTAGTCACGATAGTTTCCAGGAGGAACCGCGTGAAGGTCCGCGTGGAGAGGAACCGGTTTTTTTTTTAATGGGTAATAATGGTATGGTTACCCCGTCTGCGCTATCGGTATACACTGATGGAGCACCAGTGATAGATGACTGATGAGGATGAAAGCAGGTCAGTTAACCCGTCCTGAGGAATTCAACTAGAATTAGCCACGATGCTTTCCAGGGGGAACCACGTGGTGCCCCATTACTAGCAATATACCTGACAGGGTATATTGTTAGTAATGGGGCTATTTGACCCTGTTACTCACAAATCCCTTTCCCCCCGAGAGGAACCGGTTAACGGGTGGTGGGTGGAGGACGTTGGTGAGGCGGTATACTGACATCCAGTCGAAGAGCATCATGTAGGTGGTCTTGGTGTTGAAGGCGAAGGCGAGGCCGCGCAGGTCGCGCGCGAGCCCCACCAGCGTCTTCCGCGCCTCCTCGGACGCGAACACGCCGCCCTCGCCGCCGCCCAGCGGCCCGATCAGGCTCTCGAACGCCGCTGCAAGCGCCCAACGGTTCACAATATACAATAACAGTTGAACAAATCAAGTTAAATACAGTAGTATAAATTACTAATTAAAATATACTACTTCCTATGCCACTGCGTTATGTTGACTGGAAGAGATCTCTTTTAGAGATAAGTTCGCGTTTGCTTATAAAGGATACCTAGTCCTTTTTAATAATATGTACCGATTAGATCCGCGAATATAGAAATTGGGTCGCAATTTTTAAATCCGCGAATAGTGATAACGCGAAATAAAGGAAGCGTGAATAAGAAGCTTTTACTGTACATAGTAACACGGAACAATTTTCATTCTGTAAACCCTTGATCTCACATGTATATATATATATATATATATATATATATATATCTAATATATAAAATTCTCGTGTCACGGTGTTTGTTACCAAACTCCTCCGAAACGGCTTTACAGATTTTTATGAAATTTTGTGTGCATATTGGGTAGGTCTGAGAATCGGCCAACATCTATTTTTCATACCCCTCAATGATAAGGGTGACCCTCCCCAAAATTTTTTTTTTTATTTTTTTGACAAATTTTTCCATTTTTATTTTATTATAATTGAGCATTGATACACACAACTTTAAATTTTCATCGTTTTACGATCAACCCCTGTATTTTAATCGCGATTTTTATATTTCGCAATAAGTGGTAAAACAACGTTTACCGGGTCAGCTATATATATATATATATATATATATATATATATATATATATATATATATATATATATATATATATATATATATATATATATATTTAGCAAAAGCTGAGTTTGTACCTATTACTAGGCATACGGGTACTGCACAATGTATGTAATTATTTATTTATATATGTACATTATAATTTCTGTACCATAATTGTAAAAAATGGCAATAAATTCAATATTATTATTATTATGAATAATGTGATATATGTAATGATGTAACCGACCTGTGATTGGCATCATGAACGCATGGAAGCGCTCCTCGTCCTCGCCAAGCTCCACCATGAGGAGGCGGCCGAGCGCCGTGTACAGCATCGTGCGGCACCGCATCTCGGAGGTGCCCACGCCGCTGATGCCCAGGAACGGGAAGTGTTCGGCCTGGAGCACACACCCAGTATAACATAGATAGATAGATAGATACTCTTTATTGTTCCCTCCATAAGATTCCAATAGTAAACTTATTATAAATATATACAATTACAAGAAAGGGAAAATACGGTTGTCCTCTCTTGAAAAAAAAAAATTAAAAACAAATGGGGTTAAAGTTCCATTATCAACCTTTTTATTTAAAAAATAATTTAAAATTGCGTTCCACAAATTAAAATAAAAAAAAAAAGATTTTAATTGACCAAGCATTTGGACATCAAAACTAATGGACGTTAACTAATCTTAACCAAAAATGCTGAACCGATTTTGATAAAATTTCTATGAGACTAATTTGTAAATAATAAAAAAAACCTTTCAGATAAAAAAAAAAGAAACTCCAAATCCATTTTGCAACTAATACGCCAAATTGAGAACTTCCTTCTTTTTTGAAGTCGGTTGATAAAGACTAGGTCACTAGGACGCACTGACCGTGTGGTGCGTGAGCATAAACTGCGTCTCCTCGAGTTTGACCAGCTTCCTCACGCACGAGTAGCCGCCGCTCAGGTCGCTCAGCAGACCGAGGGTCTTCGCTATTATCTGCTCGCTGCCGCCCCAGTACTTCAGGTTTGTGATGCTGCACATATACACACATCACACACACTTCACATAATTAAGAACAAAACTTATTTGATCAGATATTTTTTTTTTACAACGCAGGGGGCAAACGAGCATGCGGCTCACCTGATGGTAAGTGACTACCGCCGCCCATGATCACCCACAACATCAGCGGCATTGCAGATGTGCTGCCGGCCTTTTAAAAAGGAATATGCTCTTTTCTTGAAGGTTATGTTGTCGTATCGGTTCGGAAATACCGCTGCTGGAAGTTGATTCCAAAGAGTGGTTGTGCGTGGAAGAAAGTGCCTTGAAAGACGCACGGTGGAGGACCGCCACTCGTCCAGATGGTTGGGATGAATTATTTTTTTTATTTTTTATTTTTAAGTTTTATTCAAATAGAAGAGAAAGCGATCAGAGTAACCTGAATATGTGTCTTGGAAACATCATAGCGGCTGTAAACTGTCCATTGCTGAGTATAGGCCTCCCCCTATTGGGGGGTCTTGCCAATACTAGCCATGCTTGGCAGACTGGATGGTAACCACAGTTTAGCTTTGGTGGTGTTTTAAAAAGGACGCAGCTACCCGTCCCTTGACCGTTAGGTTCCCTTAATCGCCTCTTACAACACATACGGAAAAGGAGGGAATGGCCCATTCTCATGTCGGGTCCCTACGGCGAAAAATGGAAATGATCATGGTTAATTTCCGGTGAATTGGTCCCGATGGGCCAACTGACCTGCTTTCATCCTCACCTATCATCCCTAACTGGTGTCCCGCTACCGTATACCGACAGTACAGGCGGGGTTACCATTCTATTTTGCTTAAAGTACCCCAAATAGATATTGGACAAAGGCAAAAAAGGGCTAACAAGAGAGAAGATAAAAGAGAAGAGAACAGAAAAGATAGCAACGTGACAGTATGTGCTCACATTTTCCTCATGAGCACGCTGAGCAGCTGACTCTCGTCGCTGAGGCCGAGCACCTCGCTGAGCCGCCGGTACACTTTGCTGTTTTTCTGCACTTGCTCGCCCACGTATATCCTGCGGAACTGCTCGAAGAACGACATCATCGCCAGCTCCAGTTTCTCACAACCGCCCTGCAAGTATTCAAAGCATTGAATATAGATGGGGGGAAGGGAATGTTAGTAATGGGGATTGGTCTCCATTGCTATAAATATACCCTATCAGGTCGACCTCCACTCGGTTCCCCCTGGAATTTGTCACGATGGGCTAACTGACTTACCTTTTCATCCTCACCTATTACCTCTCACTGGTGCCCCCCCCAGTGTATACCGACGTGGACATCAAAAGATCAATAATGACTCGAAACTAGTCCAGTGCTCCACTAGTTTCGGGATCGTTTGGAACACTTTAATCATGAGGCCGTCACGTCAGCCTGATACTTATTATCAAGAGTCCTGGACAGTTTATTTTAAATGGATGATTAAAAATGTATGACAACCTTCGTGACAAAAAGGTAAACATGTTGCATAAACATTGTCCAGGTTATGGAATGAGCTCCCTGTCGAGATTTTTCCAAGAAACTACAGCATGAGGTTCTTTAAAAAAAGGAGTGAAGAGGTTTCTTCTGGGCGGACAACGCGCGCGTCATGCCTCTGGTATTGTAGGCGTTCATACGCCATAGTAACTGCTTACTATCTGGTGGGCCGTATGCTTGTTTACCGCCTCGGTGGTATAAAAAATAAATAAATAAATGAGGACCCAGATTCAATTGCCAATTTCAATCAATTTAGGGAAAAAAATCTGAATTGTCTCTGTTCTTAGTGTTCTGGTTGCCTCCAAACACTTTTTGGCTGGTTCCTCATAACACAGGATATCCTACCTCTAGAAGAAGACGATTGGCACGATTAGGCGGCACGTATTTATTGATCCACAATTCCCACTTACCCTGGTGAGCCTGGAGTCTGTAAGGTTCATGAGCTGCAGCACCCTGCAGACCAGCTCGCCGTCCATGGCGTCGTTGTCGTCACTGGTGTTGGCCGACGCTCGTCCACCGATCGCCGCTCCAATGATGTACACCAGCCAAGTCAGCTGACCTGCACAATGATACAATTATAAGTTTTTTCTATCTATCTATCCTATTTAAGAGCTGCGCTCTTGTCGGTGGAGCTCTTGCCACTCACTACGATTGTCTCTTCAGCTCTTGATACGACACGACACCAACTCCTTCCTTGATCTGCCCGATGTAACTATGTCTCGGTCTACCTCTTCCCTTCCTTCCTTCTATCTTACCTTCTATTATAATATTCATAAGTTCGTCGTGTCGTATCAAGTGTCCCAACATTTTCCCTTCTGTCCTCAATAGTTCTAATCATTTGTCTCTTTTCCTTAACCCTAAGCAGGACCTCCTCATTGCTAATCCGACAAGTTTTTTAAAGATTGTCAAAATAATGCTCACATTTCCAAGCATGTTTGAGAAAAATTATATATCTATCTGTATCACCATCGCCTATTATAAAATAAAGAGGGACATCATGTAGTGAGGCTGAATCATCACGGAGTAAGCAACTGCAGCGCGGTCGAAACGGAACGGCTACCAGCAACGAGTCTTATAATACGAAAATGACCGAAAATTTGGTACCTCATTTCATGATAGACCCCCTGGTGCCAGGACCACGTACCTTGCAGCACCAGCAACTGGTGAGGCTGCTGCTCCACGCTGTAGGCGGCTGCGGCGCGGTCGAAATGCGCGACCAGCAGTTGACAGGTCTTCCCGTACTCGCAGCGTCCGATCACAGACAGCTGTTCCAACTGCTGTTGGACTGTTCCCACCTCGTCTAGAGGATCTTCGACACCCTCGCTGCGGGTGTAAGGCTTTGTTAGTGATTTTCCTTTTTAACAGGAATAATTAACCGATCATTATTTTTTTAAATTGCAACTTAGAATGGCAAACAAGCTGACGGCCCACCTGATGCGGTACATTTTAAAATGGTTGTTTTTTAGTATTTCTTTATATCATGACACAATATCATAAATTACATGATTTTTATATAAAAAAAAAAAAATAATAAAAAAATTACCACTGGTTTTCGGTTCGGAAATAACGGTCTGAATTCACTGTTTCAGTTTTTTCCAACCTGTCCCTTAGGGGGGAAAGGGATTGTTAGTAATGGAGACTGAGAATCCCATTGCTAGCAATATACCCAACCAGGTCGACCTCCTCGCGGTTCTCCCTGGAAACTATCATGCTTAATTCCTGATGAATTCATCATGATGGGCTAACTGGCCTGTTTTCATTCTCATCTATCACCCTTCACTGGTGCTCCGCCAGTGTATCCCGTTAGCGCAGGCGGGGTTACCATACCATTTTCACCCATCAAAAAAAAACCCCGTCTCTTACACCTTATACATACTTTATTCTTTTTTAATATTCTCTTTGTGGTGTAATAAAGTGTAAATAAATAAAAAAAAAATATTTTTCGAGCCGTTCATTACCTTATAACACATGAGACCGAGTCGAGCCGTGACACTATGTAGGCCTGCGTGACGCCCGGCGCGTACGTCTCGAGGAGGTGCGGCTCGGTGGCCTTCACGTACGGCACCGACGCCACCATGCGCTGCCACAGCGACAGCAGGTAGTGGACAGAGTTCGGCGCGAACTGCCACATCTGTACGGTTTGAAGGTAGTATATTGAAATTTAAATAATTCATTTGCTGGAATAAGGGCCCCGGTATAGTGCTTGGTTACCTCTGCCCCATTCATGTTTCCGCCGTGAAGCAGTTGTGTTTGCATGGTTGTGTTTCGGTTTGAAGAGTGGAATACGGCTGTGAATTTACAGGGTACTGAGATATAACACCTGAGTCCTCAGGAATGGCAACGCATGAGGAGTATCATGGACGAAACAGTACACTCTGTTATGTCTATGGTACTGCTCATGTCTATAGGCGACGGTTACCACTTTCCATCAGGTGGACCGTTAGCTTGTTCGCCATTCTAACTTACATAAAAGTATATACTTTTAGATAAAAAAAAAGAAAAAGATTTTCCAAATCACCTTACAAAGGACTTATGAAGTAACAAATATAAAAAAATACAACCAAAGAAGTCTCTTTCTTTTTTGAGTCGTGTAACTACCAGATGTTATGTTAGTCCATGTCATATAGTTATGTCCATGGTACTGCTCATGTGTATAGGCGACGGTTACTACTTTCCATCAGGTGGGCCGTCAGCTTGTTTGCCATTCTAAGTTGTATAAAAAAAAAAAAGATTTGCGCTATATCACAATTTTTCAATTCTCGTTACCACCAACCTGCAAGCTCTGCACGGTGAACTTGGCGACAAGCTCGATCAGCCGCGGGTAGTTGTCCACCATGACCAGCTCGCCGAGCTGATAGTTGGACTTGAGACGCGCCAGCAGCCGACAGAACTCGTGGTAATTGGTGGGGTCTGATAGGCCCTGCAATTTATATTTTCTTTATAATAATAATAATAACAATAAATTTCTTGCCATTCTTTACAAATATGGTACAGAAACTATAATGCATATATATTTAAGTAAAGTCTGATATCTTATCTGTTTATACAATGTACGCAGATCACATGGCTGCCTGTTTTTATTTAAACAAAAAATCCAATTTACATGAAAAAAAAAAAAAAAATACATTTGCTGGTAGAAATCTCTTATTAGAGATTTTTTTTCATCTTTTTTATTAAATATAAACGAGCGACTACATCATGACCTAAAAATGGGAAATGTTAGACAGGAAATACTACAATACACACAATCCTACAAGGAGAGGATAACAAAACACCCTAACAGACTGGCAAGAGATCTTATGGACGTAAATCACACAACTCGCAGACTGAAACGCAGAATGCCCCAAGACATGGTTCTATAAAATAAAGTAGGATGCGACTCAAGTCGCATACTGAGCACGCTATTAAAGTGTACGTCAAAAATACTATTTATTGTCCCAGCAAGGAGACAGATCGTAGTATATACAAAGACAAAAAAAAATCTTTTTTATTTAGAGGCTTTTATCCTATAAGGATATGTCAGTCTCATCATACCCTAATTTTATAAAATACCTCACACACTTAAAACATTACATACATAAATAAATAATACATAATAGCTTAGTAGCCTATTTTTAATAAAGGGAATTATTGATTTTTTTTTACAACACAAGGGACAAACGAGCATGCGGCTCACCTGATGGTAAGTGACTACCGCCGCCCATGATCACCCACAACACCAGCGGCATTGCAGGTGTGCTGCCGGCCTTTTAAAAAGGAATATGCTCTTTTCTTGAAGGTTATGTTGTATCGGTTCGGAAATACTGCTGCTGGAAGTTGATTCCAAAGAGTGGTTGTGCGTGGAAGAAAGTGCCTTGAAAAACGCACGGTGGAGGACCGCCACTCGTCCAGATGGTTGGGATGAAATTTTAGTTTATGGCGGGTTGCACGATGGTGAAAATATTGATACAAAAATATAATAATTAAAGATTTTGCCTCTTATCACATACCTGAGTATTCTCCAGTATTCTAAGCACACCGGCCGCCAGCCGGTTCAGGAACTTGGCTCTCTCGGTATTGCTGAAGAGGGAACGTCGGACGGAGGCGATCTGTACGAGGCAGGCGAGCGCCAGGCTGGCTAGCCCGCCACCCAGTGCGTGGTACAGGGAGAAGAATAGCTCCAGCGTACCTGGCTCCAGGAAGGTCGGTCGCCACGACGTTGGTATCTGAATGGATCCATCAAATTGAATGTGACACAATTGAAAATATTTTACTATAAAATTCTCAGAGACAGTTTAGTATTTAGGGATCATCAATTTTAAGATAGGGTATTGGGAGTTTTAAGGTAAGACCCTTATCCTGGTTATCCTTTAATGCCCTCATACCGCGTTATAGCCATGGAGAGGATTAAGCAAACTCCATCGCGATTTTTTTTTTATGGGTGAAAATGATATGGTAAACGCCGCCTGCGCTAACGGGATACGCTGGCGGAGCACCAGTGAAGGGTGATGGATGAGAATGAAAACGGGTCAGTTAGCCCATCATGATGAATTCATAAGGAATTAACCATGATAGTTGTTATAGTAAGTAGTTTAATAAATTATATGTATTTGATGTTTTTGTGCATTACATGTTTTGTATTTTATGCACGAAAATTATTAATTCACTCTTGCGCCACCTGCCCTTTTCTATCTGTTCTCCCTTAACTAAAGGTTGTCTGTAAGCGATTACCCTAGCGATAAGACCGCCTTTTGCACCTTTATGTGTATATTTCAATCTGTATGTATGTTACTGTATTTCATTTGAATTATTCACTTGTCATTGTATATTTTTATTTATGGTGCAATAATGAGTTAAATAAATAAATAGTTTCCAGGGAGAACCGCGAGGAGGTCGACCTGGTTGGGTATATTGCTATCAATGGGATTCTCAGTCTCCATTACTACCAATCCCTTTCCCCCCACTACATCGCGATTAATTCCTAGTATATGCATCACCACAGTCCAACTACTTCCTCAGCAATTCCCTGGTGCACCACCAGCATATCCTAGATAGCACAAGTGGAATTACTATCTCATTATCATCTACTGACCAATGAAGGAGAAATATCAGTAATGGGTCTGATCTTCACAGTACCAATGTACTATCTACTACAATATATAGCAGATAGCAATGCTACCTGCTAGCAATATAGCCAGTCAGGTAGACCTTCAAGAGTACCCTCTTGGAAATTACCAGAGGGAGACTTTGTACAAAAGTCTATTGCTTGAGCACCTCTGCCTGATTCGTGTTTCAACCGTAAAGCAGTTGTGTTTGCATGGCTGTGTTTCGGTTTGAAGGGTAGGATATGGCAATGAATATACAGGGTACAGAGAACACCTGAGTCCTCAGGAATGGCAACGCATGGGGGTATCATGGGCGAAACAGTACACTTTGTTATGTCCACAGTACTGCTCATGTCTATAGGCGACGGTCACCACTTTCAATCAGGTGGTCCGGCAGTTTGCCATTATAAGTTGTATAAAAAAAATTACTAAAACAAATTCTTGCATTTCCATGGGTGCAAATTTGCTGTGGCTGGGCCAACTGACCTTATTTCATCCTCCACTGATTCCATTATTACCAAGCAAATATACCTGAACAGTGCAGAGATCGTCCGAGGACTCATCACTGGTGGTGCCTATGAAGTCGAAGGTGAGGCAGTTGTGCGCGAGCCGCAGCACGGCGGCCAGCAGCGCGTGTTGGCGCTCGTCGGCCAGCTCCACCTCCAGCTGCTTCCCGCGCGTGGCGCTCAGCAGGGAGCACGCCAGCCGGAACATCTCGAATAGCTGCCCGTCACTGGTGAAAGAGATGACGAGTTTTAGTCAAATAGATAATTACCACTGGCCATATTGCATAGAATGGGCCACCCTTTCCTTTAACGTGGGCGTCGTGTACACTTATATAATTTTGCATTGAAGTTTAAATAAATTAATTAATACTGGAATTATACATAACAACAACAATAAGACTTCTCATTGCCCGCCAGATGGTGTGGGCGGGCGAGGTAGGGGCCTCGGGGCGTACCCCAGCTTCAACTCCGGAGGCAACAACCTCCGGGTCACTAGATTTTAAGCCGACATACACTGCTGGTCTGTGTATGTCAGCGTGGCGTCTTCATTTATTAATAAATACAACGGTAGTACTTTTATCACCGGTAGATGGCGTTTTTTTTTTTAAAGTTACAGTCAAATGAAAATTTACATGCTAATGATATCAAAACATGTTGGAATTACATAATTAAAATATAGATAGATAGATAATTAAATAAATATGTATTAAGTGTTTCTTTATGGGAGAGACTGGCTGGAAAACCAGCGTTGTGCAGCTGTTCACATTGCATTGGGACACTCACAGCATCAGCTGAGCAAGTTCCTTTTGCCTAATATGAGACACTTCTTATATATGTCTGTATTTTCTTTTGTAATTGTATTTTTCTGGCAATAAATATTTTCTATTCTATTCTATTAAAATACCCAGTACGTGCTTACTACACACATATCATCACAGTCGTAGAATACTGACGGATCTGACAAATATTACATATATAGATCCATCAGTATTCTACAACTATGACGATATGTTTATGTAAATAAATTTTTTTTTTTATTTTTATAGAAATTTTATCACGATCAGCCTGCCTATGTCTGTGATGCCCCTAGAGTTGCAGATGTCCAAAGGCTACAGTAACCGTTTACCATCAGACAAACTGTATGCTTGTTTTCCAACTTCTCAGTATTAACCCTTTTAGTGCCATTGATTTTTACTCATATCTACTTATTATATATATATATATATATATATATATATATAAATATGGAATGTAATTTGTATTTAATTAATAATAATAATGTAATTGTTAATTTTATTTGACGATATTGAATATGTAATTTGACTCGATAATTGTTTGAGCATTGTTTTCTTTTTTTTCTTTTTTTTTATTATTCTATGATCATAATAATGTATTAGTATAAATTAAATTTGTATCCTTATTTAAGGAATAAATTAGATTTGCATGCCTACAATTTTAAGGCAATTAGACAGATGCCAAAAAGTTGTGTCACATGGCCCTTATAATGTCAAATGTCTGTTTAAAGCAAATAAATATTTCATTTCATTTCATTTCATATAAAAATGCCAAAGAAATCTTTGTCGTGTTGATATCATTTACCCTTGTCTCTAAAATAAAACTGTATCTTCTCCAAAAATTATCCAATTTTAATATTTTTTTTTACAGCAAGCTAAACAGCGACTGTTTCCACGAGCGCTATGACGCTCGTGGCACTTTTAGTTGCAATGCGCACGAGCGAGATGGCGCTCGTCGGCACTCAAAGGGTTAAAAATGAAATCATTAATGTCAACAGGCTAAAAATTAACAAAAGTTAGTTACCGAAATGAGGAGGCAATTTTTCTATGCTTGGCCAGAGATCTGTTCGCATCCGCCTCTGACACTTGGTTCATCTCGACCACAAGCTGCGACAGGAGTTGTACTCCCACTGTGCACATGTCCGCTGGACCCTGGACGGACAGAATTATTTCTTACTAGCTGTTACCCACTGCTTTTAATCAATATATTACATATTCTTAAAACTACTATTGGATATAACCAATTAAGCAAATTAGGAAGCTCATTCTTTTTAAAGTCAATTAAAAAGTATATGTACCTGCAGAAAGCTGGTGATGTCATTCATCACACTGTGGAAGACGTACTCCTCCTTGATCACGTCAAACCAGCCGAGCTTCGTGATCCGCGCGAACAGGGACACTAGTGACTGGAAACAGAAAAAAATAATTTCGATGACTTACTGGAGCCCCGTCAACGTATACCATTAACACAGGCGGGGCTACCGTTCCATTATCCATTGAAAAAAAAAATACCTGTATGACGAAGTTGGCGAGTTTGGGCCGCGTGGCGAGATAGTTGAGCACATAGTTCCTTATGTCGAGACGTTGCTGCACCGACAGGCTCGTTGTCGACCTGGACAGTTATTGTAATCATGTTTGTTTTTGTATCAATGTTTGTTTGTTTGTTACCTCGATAATGCCTTTACAGCTTTACAATTTATTTGGGATGAAGAAGGATCATAAACTTCCAATTTACCTGGTGAATCAATGTCAAAATTATAGCTAGTCATCATCTTTTAAATGTAAAAGATTTGTTTATATATTAAATTTTATATATATATATATATATATATATATATATATATATATATATATATATATATAAACAAATATCAACTTTAATTGTGGCAAACCCAGTAATTTTGATTTAAAGAGTTTCATTATAATATGTTATACATATTATACATATGTATTATATATATATTGTTATGTTATATATATATTGTTATTGCTATGTTGCGTTGGTTTGGTCATTTGGAGAGGATGGATGAAAGAAGAATTACGAGAGATTTATCGAGCAAGAATGAATGGAGATGTCGGTAGGGGGTCGCCCTAGACGGACGTATGTTGACCAAATAGGCGACGTGCTGAAGAAGGGCCAAATTAAAAGTACCCGTAACCGGCGAGCGTATATATATATATATATATATACACAATGAATTTAAAATTAAATTCAAATAACGTTGGATACGTTAAATAGTCATACATATTCGGGGTAATTGGAAATGTAGTAAATAATATGGTATAGGCTCGTACATACCTGCTGATCAACTTGGAGAGCGTGGTGGCGGCCAGCAGCTGTGAGTAGCTGGAGTCTGCCCGCTCCAGTAGGGCCTGGCATTTGCTTAGCGTATCTGGAGATTCCTGTAACATATCAAGTGGCAATAATAATTACAAATTACTTTTACCAGAGGGAGATTTTGTACAAAACTCATTTGCCTGAGTACCTCTGTTCCATTCGTGTTTCTACCGTGAAGCAGTTGTGTTTGCACGGCTGCGTTTCGAGTTGAAGGGTGGGATATGGCGTGAATTTACAGGGTACAGAGGAATAACACCCGAGTCTCCAGGGGTGGGTAATATATAGCAATATCTGTATATTTTATATGTTGTTATAATATCTATATACTGGGTCCAATAACGAATACGTTAAAAATCTGTTATCCAAAAAATAATATTGGATAACAGACTTTTAACATATTCGAAAATAGATATCCAACCGATATGGGCGATATCGGAATGGGTGATGATCTTTCCGCCATCAATGTCCAGAAGAGTCCAATATTCAGATAAAAAATTGGTGTCTACATTACCCGTGCTTAGTCGATAAGGGGCTGATCCTTTGGAATCTAAATCGGTTTCACAGAGGTCGACATAAACCAAAACTGATTTTGGGAGTCGACATAGTCTAAGAATGTACTCCTATTAATTAACGCAAGTTCTTAATTAATTTTTTTTATTTTTCCTTTACGATAAAAATAAAGTATTTTTACGTAATGTGTTCACCCTGATCATCATTTCAGCCGTTAACTGTCCACTGCTGAACATAAGACTCCCCCTTGGGGGGTTTTGCCAGTAGTTGCCACGCTTGGCAGGCGAACTGGCAACCGCAGTTAAGCTTTATAAATGTTTACTGAGGGATGGCGTTGGCCATCCCTCGCTCTCGAAAGTGGGAGGGGGTTCAGAAAAGTCACGAAATATCACGGGGGGGGGGGGGGGTTGAGATATTACGTGTATTTATCTGACTCGCTAGATGGTTATCCACTTGTTAGTGTTGAAAAAGTCTCGCTAATCCGTGGTCCGAGGACAGTATCCATTGAATATATTCATGTACCAGTATTTAATTATATATTTTTTGCATCAATACACATTATTTTTATGCCAGTTAGAAATAAACTGCAACCTTAATATCTATTTGGACATTTTTATCACGGTACTTAATTTTCCAGAATTAAATTACATTATAATTTGTATTTAAAGATAATATTCTGAATATTTTTTTTTTTTATATTTTGTACAGTACCAAAAAATACACATAATTTTGGGGAGGAGGGAGAGGTAGTCTAAAACCTCACCACGTATCACCAGCCCCCTCCCCCCCTGGTTATAAAGATGCTAAAAAACATCAAGTGATTAATGGACGATCCCTATGTCTATGGTAATCGTCCATCACATACCTGGAATGCGACGACCGCTTTCTCAGCCTGATCCCGGACATTCGGGTCTTGTGATTCGTATAGCTGCTTACACAGCACCTCTATTTGTATCACCTCCTATGAATTAAATTAAAAAAAAAAATTAGATTTTGTTCACAAATAAAAATAAAACAGATTTCAATGACATTAGAATTACGATTTTCTGAATAAAATAAAAGCAGGAATATTCCGTATAATTGAAAATCTGGAGAATTGATTTTAAAGTCAATTCAAACAATAATTAACTTTAAATATTTTTTTGTGTTGTGCTGGAGAAGAATGGAGAAAATTAGCTGGAGGGATCGAATTAGCAATGAGGAGGTCCTACTCAGGATTAAGGAAAAGAGACCTTTTTTTGTGTTGTGCTGGAGAAGAATGGAGAAAATGAGCTGAAGGGATCGAATTAGCAATGAGGAGGTCCTACTCAGGGTTAAGGAAAAGAGACATTTTTTTGTGCTGTGCTGGAGAAGAATGGAGAAAATTAGCTGCAGGGATCAAATTAGCAATAGGGTCCTGCTTAGAGTTAAGGAAAAGAGACAACTTATTAGAACTATTGAGGACAGAAGGGGAAAAATGTTGTGACACTTGATACGACACGACGAACTTATGAACATTGTAATAGAAGGTAAGATAGAAAGGAGGGGAAGAGGGAGACCGAGACATAGTTACATCAGGCAGATCAAGGAAGGAGTTGGTGTCGTGTCGTGTCGTATCAAGAGGTGAAGAGACTCGCTGAAAATCGTAGTGAGTGGCAAGAGCTCCAACGAAAAGAGTGCAGCTCTTAAATAGGATAGATAGAGATAGGATATTTTTTTATTATGGTAAGTGGTTTAGATACGTCATTTAAACGATACGATTTACATATGTAGACATATACAGTTATTTTTTATTGTATTATACATATATTCAATTTTTACGGGGTATAGTTTAGTTTATCTTTAGCTGTACGGTTTTTACTCTTGTACATTCTACAGTTTTCTTTCACTTTTTTTTTATACAACTTAGAATGGCAAACAAGCTGACGGCCCACCTGATGGAAAGTGGTAACTGTCGCCTATAGACATGAGCAGTACCATGGACATAACAGAGTTATAGAGAGACTGTTTCGCCCATGATACCACCCATGCGTTGCCATTCCTGAGGACTCAGGTGTTATTATTCTGTACCCTGTAAATTCACTGCCATTTGCCACCCTTCAAACCGAAACACAGTCATGCAAACATAACTGCTTCACGGTTGAAACACGAATGTAAGTCGTATATAAAAAAAAGCAACTAAAGTGAATGAATAACACAATACTGCGAAATAATTTAGACACTGAGTGATATCTAAAGTAAATAATACAGCACTGCACAGTGTGACCCGGGGGGAGAGGATGTTTGGCTTATAGAGATGTTCAAATAAGTGGGGGTTTGCATTATCGAGGTCCTATTGTACTTTTATTTGCAATCAACAACACAGAATGTAAAAGAACCCAAGCAATAGATGTAACATAGTGGTTCATAACTGATGGTCCCTGGAGACAATCTAAGCAGTCCACAAAGCCATCCGAAAAAGATTAATCGAGTAACAACAAGTCGACACAACAACAATAATGTGTAGTTTGTATTATTCTTTGTGTATACATGTCTTATGTGTTTATACAATGTATGCAGATCGTATAACTGCCTATTTTTATTTTTAAAATAACATACAATTTACATGAAAAGGTTTTGCTGGAAGAAATCTCTTATTAGAGATAAGCTCGCCTTTGTACATTATGTTTATAATGAATTGTGGTTAATATTATATTTTGTGTACAATAAAGAATAAAGGACATGTGGCGCATGTTCCGCTACAATTTTAACAATAAATGTGTGGGTGTTTATTTATTTATTTATTCATCAGTACAAATATGTGTACATGGCGGACTTAATGCTAAAAGCATTCTCTCCCTGTCAACCACAGGGAAGTGTCAGAATACTCGAATGCGGTACTAGTAATTATTGATATACATACATACTTAAATTACATATATAAAGGAATAAATATATATGAATAACAAATATATTTACACATTATTTCATTTATAGATAAAAGATATAGAGAATAGATAGAGGATCCTTTTAATTATTTGGGTTCAAACAATTGCTGGTCCATGGCAAGACATAAATATTATCAAATGGCCCCTCATCACTTAAAGATTACCACTGATGTAACAGAATTGACGGAGTGTTTATTATTATTTTTTATACTTTTTTTTTATTGAGAGAAACTTACAACTATAAGAACACTTAACAGACAGACCCTGTAGATTTACAATTTTCCACTGTATCAAGGCGAATGTTTTACAGCATAATATAGCATAGCTTAAAAAATACTAAACACTTAAAAAAAATACTATTACGAAATGTTATAAGAAATATAATTAATAATAATAAAGTTTTATTGCAGTTATAGTGCTTGAAAATCCATATCCATTCATGTTTATTTAATTCTCCTAAAAAATCCTCGGAAACTAAGAAAGACAGAGCAGATTCGACACAACTGTTGAACGATAATAATTAAATATGTATGAAAACGGTAAGCCAATTAAAACCTACCACATATAGTTAATGACAATTGATATTAGGTACAGTTTAGATGATTAATGAGTGGGTGAACACAAACTAAACATCATTAAAATCATTGACTGAATAATTTCTGATGATTTCTGTTATATAATTACTGATACTGTTAAATATATCCATTTCATTATCCCTACTAATTCATTATTAAAAATAGTAGGAGCTCATTCTCTAAAAGAAATTTTTTCTTTCTTACTGGAATCTGTCTTGAATATATCTCTCAATTATACATCTATGTTTTAATGTAAAAATTCCTGATTTGTAACTATTGTAACCTATTCATGAATTCTTTACATTACATAATTTTTATTAAAAAAAAACAGGATATTAGCTTGTTTTGTTTAAAAACTGCCACAGTAAAAAAAACTCATATATTACTTTCTACAAGTAAATAAATAAATACTGAATTACACTTGATTTAAGACTTGTATAAATATAATCATATATTACAGTCTATATATATCCTTATAGTAATTTATTGATAAGATTTATTAATCTTATTAGTTTAATAATTGGAGACAATATAATATATATATATATATATATAAAAAATTATTTCTCGTATTTCAAATGGTTGAAATGGCCTAACCAAAAATTATTTAAAATGGACAAACAAAGGTGCAGAGTATTATCTAGTGAACAAAAAATACCTAACTATAAGAAAAGATTTATAAAGAAAATATTTATGTAGGAATTTTAATACTGACAAACTGTTTCGTGCATAAGACAGGGACAGCAAAGCCCGAGGCAGTAGGCAACAACTTTCTCTCGAAATGTCAATATGTGTAAATACAACATAATATAACCAAAAAGCCGGCTAAAATAACATATAGGTATTAGCATTATAGCATATTATTACGCATTAAATTTAAATACGAACTAAATAGTAAATATTATTAAAGAATATTTCTTATTAATGGGACCTGTTCCACTCGACCAGCGAAATGATTATGAAAAATCAGCGAAAATATGAAAGTAACCTATATATCCTTGTTGTTGATACATCAACTATCTTATAAGGATATATCGTTTTTAATGGCTCACCATAATTCAGTTAACATCGTACAGAAATCATAATATTTTGATACTCACCTGTTCTTCAGCCATTTTTGTTATTTTCTTGCATTTGAAATGACGTTTCGTTTTATGTTTTTTGTTATAAGTAATGTACTGTTTCTATGTAATTTTAAGGAATAATATTAAAAATCACTTTATTGTAACTGTAAGGAAAATAGGAAAGGCTTGCTAATTTTTTTTGTAAAACTAATATAATATAGGTTTTTAAACAGCATATTTGAGTGATTTTTAATATGTCTGAAAATGAAATACTTAAATCTGCCTGTAATGAAACACTAAACTCATTAAGTGCGGTCCTGGGAAATATAAACTTCATTGGATTATTTTAGATACAGTTCAAGAAAAAGGTTTATTTAATAGACTGAAGGTTTGTTCGAATTTTTATTTTTTATGATGAAATAAATTTCTTTAGTAAATTTTTATCAATTATACGAAATTTATTTCAGCAAATACTTATTTTTTTTTCTTTCGTTTACACGACTATTTAATTTAAAGATACAACATAAGAAATAGTTGTCAAAACACGTAAATAATTACTGGCAGAAAAAAAAATTAGACTTTTAACAGACATGAATTATTTATGAAGAAAAGATCGTAGAACAAAAGTTTTTTGATAAATTTTCTCGTAATTTTGGATTCATTGTAAAAATGTAGCTTTATTTTCGCTGATTATCTTTAATCAAATTAATCTGTGTCTAAGATAATGATAAGAATAACATTAACAAAACTAAAGAGTGTGTGCTCGCCACATATTTTGTGGAACGAACCATGGATTAATCCTAGTAAAGTCGAAAAATGTGAGTATATCATTGTCTTTCTTAACATTTATTATTAATTTAAATATTTAACTAACATTCCGGTCATGGAAACATCTTTAACAAATGACGGCGATAGACTCGCAAATCGATCGACAAGCAAAGTAAGATTTAAATAATTGCTCAATGAAATGTGTGTGGTATATTGTGTGTTACGTACCACATTTTTTATACTATTACTAGCTGACTCAGCTAACGTTGTTTTACCATATACGTTATTTCGAGAATTATACATGAAAATTTATCCTACTACAATTATTATATTCGATTACCATCTTGCAAGCCTATTGCTATATAAAAATCGTGATTAAAAAACAGGGGTTGATCGTAGAAGCGTGAAAATTTGAATTTGTATGTATTTTTCAATGCTAAATCATAATAAAATAAAAATAAAATATTTTGTCAAAAAATTAAAAAATATATTTATGTGTGGATCACCCTTATCATTGAGAGGTATGAAAAATAGATGTTGGCCGATTCTCAGAACTACCCAATATGCACACAAAATTTCATAAATATCGGTAAAGCCGTTTCGGAGGAGTTTGGTAACAAACACCGCGACACGAGAATTTTATATTTTATATATTAGATTGTAGCAAATAAGCATACGGCCCGTCTGATGGTAAACGGGGTTACTATAGCCTGAGAGCGTCTGTAATATCAGGGATGCCAAGCGCGCGTTGCCGATACTTAAGAAACTTAATTGCGCCCATTTTGAAAAACTCCGTGCTATAATCTCTAGAAAAAACCTCAGCAGGAAGATCATTCCACAGCCTAAATGTTCGCTGGAGGAAGCTCCTCTGAAACCACACTATGTGTGAACTTTATGCATCGACAAATCATTGGGCCCTCATTGGCAATATAGTCTATAAGTTCGACTTCCACGCGGTCTCTAAAAATGGCCTAAATGACCTGATATGACTTCATTGGTGGAGAGAGGACTGTTAATAATGAAGATTAGTAGCTCTATTGCTAGCAATATTCCCTGTCAGGTCGACCTTTTTTAGGTTCCCCCTGGAAACTATCGTGTTCTGTTTTAAGTTAATTTATCACCATGGGCTAACTAGCCTGCCTTTTCATTCTCACCTATCATCCCTCACTAGTGCCTCACTAACGTATGCCGTTAGCGCTGGCGAGGTTACCATTCCCTTATCATCCATTAAAAAAAAAATTTCATCCTTTTCATCTGTTATTGTTACCGCCCCAGCGAAAACTGAGATTACAATTCTATAATAATTTATGAAGACTATTGCTATATTATTTGACACATCATGACAACGCCATAATTCAATGAAAAAAGGCGAAAAAAGTCCATACAAGAAATGTCATAATTACAATTTAATTAAAGAAATTAAAAATATTTTATAAAAGATGGCTTTTCTCGTTTTTTTAGTGTCTGCGAGCGTGCTAAGCAAACGGGAGAGTACAGTATCTGGTAATGATGAAGGGGAATGTGAGAAATGCAAGCGTATCATTGAACTCATATTTGCACCGAATAAATCAGATATAGACAAAGCTACAATAGAAGCCAATGCGTTAAATCATGGACTAAAACAAGAACAACTAACTGAAATAATCACGCACGATGAAAACGTGAATGACGAGACTGCTTGTGAAAAATGCAACAGAATAATAAATGAAGTATTTGCTGAAAGAAAATTTGAAAGTAACAGTAAAAAAGATATCACGGAACATGCGACTTATAAGCCCATTGATAATATCAAACTACAATCAACCACGGCTAAAGAAACTGAGGAAAAACTTGCACAAAAAATTGAAGTCATCGATGAGATGCCATTAGTTGAAGCTGCTAGGCCTGCAATTGAAGGATTCAGTGCACCTCCAAAAGTTCTAGGTAACATAGTAGAGGCGATTACAGTAAATTATTCTGCTAACGACTTAAATTCTAATGATACAAAACACACTATTACAAGCCTTATTTCTCAAGATACTCTCGATGAATTAGCAAAACGTTGTCTCGATACACCAAACAGTCAAATTGACGATCGAATTTTAAGAGAAATGGGAAACCTTGGTATTCCTCAGACCACGAACAGAGAATCAAATATACATACAGTAGACCAAGAAGTAATGCAAATGGATATCTTGGAGAAACCTGTTCAAAACTCTGAGATTGAATTAGAAATTCGAGTACTAGAGAAAAATCCCGTACACGCAACTAAAACGTACAGTATTTTTGAATCGAATTTCGACTCTGAAAAAAAGACAACTGGACGACACGTGAATATCCTTTATCCTACTCAACGAGATAATGTAGAAGAAGATTGCAGTCATTTAGAAGCCGAAGGATCTAAGGATTGCAATGAACTGGAGGAAATAGATACTACATCTACACGACCAAATATTAAAACACTCTCTAATGATAAGAATTCAGAGAAAGAGGGAATCTCATTTAATGACCATAATTTTTCATCAATAAGTAATAAAATATTTAATTGTTATGTACCGCCTGCAGAAAAAACAATTACACTACTACATTCAATGGAAAATAATCAAACAAATTCTATGGTTAATTATACCTCGCCAGATGATTATTCAGAGTTAATAAAAAATTTAAAAGCACATGAAAAATTAAAAGCTAAACGGGAATCAATCCAAAAGCTAGAACGCGAAGGTATAACTCCGCAGAACAATCCTCCAACATCATCTGAAAGTGATCCAACTCAAATAGATCCAAGATATTCTTGTCAACATGAAGATTTGCATTTTTTAAAACGTACTACTGAAGAATGTGCCGATATCCCTTTAAAACAAGAAAGAATAAAACCTCATCATTTAAAAGAGGAACCTTTATTTATTGACAAAGAATTTTCTTCGCATACTGAACCTGCTATTATGATAAAAGAATGCACTGAAACTATTTCATCTAAAGAAGATGGAGGCGATATTATTAATGAAGAAAAACTATTACCTCATCATTTGTTGAGTGAATTATCAATTCTTCCCAGAGACATTAAGCTTGTTCCACAAACTGAAGTAAATGATTCATGTGAATCTGAAGATTATACTATGAAACTGGAGAGAACTCAACCACATTACTTAAGAGACAATCCTATAGTTACTTCCAAGGAATTTAGTCCATTTACCGCACCATCTATATTAATAAAAGAAGATATTCATCTGCAAGTAACGGAAACATCTCCATATAAGTTGCATCTCGAATATAACACTGGAAAAAATTATCAAAAATATTTTGTAAATAATAAAGACATCATTTCTGACAAGAATGCCCCTGAGAAAGTGGCTCCGCCTACGAAAGAGTCAAAAGAACGAGATTATTTTGACACGACACCTATGCCAGAAGATAATGGCATACTTGTTGATTCATATAACAAGAGATCAATGGCATTTGCTAAAGGGAATCATGTCTGCGATACGCTTGCACCTGGAAAAATTGAAAATGAAATTAAACAACCAGTAACACCAAGTTGCAAGCATTCAGATGACGCTATGATAAATATAATGTCTTCTAGTGAGATGCGTCATATAACAGAGAACGAATATTCTGAACCAGTGATATGCGCAGAGACTAGACGTCTTAGTGGATTTGAATCGAATATAAATGAACCATTAGAACGTAATCAGACTCATGAGCAGTTATTATGTACTACAGTTCAGCCTGAATCGTTAGTCAAATCAGGTTCAGACAAAGAAAACATGAAATCCAATAAAAGCGAAGTACAAGAAATTGGAGCAAAACCTGAATTAAAATTGGACACAGATCAAATATCAATGAAGGAATTGTTGAAACGAGTGAGAGAGCGTAATCGGCTTGAGTTCTGTCGGGATTTCGTTCTTAAAACTGAAGCTACACAAGTGGAACCCTTTTACGGGAAATGTAGGCAGCCAAAAAAGCCCTGCCCACCTCCAGCGCCAGTATGCCCACCAAAAGATCCTTGCCCGCCTCCTCTGTGCCCTCCACCAGAACCACCTTGTCCAAAACCTTGTAAGCCAGTATGCCCCGATCCTTGTGCGCCAGCTAAGCCCAGTTGCCCGCCACCCAAAAAGAGTCCGTGTGGGAGATTCAAAAAGCAAAAATTTAAGCAAATCAGTGACACTTTAACCGTTCTTTTCTCTTTGGGCCCTAAACTGAGCATACCCCATTACAAAAACACTACAATTAGCAACAAATCTTCAGAATCTTCAAAATCTTTGGTAACAAAAGATATAATTACGAAATTGAACTCTTTAGGCATTTTTTTGCAAGCGGATTATCTCCAAGGTCAGTTTGATGCATTTGAAAATGAATCAATGAAGTCACCTGATATAACTTCGAAATATGTCATTTACGTGAGAGGTTACGAGCCCTGGGTGCCTATACCTTCGTGGCTGATACCAGAAAAAGAGAAGAAACAGAAGTTTGTCTGCCCTAAAGAAGGTTGCAAGCAGATCCCACCACCTCGATTGAGTCAACCCTGCAAAGAGAACCCTTGCGCAAACCTCCCTAAACGCTCATTTTCCATAATCGACGTAATATCTAGAGAAATAGGCAAAAAATATATATTCGATGTTAAAAACTTATAACAATGTTTGTGGCTGGTAAACAACGAAAATAAACTAAACTGTTTTTTAATGTTTTCCATATAAGATCCCGTGTCACAGTGTTCGTTCAAGCTAATCTCCAAAACTACCAACTGATTTTAATGAAATTTTGATAAATACAATAGTTTATTCCAACCTGAGAGGTAGGCTTTGTTATCGAAATAAGAGAAACAAACTTAAAAATGTATCAAATAGGAACAAACAAAGGTTGAATAAAATCCAATAGATGGCGCTAGAAAGAAAAATAACGATTGTCCAGTTCCTTTGGTCGAGTCAATTAGTCACTTTATATATTTAACATCATGTTTAATAATCCTTAATATTATAGATAGATAGATAGATACTCCTTATTGTTTCCTCCAAAAGATTACTTATTATAAATATAAACAATTACAAGAAATAATCACAGTGAGAAAACAATGGGCGACCTTATCGCTAAGAGCGATCTCTTCCAGGCAACCTTTGGATTGAGAGGTGTAATTATAAACAATTTGATCGGAGGCACGATGAAATTCTATTATTTCTTAATACAGAGATATGATACATGTAATAATGTAAAATATATATCTCTACTATATTATATATACTATTATATATATATATATATATATATATATATATATATATATATATATACATACATACATTTATTTTGACTTAAAAAATAAACTTAAAAACCGATTTTGATAGTTTCTATAGGACCCATTTGTTAGTATATCTTTTCAGATAAAAAAATCCAAGACAGATCACAACCAACGTGTGTGTGTGTGTGTGTGTGTGTTTTATAGGTGACCAACATAAAAAATACGGGGGGGGAAAGGGATTGTTAGTAATGTAGACTGAGAATCCCATTGCTAGCAATATACCCAACCAATTCGACCTCCTCGCGGCTCCCCTGGAAACTATCATGGTTAATTCCTGATGAATTCATCATGATGGGCTAACTGGCCTGTTTTTATTCTTATCTATCACCCTTCACTGGTGCTCCGCCAGCGTATCCTGTTAGCGCAGGCGGGGTTACCATATCATTTTCACCCATAAAAAAAAACATAAAAAATATAATCGATACAAGAATCTCTTTTTCACCATCAATGTCCAAGGAACCCAATAATAGATATCGGAGCTCATACTCTTGCAATATCGTATATATATATAATAACGATAGTTTCCAGGGGGAAACGCGTGGAGGTCGACCTGATAGGGTCTATTGATAGCAACGGGGACTAACCTCGCTATTACTAACAATCCCTTCCCCACTTTGTTAACTATTAGAAAATTCACAACATATTTTTGTCACATTCGTGTTTCTGCCGTGAAGTATTTGTTTGCAGTGTGTATTAAATTACAAGCTTGAGAGGCATAATACCTTAGTTCTCAGAAATAGCAACGCGAGAAGGCTATCATGGATAACACAATGTATTCTGTTATGTCCATGGTATCGTCCATGTCTATAGCTTGTTTGCCATTCTAAGTTGTATAAAAAAAACATTATTAGTAATCCCTTCCTTTCTACCTAAATAGATAGGCACTCTCACCGTAATTTTTTTTTTTTAATGGGTGATAATGGAATGGTAACCCCACCCGCGCTATCGGTATACACCGATGGGGCACCAGTGAGGGATGATAGGTGAAGGTGAAGCAGGTCAGTTAGCCCATCGTGACGAATTCAACAAGAATTGTTCACGATGGTTTCCAGGGGGAACCACGTGGAGATCGACCTGATATATTGCTAGCAATGTCGAACTCCATTGCTAACAATCCCTTTCCCCCCCACCCCCACCGTAATATTAAAAGGAAATATGGGTATTTTTTTATTTAATTAAGTGTGTAATTTTTTTAAAGCAAAGTAAACCGTTTTCGGAAATAACAATAATTTTATTACAGCACAAAATGGATTGACTTCAGTTTTTACAAGAAGTTTCTTTATGACCGAGTGGACGAAGCCGAAATTCGACGTGGCCAGACCGTACGTAATCACCAGAAGGGAAGCCCCGCGCGGTAAACCTGAGAACAAGGAAAAAACATTACATCAATTGAAAAAAATACAACAGCTCGATAAAAATACTGAACGACATTTTTGCACTGACGCTTCATCAATAATACATGAAGCGAACAAATTAATACACTGTTTACCTTGACCGCTTGTTGCTTGGTTATAAAAAAGTTAATTTTACCGCCAAAACGCATCTGCATCGTTCGTTTCGTTACCATAGAGTAGATTGATACACAGATAGTAAAAATGGGTAGTATTTGATATCTATATATTTTCTTCTGGATATTGATATCTAGACATTTCGATATAGTCTATATCAGTCCGATATCTATATTGATTACAGGCGAGTTGTTCTTTTCGATATTATATTCTGTATAACCGATATCTAATTTATCTGTTATTGGGCCAATATATGTATAGATATTGTAACTACGATATATAGATATTGCTATATATTACCCACCCTTAGTAAATAGATTTCTATCCAGTTTGGAGTAAAGAATACCCCGATTTACCAGAGCGAGACTTTGTACAAAAGTCGATTGCTTGGGTACCTCTGTTCCATTCGTGTTTCAACCGTGAAGCAGTTGTGTTTGCATGGCTGTGTTTCGGTTTGAAGGGTGGGATATAGCGTGAATTTACTGGGTACAGAAGAATAACACCTGAGTCCTCAGGAATGGCAACGCATGGGTGGTATCATGGGCGAAACAGTATACTCTGTTATGTCTATGGTACTGCTCATGTCTATAGGCGGACGGTTAATCCAGATACAAACTAAAGACAATGGCTGTTTAGGTTTATTCCTTTTGCCCTCCCTATGTATAAGGGAAAAAAATATTGGAATATAAAGATGCATTCTTATCTTAATTTCTATGTAACTTAAAATGGCGCGAATCAAATTAGGTATGTATTGTGATGTTACTGATAAATCGTATTTTTTTTTTGTGATTGTTTACTATTTTATAAATAAAAATTACGAAAGTATACGGACTTATATATACTTCTATACTATATTAACTATATATACGTACGTCCTACATATCTATACGTCTATCTCCTTTCATACTGATTTCGTATCAAATTCTTTTATCTTACATTCTTCACGACTCTGGAACGCACCCGTTGATACCATTAAGAGATTTCCGACTAAACTCTTTAAAAAAAACATTTGGATGGCAAAACCCTCTTTCACAGAGGAGGCTATGTACAGCAGTTATGTCTATGATTTTAAAAGTGTTCTCTCTGCCTACGAATTAAAACACAAATTGAGCAAGAATATTCTTATTAAGCTATCAGTGAAAATGTGAATTTAACAAAATATATATGTAAAATTTTAAAGCAAAATATCTATAGTATGCGTGACGTGCCTATAAACATTCAGAGGTCCGGCAACAAGCGACTCCTCTCGTGTTGTAAATGTTAATGGACGACGGTAGCCGCTTTCCATCAGGTGGGCTGTCTACTTGTTTGCCTCCCTGATAATAAAAAAAATAAATAAATAAAAATAAAATAAAAAAACCGGACGGTGTTCTCTACTAGTCAACCATTGGGCGAACAGAGAACTAAGTAGCCGGTGCATTATTGAATAGAGGGAACATAAAGCAATACTTGATATATTCATATAATATAAACATATAATTTGACTAATATATATACCTAATATATCTAGATAGAAAAAAAACCTCAAAATAATGGTAGGGACAATAACGGGCCGTTGTCCATTAAACAAACATTTATACACAATAGGAGCCACAGACAGCCCTCTATGTCGAGTTCGACGCCGAAGAAACGGCTGCTCACGTAATCCTGGAATATGAGCCTGTGGCCCATCAACGTTTAGAAATCCTCGGAACGGTGAGGTCGCTCCGTGAGGCCAGTGAAGAACCCAGGAAGCTTCTGCGCTTCTGGGCGGAGCTAGGTTGGCTGTACTAACCATGACTCATACGCACAACGGCCCAAATGAGAGGCTAAGTGCGGAAAACAGAGTCTTTCTTTTCTTTAGTCACATTCACATACCTAATATATTAAATTAGTAAATATGCAAGTAAAAAGTTTTTTTTTTTGTGAGAAAATCTGTAATTATTGTCTAGTAGGTATACGTTCTATCGTTTACATTACTATCCCATAAGTACACTTACTTATCTCATCAAAGAATTATAATGTACTTGACATTATAAATAAGTATGTACGGCTTAATGGAAGGGACACTTCAGTAATTAATACTTATAGAATTGTCTATCCTGACTTCAGATTAAAAAGTATACAAATTATGTTATAGCAAATTTATGGTCCTGTCCAGATTGTCTATCAACGCAGAGTTAAAACTAGTTATTTAAATCTAGAAAATTATTGATTTAAAATAGAATTAATCTGGTATAGGTTCCTGGATATTTTTTTACAACAAGGGGCAAACGAGCACGCAGCTCACCTGATAGTAAGTGACTACCGCCGCCCATGATCACCCACAACACCAGCGGCATTGCAGATGTGCTGCCGGCCTTTTAAAAAGGAATATACTCTTTTCGTCTTCCGTCTTGTCGTATCGGTTCGGAAATACTGCTGCTACATATAGGGATAATAACATATAGGTAATAGAAAGGCCTATGAGTGGGCGAGAAGGGAATTAGAATAAAAAATGCACTTGCAACTAGTGTCGTTAACTATGACCTTGAGGAGTATGTGAAAATAAAATATCAAAAGAAATGGAGGACATTGTAGTGTCTCAGACATTCTAAATTGTTCTTAAACAACAAATTTGAAGGATGGGATAAACTACATGTACAGTAGAGGCAGACAACAGGCAAGAATCATAATGAGTGCCTTAACTGGACACATGCCAGTAAGGCATATACGGATGGGTTTATCCTGGGTTTACCAGAGGGAGACTTTGTACAAAAGTCGCTTGCGCGTACCTCTGTCCCATTCGTGTTTCAACCGTGAAGCAGTTGTGTTTGCATGGCTGCGTTTCGGTTTGAAGGGTGAGATATGGCGTGAATTTACAGGGTACAGAGGAATAATATCTGAGTCCTCAGGAATGGTAACGCATGGGGGGTATCGTGGGCGAAACAGCATACTCTGTTATGTCCATGGTACTGCTCATGTCTATAGGCGTGGGCCGTCAGCTTGTTTAC